ATTAGTTTAAAACAATCGTCGATATTCTGAATCACACGTGAAGGCTTAAAATGGCGAGAGTGTTAATAATTTCAACACTTGTGTTAACTGTTATTCTGATTCACAGATGTTAAACCAATTTGTACCTTCTAAAAGTGTTATTTTAACACTACCTTCAAAGGAAGTGCTTTTAAGTCATGTGTTAAGAACAGAGTGACAGTTTAGCAGCTACAGAAGAAGTTGCAAAACTTGTCTTTGCAACTTAATGTCTTCAAATGTGGAGCAATGATTTATCAATTTGAAAAATAATCTTGTGTGTTAATCTAATAACAAAGGAGGAAAACTTTTCACAATATTGGATGAATAAGCACGATAAACAGAGTTATGGAGAAAGAAAGAGAGAGACAAAGTGGAAAAATTCATCACACTCGCTGACTCTCAAACTCTCTTGAGTCCATTTCAAGCGTTCAGCGTAAGAAGAGAGAAAGAAAAAGAAGAAAAAATCCACTGAGAATTCCACACTATTGCAAAATATGAGAAAAATTGCACTCTTTCGCTTCACACCATTGGTTATTGCGAGTGATGAGCTTTTCTGCATCACAATTCGTCTCGAAAGAAGTGTTTTAATATCGGCGAAGAAGCCGATGAGGATGCAAAGAGAAAAAAATTCTTTTACGTAACGTCTCGCTGTTTTCTTCTGTACGAGAAACTTTCTTCGCTAACATCTTGCTTTCTTTCAGTCTCTCTCACTATCTCAAGAGGGAGATATTGCGGTCAGAAGTGGTGTATGGCTTTTAAAGAAGTGTTCAGAATTAAAAGTGTTGAAACATTTACAATATTTGCAATGCAAAAGCTTCAGTTTTAACAAATTTAGACATTTTCTGAATCATTTTACTTAGAAAATATCAATTTTATTACATTTTCTAGGTTATGTGATTGATTTAATAATGATTCTGACGATTAAAACTCGCTTATAATTGTCAAATTTGTGTTTAATCAGAGAATATTTCTCTTTCCCTTGTAACAGTTTAGCATTTGTGTTCTAAAACTTCTGATTGGGTAAATTTCGGCAGTAAAAACAGCTTTTAAGTCAAACATAACCTCAAAAATTTCATTTTAACCTAGATTAACGTCTCTTTGCTTAGTTATTTCCGCGGTTTGTGCTTTATTTTTTATTAGGAACATTGTTATATGTCTTAAATTTCCTCATTTCCACGTTTGAAAGGATTTAAATTATTCCAGGAGGGTTTAAAGGCTGGTGAGATAAAAAAAAAAACTGTTGAAGGTGTCTCAGAAACGACAGAAAATGCCTTTAAATGTGTTCAGAAGTGTCTGAAAGTGTACAGATTTGAGGCATATTATCTCCCTCTTGGTCTCTCTTTCTTTCTCGCTTGCACCACTCTTTGCATATTGTGCGGCTTCTCCAGTCGCTGTAACACATTGAAGTTTGAGGTTGATTAATTAATTACGGCGTGATGCAAATTTTACCCAACCATCTTCACTCTCTTTCTCTCTCTCTCTCTCTCGCCCACAATTGCGGAATGCAGTGGATTTTGCAATTCGCTAGCAAATTGCGAAAAGCAAAAAAAAGAAGAGTTGAAGGCAAACATATTGGCGAGAAAAGTAGCAAATTTTTCATATCTTATCGCTGAGCAATAAAACACACTCAGAAACTCATGCTTTTCCGATAAGGGAATTTTGGGCAAAAACATTTCCACAGTTGAATTGGTGAAATTTATACACACGATCGCCGTTTTTTCTGCGCGATGCGAAAGACAACAAAGGGAATAACAGAGCAAGAGAGAGAAAGATGAGTTTGCAGAGAGACGGAAGTGTCCATTAATTTATATCTAGTTTCTCTCTCTCTCTCTGTTATTCTTCTGGAATAGCCGCGCGCGCGACAGACAAAACTTGAATGTGAGAAATGCAAAATGTCTCACACAAACATAAAAAAAGGCATATGAATCAGAGGAAAACACAAGAGATACAGATTGTGGAATTTCACAGAAAATCAATGTTGAGGGAATTAATCACCCAGAAGAGCTTTTTCTGACCTGTCAGACGAGAGGAAATTCCTCTTGTTATTCAGTGAAGTTAATTAGGTTATCGACGCCTGTGCTGAAGAAGTCAAAAGAACCTCATTTTGCTCAGTGAGAATATGCTTAAATCATTGATTTATTGGAAGAAACTGATCATGTTGCTAAACAGTGAGCTTTATTTGTTGGATTTTCTAACCTAAAATTCCAACACTCTCTTATTAAGTGTTAAACTTTCGGTGTTTTAAGACAATTTATGACTTTCCTTTTGAAATCTCGTAAAAATCAACACCCAAAATCATGTTAAAAAGTGAAAATTTGTCATGAATTTAAAATATAACCCGTGAATTTTCTATAAATGCTAATTATTAGTGTAAAATCGAAAGTGTCATCCGATGCTTTGTTCACATTTTATTCATCACTTTGTTTTTTTTTTAATACAATTACAGAGTGTATAAAATTAACCTTGTTCACGGCTGGTTACGTAGCGGCGAATCGGTGTAATTTAGCAAAGATTATAAGAAAACCTCGGTGATTTTATGCCTGCTTGCATGTCAATTGCTCAATTTGCAAGTCAACAAAAATCCACAACAAACCCTTTGGAATTGACAAAGGCAAAACCTTCATTCAAATTTGACATTCACATTATTTGACAATTGTGGAGATTTTTATTGTGTGTTGCCCGACAAGGGGGAGATAATATGGTCAGAAAGTGGTGTACAAGACTTTCTGTTAATTATTTTACACTCAGAAAATAAATTTATATTCCAAGTCTTGATTTTGACATATTCTTTTAAGGTTATGTGACTGAATGACGACTAAATAACACATTAATGACGGAAAAAAAGATTAACATACAAATTCTTGGTCTGAAAACGGAATTACTTTAATTTATTAGTCGAATTGCGCATTTTCACTAATTGTAAATTGTAATTATGGTAGCTTGAAGGGTTTAAATAAAACATAACCTCAAATTTTGACTTCACAACACCAAAAAGATCTAAAAATCAGAGTTATAAAACTGTCAGTTAGATTTCAGTCAGATTCTGGTCATCGGCTAAACAATCTATGAAGTCTGAAATTCTCGGAAGTGTTAAGTGGAAGTGATGTACATATTTTAGTCATACGATCTTCGCCTTGTTCGATGCGGAATCCAAAACAACAAAACTGCGCTCGCGAAGGCGCTTTTTGTTCGTCTTCTGCAAAATGCAAAAGAAAACCTTCCGCGCGCGCGAGAGAATGGAAATGCCAAACTAAAGGGGCCACTTTGAATGCGAAAGCGCAGCAGCTTCCCTCGCTTCGGTGAGTGAAAATGAGAGCGACGAACACACCCTTCTTCTCTGAGTCTCGCCCTCGAGTTTCTGTCCCCATTTTCGCCCTCTGATGCACAACACACACTCTCCGTCTCATCTCCCCAGGGATGGAGGCGGCTTGGCCAGGAGAGGAGAGTTTGCCAATTTCGGGAATTGTGTGCCGAATAGGAATGATGGGCAATGAGTGGTGCGGAAAAGGGTGGGTCAAAAGCACAAGGGCGGTTTTTTTTCGCCGGGAAACATTCGGGAAATTCCACCATCTTGCTCTGGACTCTCAAACGTCGCCTAGGCGGTGAAATTCAGGACCCAGTCAAGGCGGCGCTCTGGCCGCGACGATCCTTCCTCACCAGCACAGTCCGGAATTCCGAAAATTTTCGCAAAGGGGCGCCACCAGAGGGGAAAACACAACAAAAGAGGCACAGAAACACACAAATGGCTCAACAATGGAAGCTCTTCGAAGCACCAAAACTCACCACATATCGCCTCTCGGAGTCCTTCTGCTGTGCGTGTGAGAAGACAAGGAAATCCAAAGTCCCTGAAGTTCACTCGAGGATGTCCACAAATGGCTCTTTTTTCAACTCACAAAGTCCCAAAGGAATCACACAAAAGAAAGCAGAACTTCACCAGACACAATTTTTTGACGGGCTGAAAACTCCAGTGCTGATCCAAAAAGGGTGTATTTTATTCGGTCAGGCCGAAATATCGTGTAGAAAATCACAATTGTACAACTTAAAACTAAACTAAAATCACATTAATTGATCAATAATGGTGCTAGCACGACACTTTTTATGCATTTATCGATGGAATTTTCGGCACAATATTAATTTTTCATCTTCACCAACTCGCAGCTCACGGCAGAAACACACCAGAACTCCACCAGACGCAAAACACACACTGTCACACAGTAATGGCGGAATCGTCCGTCTCCCTCTCCAGCGCCGGCAGCGCCAGCGAGTGCGAGCGAGACGACTGTCTGTGGCGCAGCACGAAAGCAGCCGAAGGCGCAGGGCTGCGCAAAAAGCACCTCACTGCACGCCAGCGCCACCTTGCTGAGAAATTCAATTTCCCGAAGAATCCTCACAATTTTAACAATTCTTTCGTTTTTTGCACTTTTACCCTCCACATTAGCGTAAAATAATACCCATAAATAATTGCAATACAATTAGGGCATAAATGTTTTGAAAAAAGCGCATTCGCGTGTACTAAAATCAAAGTCCAATTGGATGTGTGTCTCGGATAACTAGGGAAAGAATAATGCTGTGAATCATTGTGGGTTTGGGGTCGTTGCAACACTACAGGTGCTGAAGGGTGGCTTCAGGTGCCAAATAAAAAATACTTTTGGAGATCAAATTTTCGTAATACTTTACCACTCTTATGCTGTACACCATTTCTGATCATAATATCTGCCACTTGAGTCATAACATAACCTCGAAAAAGATTATTTTAATTGTTTCTGCGTAAGAATCAAAAGAAATGTAAAGATTTGGGGTAATTTGCTGTAGAAAAAGCTCTCAAGAAAGGAATATTGTGAGTTTTTGAACACTTCCATGAAGTTGTACACCACTTCTGACTATATTATCTCCCCCTTAAGCGCAGACACACTCCTGAAGTTATGACGTTTTGGCCGCAAAAACGCTGTGTTTACTTTTGTTTGCCCGTCACAGATCCTCAGGAACTCAGTGAGTTCAGTTTGCTCTGAGCTGTGGGGTCGGAAGGTTCGTGAAAGTTACTAAAGTGATCGTGAAAAATGAACCAAAAGAGTGTTTCGAACGTTCTGAAGATCAAAAGGGGGAGGAAATGGGGTGAGGCGGAGACGCAAGCGTTTGTTGATATTTTACTGAAGCGCAACGCGATGAAATTGCTCGATGGCAAGAAATTCCGCAACAAACAAGTGTTTTCGGTCCTCCAGAAAGACATGAAAATGAAGGGATTCGATCGTAATTGTGCTCAGCTTATTGTTAAATTTAAGAATCTGAAGAGCGATTTTGCCAAGATCAAAGGGAGAAATCAAATTTCTGGGGTGACAAAGCGTACTTTGCCTTTGGAGGAGAAATTAAGCCATCTTTTCGACACGCGAGAGAACTTCAAGGAGCTTGGAAGTGAGAACTCAAGTGAAAGCCTTGCGGACGAGAGCTCCATGGAGTTTGTGACACTTTCTGACGACTCTTCAGTGGATCCTCTGGATATTTCGGACTCCATCAAGGACTTCAGTGATTCAGAATCAGGAAATAGCAGCTCTCGCGCAAGGAGTGATGTTATAGAGGCTGCAAAAATGATCATCGACGCCCAAAAGGAACTTCTTGAGCGCGAAGCAGTCTTATTGAGGCAACTGATGAAGGAGCATCACGAGTTTTTGAGAGAAATCTGGAAGGAAAAAGACGAGACGAAAAGGACGCCTTAAACAGGCCGGTGAAGCTCATTAAGTCCACATTATTTCCTGATCATCTCTTGACCTAAATTTGACGAAACAAAAAGTTAATTGCGAAAAATTTGACCAAAAATGTATCCTGAAAAATTTCCTGATATTTCTTTTGTATTATAATTGAGCTTGAAATTATTTCTGATGTGAAAATTAAGAAAATCTCTTCATTAATTGAACACAGTGTTTTGTCTACTCTAAGAAATTTCTGCGCAAACTTCGACTTTATTTATAGAGCCTTGTTGAAGTTATCTTTGAGCCTACGCCGGATTAAAAATAAATGCAGCATTTATTCTAATTTTAGTCCGACATGGACTAAAAAGTCGGCTCAAACTGTGCGGTTGTGCATGCGTGTGTGCTGTCAAATTCTCACACACATCCTCATTGAACGTCATTCGCAACTGCACGTCGGGTTGCGACATAACTAAATCGAGTTAGCCACGGAAACATTGTTCTGGAGATGTTCCGGAGATCAGTTTGTGTCTCGGCTAACCGGAAAGACCGAAAAGACAGTTGAATTGAGATATTGTGTTTCGAAGCAAGAATGAAACATCACAAAACATTTCAGAAATGCCCGGGAAATCCGGGAAACCCCCGTTTTTCCGGACCGATTGAGAATGTACATTGGTGAGTAACGGAAATATTGAATTTTTCTTTATTGAGAAATAACGAAATCTACAGAAATGTAATGATTCATTTTATACAAATAACACTCCCAACAAGACAAAAATCTCAACCCAAATGAATGAACGAAATAATGTGATTCAGCCGCTGCTGCCGCCGCTCAACTCCTCCTCGTACTGCTTCCGGAAGCAGTCGCCGACGGGGAAGAAGTCCCAGCAGCGCTGCTGATACATGTTCCACACGTACGTCTCCTGGCCGGTGTACTCCGTGTCGGGCTTGTTGATGAGGTGCATGAGGAAGAACATGTAGTTGGCGAGATTGTGCTCCTGCTGCACGTGCGTGTCGAAGCCGTGCGGCACGATGTCGAGATAATCCTTGCCGATGCCGCAGATGAAGCAGTTGGACTCCATGTTCTCCTTCACGGACTCAAGCTGGTCGCGCAGCTCGCCGAAGGCGTCAATGATGAGACCCTGAATGATGGCTAGCAGAATGACGATGACGAAGAAGAAGAATGTGATGTCGAAGATGATGCGATACACTTCGTAGTCATCGCCATCTGGATCGCCTATCTCATCGCCTATGCCGCCGCCGGCGCGCACGCCCTTGTACAGATGAAACACGAAGCACGTGAGCATGTCGTGACACTTCTTGTCCACCTCCTCGTCCTCCTCCTGCACGTAGAACTTGCGGAAGAAGTTGAACGCGATCACCGTGTAAATGTATACGATGATCGTGAGCAGCATCACCGTCAGCACCAGCTGCTTCCCGTTGTGTGTGACGGATTGCAGGATCGTGCGCAGCGTCTTGAAGCCCACCGCGACATCTAGCAGATGCGCGGCGAAGAAGAAGTTGTTGAAGTTGCCGAAGATGGAGAACGTGAAGTACCACAGAGAGTAGAGGAAGGCATTGTCCGTGATTGTCACGCCGGCCTTCCAGATCTGATAGCGCCAGTCAATGGTCACGATGTAGTGCACGAGACCGCCGCCTTCGGCCTCTTGCGTGGTGAAGGCGGACTTCTCCATGCCCAGCAGATTGGAAATCGAGTCGAAATCGTACGTCTCGCTGTACTTCTGGCGCACTTTCTTCTTCACGAACTTGTCCCAGTAGTTGACAGGGAAGGACTTTGCCGACACCACGAGCTTGTCCCAATGCGACTTGATGTCGTCGTCTTCCGGCTGTTCAGCAATAAACAATCCGTCAAATTCCAGGCGTCGTGCAATTTCCTTCTCACGCTTGAAGATGGCCAGAGGAACCTGGAAAGACAGCACAAAAACCATCAAGATCACTTGGATTAGAAGATTCAGGAAGAGGAAATTCTCATGATTGAATTAGTCATCTGGCCACACTGGCCACTTGACAAGTGCTTCGGAGGTGCGTTTTTGGTTGATTGCAAATTAAAAATGAACTAATTAAGCTTTTTCGGTTCTTTTCGCGCCAAATGAAAGCCTTTTCAATTGTCGACGGCTTTTTTTTTCCTTTACCTTGAGATGGTAGTAGGCGATCAGCATGGCCAGGGAGACTGTGCTGTGAAGAATGGCAGCTATCCGCAGAACGTGTTCCATGTAGTAGAAGTCTTCGTCAACGTGAACCGATTCTAAGGGATCTTCTTCGTCGCCCTCTTCGCCGCCTTCGCCGCTGCCTTCCAAGATGGAACCCAAACCAGATCCCGAACCACCGGATCCAAAGCCAAGATCCAGCTCTCCTTCGCCAGATCCACCCTCGTCCTCGCCAAAGGTCGTGACTTTGTAGAAGAGCAGCATGAAATTGATGCAGAATGCCAGAACCAGAGCCACATATTTGAGATTGTAGAAGTTCCTGGCCAGGAAGCTGACAATCTTGTGCGTGTATTGAGAGAAGTCAATTTGTGTCACGGCCGCGGGTTCCTTCGGCTCAGCTGATGTCTTCTTCGATTCCGCCTCGATGGTCGCCATGGCGGCCTCTTGGAGCTTCTGCGCCTCAGAGCGCTCCTGCGCCGCCCTCTTGGCCGCCTCGCCGCCCAGCAGATCCACCAGTGTTATTGGCGGCTCTTGGCCCTCCTCGAGACCATGTTCACCAGCAGCGGCGGCGTCTTCAGGGCTACTCTCGCCCGTCTCCTCCATGGACGACGACGGACTGGCCGTGGGAGACTCGTGCGGCGCCAACTTGTACTGCCCATTGTCTTCCTTGCTGATGTCTAGGCCGAAAGCCTGCACTGTCCCCGGAGGCTCCTCCTGCGGCAGCGCCGGCAGCGCCCTCACCAATCCCGATGGTTCAGGCTCTGGCGGCACTTCCTCCTCCTCATTGCCAGATCCGCGCATCAGCGACATGAGGATGTTAAGGAAGTACTTGATGACGAGCGTCACTCCGAGTCCGGAATAGTAGAATGCATAGAATATCATCTTGAAGAAGCCAACAAACAGTTCAGGAATTGACTTTGTCTGCGCCACGGCAATTTGGTGTTTGATGTTGGACACGCTGAACAGGTGCAGAATAAACCAGAAGCCGTCCTTGAAGCCCTGCACGGTTCTCTTTATCGGATCTTTTGCAGCCCTGCAAGACAGTATTCAAAATTAGAACTTTGAACCGCCATCTTTGAAAGGCCTAGAACCTTAAATGGAGGATCGTTTGGAAAATCTCAATGTCAGCTACAACATACTAAAATTTGGGCCCAATTCATGCCATAAGGGCTGAACAGATGGGGAAAGAGTGCTTCAAGGGTATTCAAAATGGCGGATCAACTCTAATAAGTAAATGGCCTACATTGCTGTAAGTGCCTAAACATACTTCTCTTCCTCCTCTTCGCTTATGTATGTGCTGAAGGACGCTTCTCTCCTGACATTCGGACCGCCTTCTTCTGTTGCCATCAGAGCCGAAGCGTGTGTCATTTCAAAGATGGCGTCCTCGCAGAAGTTAACGAAAGCCTCCAGCTTCTCCTTGTCACCACCTTCGGTGACGATGGAGTAGAAGAAGGCACGCTTCGACTCCTTGATCTGCGGTTTCTCCCACTGTTCAATGTTGGACTCCTTAATTTCGAAGTACACGCGCTCAATCCTCTTCGAGCTGCCCATGATTTCGATTCTGCCCAGGAAGGCCTCAAAGTAGTTCAGCACCGATCCGGCTGTCTCCAGGAATCGGGCGAGTCTCGGTTCGTTTGGCATGTGTTCCGACAAGTTGGTCAGCAGAACTGCCAAGTTGAAACCAATCTCCTTGGCCGGATCGTGGAAGCGATCCACAAAATCGATATAATCAATCTTTCCGTCGTGATTGGTTTCGCAGCACGCCAAGAGGAATTCGATTTCCTCCCTAAAAGAATGAGAGAAAGTGTGAGATACGTTTCTGATATTTGGCCAACAGAACATTAACGTACGGAGTGTAGCTCTTTTGTTGCTCCATTTTGTCCTGGAAATCTTTGGGATTGATCCATCCGTCGCCATTGGGATCGATTTCCTGGAAGCTAGGCGTTGAAGTCAGATCCTTGAGCTTCAGGAACATGTCAAAGTACTTGAGAATCAGCTCAACATTCGACGCCGACTCCACAAGAGTGTCCACCATCTGCTTGCCAATGGTGCCATTGACAACGTTGCCCTCGAGCATTGACAACATCATCGTTATCATGTCCTTTTGCAAGTTCAGCAACTCCTTCAGCAAGTCCACCTGACTTGAGTGCTTGGAAAGTTTGTCCTGCATGTGGGAGAAGAGGAAGAGGAAACCACCCACGGCGTCCCACAAGCGAGAGTGCGCCAAGGCCTGTTGATTGAGCGTGCAAGGACCCTGAATCACTTCAGTGAGGGTGTTGAAGACTTGACTCGCCACGCCGATGGCCTTGAAGAAGTTGGCCTTTCCCGCGGGATCGATGATTTCCTGATAAAGGAGTAAATTGTTTCAACGGAACATTGAACTTATATGGTGAACATTATTATTATTTCTCTGAAAATGAAGTGTTTGGAATTGATAAAATTGATTTTGGTTAAAAAAAAATCAATTTTACTCTTTTTTTAGGTTAAGTTGATTTAAAACAGATTCTGACGATTAAATAACCCTCAAAATTATCAAATTTGTATTTATTCTAGGAATATTTCACATTTTCGAGACGGATAAACCCAGAATTAAATTGTTATAAGACAGAATTAATTGTGAAAATCAAATGAAGGAGTTCAAAAATCGGTGAAAAGTGTCTGAAAATTAAAGCTCACCTTGCTGGAATAATGCCAATAGAAATCCATGATGGACTCTTGGAGTCTCAACAAGTAATCCACAGTGCAGATGACGACATTAACCGTCGTGGTATTTCCCGCTTGAGTCCTCAAGTAATTCTGCCACTCTGTGATAAACGGAAAATCATTCAATCAACTGCGAATTGCACATCAAGTGTGTGCTTCTGTGGAACACACAGCATACCCAAGTTGTGGCCTTCACAGGTGAGTTGGATGAATCTGAAGAGAGCACAGGTGAATTCGGCATCGTGCATGTTCTTCTCTCCTGCCGCTCCTTCGGCTCCGACGCCCAAGCCTTTTTTCAACAAAAAATTAGCAGATAAATCATGCATGATTCATTGAGATTGATCAACAGCAAAGGGTTAACATGTGCTCTGAGTAAACTCCTGATTAGCGACGGAATTATGCTAAAATGGTCCTATTTTTTCCGAGTCGTTTTAGAAGATCGCTGATCGACTCTGAATTCTCGCTAATATTTTTTTCGCCAAAAGTACGTAAAATGTCGCAAATTGCTTTTGCTTAAGTCTCTTTAAGAACGATTTACTGTGATTTTAATTTGGAAATTAGACCAATTTTCAGACATAAATGACGCAAATATCTCAGGAAAACCGAAGATTACTCACATGTTTACCCCTTTGGTCAACATTTTACTGAAAATACCTTCAGCCTTTGTATTTCTCTCAAATGCATCCAAGTCTAGTACGCTGCAGGAATTCATGAGACCAGCAATGGAGGTGAAGAAGCCCACGTCCTTCTTCTCCTTGAGATGATTCAGCATTCCCTGAACGGATGGAAATGCAGTGTTACTTCGGATCTTATTTGCTGTACAGGAATATTTTCTTCTCACCATTTGAATGTCAATGTTTCCACCCCTGAGAATGGCAATTCCCAGCTCCAGCGTCTTCATCACCATGTCAGATGGAACGCCCTTCGAGGCGGAAATGTGCAGAAGAACCATTTCGGCGACACCGCGATTCGAGAGACGAGCTTGATGGAAGAGCAATTTCTGCTTCTCCATCTCTTGTTCCTGTGTACACACACACACCAAAATATCCCAATTAGCAATTATCATCAAGCGGGTGGAAATCATCATCCAAGGATGAGGATTTTACACGGCATGGCAAGAAAGTGAGCATTTAATTGCATGCGCCTTACCATAAGGGTTTCCATTGTGTGTTTCTATTTATGGGAACATTTTCGAGAGCTAATTAGTACATTTCATCAGAAGATTGTTAGATTGTTTTTGGAGGGTGAAACTGACACAACATTGTGAGTGAGGGAGGATTGGGAAAGGGGGTTGAAACTTTGAATGAAAAAAATAGAAATTAATGGTGAAAAAAGAAACGAATTTAAATGAGGGTGAACACATAGCGAAAGCACTTTGCCACTTACATGAATACTTGCCCCACTTGATTCACCCTCTTCGCCGCCACCCTCCTCTTCGCCGCCCTCCTCCTCCTCCTCGCCGCAGGATCTGGCGGCGATTTGGGCGTAGGACATGTACAGCGGATCCTCTTGCAGAGCGCCGCTGCGCTCCGTCATGGCGCCGCGACAGAACGTGGTGACGAGTTGGGTGAGCGGATCGGGCTTGCTCTCCTCCTCCTCGGCGTCCTTCTTGGCCTTCTCGGCATCCTCGAAGGATTGCTGCAGACGAAGAGAAAAAAAACATCTTAACTCTGAACGCGAATTAGTGTTCATTTTATCAATTATTACTGTGAGATCTTCAATCATGATCTCCTGACCAATGTTTTCCTCTTGAAGCCACAATTCATGGTAGGTTCTGGCGAAAATATTGCACGCCCGATGCCTATGAAAAAAGGAATAATAAGTATTATTCTTCCATTTCAACTCTAAAGCAGTGCCAAGGGGGAGATAATATGTCTTCAATCTGTAAAACACTTTCAACAATTGAAATTTGCACATTTTCTCTAAGATTCTACTTAAAACTACTCTGTCTGGGAGTCTTTTTCGACCATAACCTAAAAATATTCGCGTGGAAGTTTTCTAGATCATTAAATCATGTTTTATGATTTGCTATTGAATTCAAAATTACTGTTTTAGACTCAAAATCGTGCAAAAATTCTTCTAAATGAACATTTTGCAAATTCAAGTGATTACTTGTGAGGTTATGATCGATCTTATCGCTATTGGCAGTATTTCTCAACATCAAAGACTCTGAATATCAATGGGTATCGTATGTATTGTTTTGCTAAAATGTAAATTAATCATTAAATCTGTTCTTAATTTGCTACATAACCTAGAAAAATGATTATTATGACGGTTTCTAGGTGAAAAATTAAAGAAAGCCCGAAACATTAAGATTTAGCAGATAACACTTTGACTTTCCAAGACTTATGACTATATTATCTTCCCTTTGAGCGCTGCAAAGATTAAAAATTTGCACAAAACAGAAAAAAAGCAAAATGTTTAATAAGTCTTAGCTTTGCTGGGCAGTTAGTTTACCTGCTCATCTTGTACAAAGGTTTAGCTTTAAGACAAGCAAGAGCGGATTTTCGTCTGGCCAGGGAGACAATTCGCTGCCACTTGTCAGATCGTTGCTTTGGGCGATTTGCCTAAATTGTAAGAAAGTTAATATGTCCACTTTAGTGGGCTTTTGGTTATTCATCGCACGCAATGTCACGCAGTTGTTATCCACATTAACATTTTAGGGAGTCGCAACGCATCGTTAGTGGAGGAGAAGTATAAGCGAAGGGGTGAGAAATCAACAAGTCTTTGTTTTTCATAAGAACCTTGGGAGAGAATGAAGAGAAATTTGACGGAAACAAGCTATAACGGCCCTCTTTCTCTGGATTGACACACAACTTTGGTAAACATTTTTGCTCTGTTGCTGCGGATGATCAATCTATTGCGAACAAAATCCATGTGAATACGCGTGACGTCACAGATATATAATTGTTTATGTGTTTGTGTTTCCTCACCATGTGAAGACCAAACAAGACTTTGGCCATTGCAACGATCCTGTCCACGGTGTCCTCAATCTTGTTCTCGGGCTTCTTGTCGTCCGCCATCTTGGCCTTCTCCACCATCATCTCGTCGCACTCAATCTCCTTCTTGCCGAGCTTGGAGTAGAGATAGTGCTGCCAGGACATCTCATCGGCCGGATCCAGTTTGTCCGGCATGGTAATTTGCGTCCTCGCGAACTCCACCACATCGTACTCTGGCATCTTCTTCAGATAGCGATCCTTGCAGTGCTGCACGAGCTCCTGCTCGCGACCCGCAAACAGATTCAAGCCAACTGGCAGAAGACGCTTCAAGCACGCCACCATCAAGCTCGCCTGCACTTCCTTATCCTTGTCGCGCTTCTTGTCGCGGTTCTTCTTCTTCTTCTTGATCTTCCCGCCCGTGTTCTGTTGACCCTCGGAAATCACCTGCGTCCTGCGCGTGGCGGTCGGCATGATGAGCGCCATGTTGTCAATCTCATTGGCGGAGATGAAGTTCTGCTCCTCCTTGAGGAAGTATTGACTCTTCGACCAAATGTTGAATATCTCCGACACATGATTGTACAATTCCTCAGCCTCTGGGATGTTGTTCTTCAGCCAGTGATTCCTCTGCAAATCCACATACTTGATCAACAGTGGATAGAATGAGTAAATATCGCGGACAAGAAGTTGCCAATCCTCTTGAATCTGTGCCTCCACTTGTGACGTGTCGTCCGTGGCCGATTTGAGGAAGCCCCTGAGACTCTCCTCCTTGTGGAACATGTTGTCCGTGCGCTTTCGCACTCTCTCGGCCAACGGCAAGAATGGATCCTTGAGGAGCTCCTCGGAGCTGTTGATGATTATCTGTTGTGTGTAGGCAGCAATTCGTGTCATCCACTGAGCATTGTCGTTTCCAATATTCTTCTTGATCATCTTCAGCACGTTCTTCAGCAACTGATTCATGTGATCCGCCGTTACCATTGTCACGTGATTTCTGCATCAAAGCAATAATGTTAAGTGTTGAATTTCAGAAAAAAGATCTCTTGGCATATGTTCTCACCCTGTTGTTGGTGTAATATTGTCAGGACCTTGAGCCCACCAGAATGGCAAATAGGAGCAAAGGAGTGGAAGAATGACATCAATAATGTGTTGAGCATCGTTGTATGTCTTATCAGACTCGACAAATTGATCCACTTCTTGCAAAATGGCCTCCAAAGTTGGCATCGAGTTCTCCATCTTAGCCATTATATCTGGAAATATTCAAACAATGAGCAACCAATTTTCCCAACCGCCCCTAAAAGTCTGATTTTACCTTGAGCCTCCAATGAATGATCAGCAATGCGATTTAGCAGTGAAAACTGATTGTGTTTGTTCAAATGCGGCTCCAGAAAAGCTACTGGGAAAGTGGAACTAAACGCTCCCAGACAAGATCCCAAGCTTGGCTTGTGACGCTCAATTTCCGTCTTGAGATACTTCCTCTCGTGGGTCAAGCTAGCATCAACGCCCAAAGTGTACAGCGATGACAAGATCTTATATGAAGCCACTTGGATCTCGTCCAACAACAGATCCGAACCGTATTCACAAGCCGCCAAGTGATCAAACATTGCCGTCAAGACGGGCAAAATCACGGTGTTCACATAAGCCAAGGATGTTGAAGTTTTCAAGTGAGTTCCTCGCAGGTGACTATACTTGCCCTACAAGAGAAAAGGACGTGATAAGCAAACGCCAAGGCCAACAACGCCAAGGAAAACAAGTAGAATACTCACATCTTGCAAATTGAAGATGGTTTGTCCGAGATCATCGGCGGTATTGTTGAAGAACGTCAACATTGATGTCCTGATGAATTCAGGACAATTCTTCACCAGTGACTTGGCATCAATGCCCTTCACCAACACTTGAAGGCATCGCACTGTGATCCGAACATCCGGTCCGAACGCCGCCAAGCGGTAGCGAAGCAAGCTGGCAAGCTTGCAGAACAGCGCCGCCACCATTTCCTTCTCCTTCAGCGAAGCGGCGCCCACGTTGTTGGTTGCCGTGGCCACGGCGATGAAATAGTTCCGATTGGTGGAGAAGTACTTCTCCATCAACGGCAGAACGACCTTCGAGAAGAACTTGATGTCCCTTGAGCTTGTCTTGAAGGAGTTTCGCCGACTGAACGTTGCCGATGGCTTCAGCAATTTCATATTGATGGTGGCTTTGTCCAAATACTGGATCAACTTCTCAAGCAGCGAATATGCAAATCTCAGTTCAATCGCTGGACCACCGCCGGCCTGTTCTCCGTCCACAGACAAACCGCGAGATGGCCTGGAATGTAATCAACAGTTTAGCTGTGGATGGAATCAATCGTGCAGAGTTTGTCTTTCGCACTTGTGCAACTTAAATCCTTGGTACTGCATGTACTTGAGGAACTCCTGGGATCTCTCTCTGTCCTTGCGCTTCTCCTTGTCCGTCAGCAAATCGTACGGCACCAGCTGAGGATGAATTGCTCCGCCGCATGTGTTGAGCTCCTCGCGCTTCTTCTTCGCCCAAATGTCGTGAGAGTTCTCAGCCAATCTCTCGGCCATATTTTGCATCTCTCTGCTCAGCGTTAAGTTAGTCATGTCAATGGGTTGAGGATTGTAGTTGAATGGCGATGAAGAGTCACCCTGAAATTCCTTTATCGTGTCAATTTCAAATGCAAACCGCATTCATGAACCGGACGGATCAACGGCAATCGGGTGGCAGGACAACACAGGGCAATCAGGGCAGTCAATCAGGACATCATATGGAATGGGAAGAGAGACAGCTCAATGTGAGTTTAATGTCACAGTTTTGAGTGAGAAAGAGAAAAACCCCCAGTAAAAACACTTACATTGGATTCATGCAGGATTGCAAGCGGACCCAAAGCGATCTTAAGCAGACTTTCATTGGTTTTCCTGCCGGAATCCTACAGAAAAATTCTGATAAAGACCAAAAAGGACCTCAATTGACGGAATCCTGCAGGAAAACCCACTGGATTCGAGTATTAAACTGTATTTGTTGTTTGAATATTGTGTGATTTGAATCAATTTTCTCAGGTGGCGCTGTGATCCATAAAGTGAGCGTGGTGATAATGTCATAAGAATAGGACTCGAAATTTAACCAAGACATCTTTTGCACGGAGAAAGGTGCAAGGATGCTTCCACGATACAGAATCAATAGAAACAGAGAAAAAGTACTTTTCGTACAGAAAATACACCGATTTTCGGAATATATTCAACACAAAATATATTTCTATCATGGAATTTGTCATTCCTGATTAAGGATAACAGTGTACAGTCCTCGGAAAACTGGAAATATATGCTTTCTAGAGAGCTATTTCCTCAATATTGAAGGAAAAATGTGTGGTATTTTCTTCACTTATCTTTGATAGCTGCCATCTTGAAAGAAAAACTCCGAAATATAAGCAGAACAGTCATTCTGGACTCTTCGGGTTTAATTCCTGAAGGAATTCTTATAGATTTTACCGGTATTTCTCGGCTTTCGAGAGAATGGAAAGGATTTGCCTTGAAATTCCTTAAGGAATCCTGTCTAGCGGAATCATGGCGGTCAGGCGGAATGTGTTTTTACTGGGTATGAAGGCATGGCGTGCAAGAGGTTCTCTGTACTCACGAGATTCGGCTTCGACGTCCTTCTGGTGGAGCCGCGATGGGAGAGTGGCACATCGCCTTCGGCGTGTTCAACAGTCCAGCCAAGGGCGAGGAGGGCTTTCAGCGCCTCCCTGACTGGCTCCTTGTAGCGCTCGCGCTCGTAGTCGCTGAGCATGTTGTACGGCTTGAGGCGCGGATGGCATTTCTGGCTGTCTGACCACTGCTCACCAAATGACCATCCAGCCTCAAGCTTCCGACTCGCCCAAGCGTCATGGTAGTGTTCACTGAACTTCTGCACGATGGAGTTGAGATCGTTGTCCAGCACCACGGCGCTCGTGTTGATCGGCTGCGGATTGTACTGTGGCTGATCCGGTGCCGCGGAGGTGGCGGGCTTTCCGTAGAAGTCCTCATCGGTGTTCTTCGACAGACTGTAATCCGGCGGCAGGGCGCATCCGATGGCAATGAGACATGGCAGTGCCTTGCCGAACAGCTCAGGATCGTAATCCATGTTGCTGAGGGAGTCAAAGATATTCGAGAACAGCAGCATTGTGAGTCTTTTTTCCTCATCAGAAGAAGACCCATAAGCGCCCTGTCCTCCACTCGACCCGTAGTACTTGGCGCACCGATCATAGTGCAGCGTGAGGAGACGCAGAGCGACTGTCGTGTACTCAGACAGACGCGACACGTCCACAGTGAGCTTTCGTAGGAGCTTCAGCAGCATCGACGGCTGCATCTGAGCCGTGAGAGCGACCAAGAAGTCCGACACAGCCTCTCGCTGACCCTTCGTCAGCATGCGGTTCTTGGACAGGCGATAGACTGTGTGCAGCGTTGCGTCCAAGAGGCTGGCGTAGTTCTCAGCCTCCATGTAGAATTTGGAGTGTTGAATGAGAAGTGGAAGAATTGAATTGCCAATGTAGCGATTCATAGACAAGGCCATGTCGCTCTCTGAGCCGTCATTCTGGAAGACAAGAGGTTCAGGAGATGCAAAGAGAATTCAGAGAGACCTTCTAAGAAAGAAATTTTACCCTATCAAGCATAGTTGCAGCTCGAAGATCGGGAAGGAAGGCTTCTTCTAAGAGTTTGTAAAACAATTCCTGCGTTTCAATGCCATAAACTCGCTCTAAAAACATCACAACACTTTGCTTGTGACCCGGAATGAGTCCAGATGGCATGTCTGAAAGAAACATTCACACCAGATTAAACTTTTCTGCAATTTAAATCAAACCAAGGGGGAGATAATATGGCCAGAAGTGGTGTACAGATCTGTAGAAGTTTTATGAAGTGAAAGTTCTTCAATTTTCGCAATATTTGGTAACAACTTTGATTTTCTGCTGATTATTTTTTTTCTCAAAAATTAATTTTTATCCAATTCTTAATTTTGATATATTTTTCTAGGTTATGTGACTGATTTAAGACTAAATAACATCTTAAACCACGAAATTACTTTTATTTATTAGTAGATTTGCGCCTTTCTAATTTGGAATGAATATTGATATCGATAAAAAATTTCTTTAAACACAAACTGTTCATTACCTGACTTGGGTTTCTCTTCGCCTGGCGCTGGATTTTGCAGCGTAAACTTGAGACTCAAGACACCTTGTAAGTCTTCAAGTGGCACTAAAGATCTCAAAATGGCGCGAGCTCTCAGTGATTCGTTTTTCCCCTGGGCAATCACAGCTGAATCCGGGGCGCACCGGCCGAGCAGATCAACCAAGGTGCAGTAGAAGCAGAGAATGGCCGCTCCGGTGTCGATGTAGTCCTCATCATCGTCACTCTCCGGCAGAGGATGATTGAACGTGAGACCAGCCATTGTGCCCTCGGCCTCGTCCTGCAGCTTGCGCCGATCGGCGATCCGTTCGGACATCTTGTTGGCATCAATGATGGCCCTGAGCAGACCTTCGCCTTCGCCTCGGAGTGCCGGCCCGAGACACTCGGGTCGACGAATGAGGAGCCGAATGACGAGATTGGCGTTTTCCTCGACACTCTCGCCATTCACCCAGACGCAGAAGCGCAGGAAGTCTAGATATCGCTCACCCTCCACAGGATCCCAGCCCAAGTCCGGATAGCCTTTCTCCACCAGTTCAGAATTGCTTTGCAAACCGCATCGCGACAGATAAACGGCGATCTTCTCCAGGTAGTGCTCTCGGAGGGCCAGAGCCAATTCGGTGTTCTCCATCAGACTGGAGTAGGCCACGTCTAGAGGTGTTGAACCGCGAAGACTTGGTCGCGACAGGAGAATATTGGAGTTCTCCAGCAGGAAGTCAAAGTGATCGAACATGGCTTTCTGATTCTGTCGACTTGTGCGACAGAAGTAGCACAGAAAGCGACAGCAAGCCACCACCATCTCGTGAGATGTGTCCTTCTCCTTCACCGGCGGTTCACCACCTTCACTCTGCACCGGAGCGTCGCTCTGTGCTTGCGCTCTTCTGCCCAGCGTGTTCATCATCACCGCCATCACGTTCTCGTGCACGCGCAGGATTCGAATCAAGTCCGGATGCTGGAAGAATGTGTGATTGTTCACCAACTTCCACAATCGCGTTCGCATGAGTTTCTCCTCTTCCTCACTCATTTGCACCGGCAACAGTGCACGAATCTGACTCAGACCAATCCACATGCCTGCAACGTCGTTCTTCGTCTTGCTGTTGATCACATACGTCTTCTCCAGTGCCTTGATCAGCTCACCAACAGTGTCGTACTGTCGCACGAGGAGTCCAAACATCTCCCGTACAAGTTTCGGTGTTTCTATTTGTGACTCTTCAGCCCACGAAACTATGGTTTTGATCAGCACTTTGCGGAAGATCTCTTCGGGTGTTTTCTTCTCTGGTTCTACATGTTCTGTCGGTTCCTCCTCCAGCTCCTTCACGGTGTTGATGAAGTTGAACAGCTTCGACAGCGGACCTGTCTTCCCTGTGTCAGCAGCACCAGCGTCCGCCTCTTCGGAGTCTTGCAGAGCACTCAGGCTCACCTTCGTCATCAGTTGTCCGTGGAAGGCATTGAGACCATCACGAAGTTCAACGCCACACGGACAGTTCTCAATGTCATCATCCTCCAGTGCCTTGAAACTGAGAATGGCGTTCATCTGCTCTCGCGGCGGACATCTGAACTCCCTCGTCTTCTTGGCGGCTACAGCACTGGGCAAATCTGATTGCTTGATCTCAATGTATCGTCTCAATTGATCTGATTGCAGATCACCCACGAAGTTGTTGGAGAAGGCAATGATGCTCTCAACACGATGGCGCAACTGCATATCGCAGAGATGGTGCAGAAGATAGCACATTTGCAGCTTAGCGCCTTCGGCCATTTTCATTGTCAACAGTCCCTTGCGATGCTCATCCTTGCCTTCTCTGTCGAAGCCACTGTCCCACGTCTCGGGATCAATCATTATCAGGAGCTTCTCAATGTCCTCATCCTTCAGGATGCCCACAAGGAGAAGACGATCACACAACTTAATCAGCGGTCTGCAACGGAACGCTTTTGATTAGTATTTCGGTCAAGATCAAGGAGGCACAAGCGTAGGATGACTTACAAGAACAAGTTCTCATTGGATCCGCCGATGGGATCGCGGTTGTGCACTTGGTTGATTTCAACAGCCTCCGCCAGAGCCTCCATGACGAACTCGCGGACGACCTCGAGGGGGAAGCGCGGCGAGTACAGTGCATCAATGGTCGGAATAGGCTCACTGGAAACACCATTGGCCACTACTATTGGTACATTTGGCAACGGAACACTTCACAATGCAATTCACCACCAAGGGGAGGTGCAAGGGTGGCAAGGGGAGCATGCAATTCACACCACAACACCGATGAGGAAAGAGGTGCATACATGAAGAGAAGAAGATGGAAGAGAGAGAGAGAGATAAATTAAAAAACAGTGCGCCTGAGAAGAAGTGCCGCGAAAACTTTCGTCCTTAATTCATCCATGAGTTCTCAAAATGCAACATTAGTCCCAGATCTGCAGAAGGAAACTTAATAGATTTTGTGCCTTTGTAGGAAGTTATTGGAAATTAGGAGTATTTTTCTAGAACGTTCAATTCTACGGGTAAAAATGTTTAAAATCGCACATAAATAATTGTGTGCGGATTGAAAATCACTGCAACTTACGCAATTTCCGTCATCTTCATTTGAGGTCTCACAGATTCAGTCTGGAGTGACCTCAGAGAGTGACACATCTCTGTGTCTTTGTACAATTCCGCCAACTCCGGTCCAAGAGGAATAATGAACTCGTTTTTGCAGACTTCCCTGTGCGAAAGAAGTGGGAAAAAATGTGATTAAGTTTCACGCTCATTACGACGTCACGAAATAATGGTCAAAGTTTGTTCTTTGACGAAGAGAAGATCAAAATCAGTTGGTAAACTTGAAAAAAAAAACATTATATTTGTCCCTTCAGTTAATCAACTTTAAATTTTTGAAAATCCCTTTTGCAACTTTAGCGCTTCAGCGGTGGCTTTCACAAGCCATATTGTTTGAGTGAAAGGTGTTCATTAGCAAGACTTTTCTAAAACGTACAAAACCGTTCCGATTGGTTAATTAGGATCGGAGTTATGGCCATTTGGATATGGACTTTAAAATCTATGATTTGAGAGGACCTAGGTCCTTAAGTGGGTATTTGTCGGAAAGGTCTTGATGTCTGCTATAACATACTAAAATTTAAGCCCGATCCCTGCCAGAGGGGCTGAGAAAATGAGGAAAATGTGTTTTTTCTTCTCCCAAAATGGCGGACATTTTGAGTTCCTCGAACACACTTACATGGTTGTGGCGTGCGACTCCAGATGGAGCGCAATGAGGAGGTCGCAGAAGCCTTGGCGCAGTGGTCCGCTCATGTACTCTGACTTGATGGCGTAGAGCAGCTGCTTCTGGTCGACGTGAAGGCACAGGGCGTGAGCAGCACGGTAGTTGGATTGGTAGCAGAGGGCGGCGTAGAGAGTGAGGGTGTGTGAGTGGAAGGACAGCAGCTTGTCCATTTCGATCAGCTCCAGGACATCAATGCAGCGATCCTCCTCGGGGATGTGCAGCGCCAGCATCGACACCGGATCTTCGCACAGCATTGACCAGCCTCGGATGTCGGAGAGCTTCAGCGCGTGCACTTGCAGAGCATTATTGGGCACTCTGGCCCACTGGTGAGGCTTCAGGCACTGCACCTTGAGTCTGGGTGGGAATTGGGGGTTCACATGCTTGTCGCCGGTGGGCAGAACGGCGGCGGACAGTGGCAGAGTGGTCGGCGTGCGGCCCAGCTCAATCTGCAGCACTTCCTTGCTCGTGGCCTCCACGAAGATGGCGGGAAAGAGCTTCATGTCCGTCTCCATCACCCACTTGTGCGATGTCTCCTTGCCCTCGCACGTGAACCTGATGGTGCCGGTGGCCGTGTCGATGAAGCACCCCACAAACATCCCCTGCGACGCTCCCTTGCCCGACGCGTCCTGTGTCACCTCATTGAACAATTCATCGGCGCGCACCATGTAGCAACTCTGTCGATTCACCTGGCCCACCACCGTCTCGTAGTCATCCTCCATAGCCACGCTGGCGCGCCGCACGGTCTGCTGATTGAACTCATTGCTGTGCCGGTGGTACTGCGTCGTGACCCAGCCGACCCACACGTGCGTCGGGTCCTGTCCGGGGAAAATGCGGACGCCGTAGAAGTACTCGTTGATCAACTTCAGGCACTCGGCGTCGTAGACTTCATTGCCCACCGACTCAATTGGACTGCCGCCCAAGGAGTTAACGGTCATTGTCTTCGGACGATCCGGCACAGCTGGGGGCTGAACCCGCAAATCGGCATTCGAGATCCTCACCGTTGGTGCGCGTGTCATCGTCTGGGATTGGATGACATTGCGACCTTGCGCTGAAAGGGAAGGACATTGGATAAGAGCGTAAGTATAATATTTGATCATTATCTCCACATCCGGCCGCTAGAGGGCAGCAAAGTTGGCGTGGGGGACGCTATTCACACTTTATGACTTCCTGATGTGATCCTAGTCAGGAGTGAAGGAAACTTGAACACGAAAATGAAGTTTTTCAGCTTGTGGCAAATTTTGTGACTTCTCCTGCTGCCCTCTGGCGGCAGTATGTGGAGAAAATAATAATAATAATCTCTTCTCGAGGCTTCTTCAACTCACCAGCGCCTTCTCGGCGGTCAGCCGGTTCTGGTGTCTTCGACTTGAGTTTGTCTTTGCTCTGATCACGCTTCTTGGAGAAGAACTTGAACGGACTTCGTCCACGCTTCTTCTTGTCGTCCTTCTCTCCAATCTCTCCATACGCATTCATATCCAATTCGCTGGTGGATCGCTGAATCTTGGAATTGATGTCCAGCGTTTGCGGGTCATAAGCAGCAATGCTTCCCCGCGATAGAGATCCTTTCCGCGGCGGCCGCGCCGGATTCGGACGCAGCATTTGCTCATCAGCCTCCGCGGCGTCTTCATTGTAGTTCCTGTGCAGACCTTTGATGTCATTCATGGTGAAACCACTCCTCATAATGTGATCAAAGTGTGCCGGAGTCGTTTGCTCAACTTCGGCCAAGATGCGATTCTGACGCATCTTAATTTCTTCCCAGCGATGCATTTTATCCGTTTCTCTGTGTGTGAAAAATCAAATATTTATTCATCTTCGACACAATCAGAGATTAATCAAACCAAGGGGGAGATAATATGCCTTGAATCTGTACAACATTTCTCTGCAGAATCTTCAACACATCAGACACTTCAAAATCATTTGGAAGATGCCTCAATTTGAAGCTTCCAGTTCAAAAACACTTCGTTTCAAGACCATAATATCTTCCCCTTGAATCAAACCACCGAATCTTACGTTATAAATGCACTTTGGCAAATGACTGGTAGTGAAAGTCTGAGGAATTCCCAATTGGCCTTTTCCATCGTCTCGAAAGTGTTGTGGGAGATCTTCAGACATGGCGGCGTGTCTGCACCGCCCGGAATTCTCGTAACATCAATTCGACAGTCGATAAAGTCTTCTGTATTCTCGAAGATGGGTTGATCTTTCGTGTACCAATGCGTCACTGGTCGCCTCATATTCCTGTTGAGTGTGACAAATTTCCCATTAAAGCTCACGCACGAAGATGGCATTCAACTTACACGCAGAATGGTTCGTATCCTTCCTGAAGGCCACACGTGGTGAACCACTTCAGCGAGTCCACATTCTGACCGTAAATCAGTCGAGCTTTCTGTCCCACCTGCGAATTTACACAATGTCACTCTCAATTGTCTCTCAGATGGTGGTTTTTCCACTGTGATTACTCACCCCGAGTGTGCAGGCTGGCACGAAGCCAACGCCATCGGCCGTCACATCGGCAAAAGTTGTCTCGCCTCCCAAAGCGTCCATCAACAGTTCGCCATTGAGGGAAAAGCCTTCAAAGAATTAATTGCTCAGAGTCAGAATGAGTTCGGAAGGAATTTGCGACGGAGACTGTAAAAATCATGCAAATTTAGTAAATTTGTTAATCAATGTTGAGAAGCTTTAGAATGAAATTTCAGAAACATAGAAAAAATTGAGTGAAAATGTAATTATGTTAGCAGACTATAGAAGAGAGATAATAAGAAATGTCAATCGTAATATTGCTCTAAAGAAACTTTTTGCTTTGAGCAGAAAATCAATAAAAAAATTGAATTATTTTATGTGTTCAAAGTTTATTTGAGTTTCTTCTGAAATTTCATAATAAATGCAATATGACTCGCAATTGCATGCACTTCAACAAATACTAAAATGAATTTAGTCAAAGGGGAGATATTATGGTCAAAAGTGGTGTACAGTTCAGTGAAAGTATTTGGAAGTGCATCATTATTTCCAATATGTTGCGTTCAAAAATTACTTTACTACTACTACTATAAAAACCAATAAAATGTATTAATTCTGCTAAAATTGATCATACCCTTAAAAATTTTAGTTTAGAACACAAAACTATCTATTTAAGGAGCTTTTAGGTAGATTTTCTACTTTAAAGTAGAAAATTTTAGCTAATTTTGGTTTTATAAGCGAATAATAAAATGGCATGTTTGCACAACAAAGGACTCCTAAATTGAGGTTATGATTCTTTAGGCGATTGGAAAAATTTATGATATTCCCAAAAAGGTGAAAAAAAAGAAGAACGCATGTTTCAATCACTGCCAAAGTTCTGAAAGTGTCTGTGATTTTCCTGCGGAAATTGTACAGTTTAACCGTATTATCTCCCCCTTGGAATTAAACAGAAGAAAGCACATAATATTGCAGATAAGGAGAAAAATTAGTAAGAAAATAGAATATGATGATATTCTAACACAAAAGTAGTTCTAATATTGTGTAATTGACATGGTTTTAGAGAAATTTTGATGAGATTTTCTGCACATGATCGAAAATTATCGATTTTTCTATTGCAAAAGTTAGACAAAAAGGTGTGAGAAGTGAGAACAAGAAAAAAAGAAATCTATGTCACAACATTCCCTAAAATCTTCCACATTAATATCCTTCTTCTCTATACACAAAATCACTAGAAAAATATAGAAAGAAAAATAGCAACTCTGAAGCGGTTTTGAGAATGATTACTTTTTGCTAAAAAAAAATCTGCTTTAAAGTCGCATTTGTGTTTTTTTTTTTGGTTTGTTAAGTTCTTATTCGCTTTTGTTTTTTTTGTTTTGTTTTTGAGCAAGATAGAGGCAATTCTTACTGATGGTGTGATCCACCAAATCAAGGAAGACACCAACGACATCACCAGGAACCCACTGTTTGCCAAAGGACTCAGTTGAGCCCCCCGAAACTTTTTCTTCCTACGAAAAATCCAAGGCATTTTCGAGTTTACAACATCAGGATATTTTGATAGAATAGAGGTAAAAAAAGAGGGTCTGAAGAAGGAGAGAATATTCAATGAAACACTAATATAAAATGAAAGAAAAACAATAGATTTGCTTGCTATAAAACCGCTGTTTTCTCAGTTTTGTCTCTCAGAAGAAAAAAAAGAGAAGTTTGTTAGCCACTGACAAGAGGATTTGTAAAAATAAATCTGAAGTGTGACTTTCAGTCCTTCTACTGGGATCCATTCTTACTAATCGTTTGCTCCGGCACGTCAATAAAGCATCCAATTACGTCTCCAACATCATATGGAGAACCAAAAGTATCCACTGAACCGCCATGAATTTTCGTTAACTGATACAATATCCATTTGAAAATTAATTTATCATATAACTTTCTCTCTCTCACCAGTATAAATATAAATAAATAAAGATTCTGATATTGTGTTTCTTTCACACAAAAATTTTCAAACTACTACATCGTGATACGATTAAAGTGTGGTGCTTTGTGGATTAATTACTGAGACACTTACATTGTATCCGTCAAAGGCCCAAGTGCTGTCGTCGCTGCCGAGCATCATTCCTGGATTGCAATCGGCTCTGGCCCAGCCAACCTGTCACGAAAATGTACTCATTATACAGTACTCCAGTATGCCAAAACTCTATGCAACTTTACATTCATATCTTATAAGATAAGACGTCAAATTTATCTGTCACAAGACAGAGAAATATGGGTCAATGCAACTTTATTTTTGATACAATGGCGATTCGTAATTTTTATGAATTCTCATAAAAACTGAGAAAATTTACAGAAATTATCTTTATAGTTTTATTGGAATTATTCAGTAATTTGTGGACATTTTAATACTTTTTTCCTAATTTTTATTCCTTTCGTCTCTTTCTTCCACGTGGAGGAAAATGGCCGGAAACTGGAGTCAAGTTGAAATATTCTGCCCTTAAAACAACCGCAAAGAAATGGCATTTTGACAGTTGAAATTCGTATTAAATAAACTCTCAAATTCGTCTTGTTTCGCTTTCTCATTCGTACTTTACATTACCGCCATCGGGTGACCACTAATAAAGGCTACGAAATGTTTAAAGTTACATTGCGAATTCATAACTTTTACGAATTGAAATGCAATGTGTGTAAAGTTGCAACGACCTGTAATTCACTTTATGTGTTCAGCGTTTGTAAAAATTGATTAGAAATCTCAAGAATGCTGTGAATGGAAGTAAAATAATTTCCCCCTCACCCGCATTGGTCCTGCCGTGAGTACTTCAAATTCGAAATACCACTTTCCCGATGTAACAGCGTAATTCTTCTCCACTCGATATGTTCGAAATGCAGCAAATTTCTGTCGTTGCGCCTCAGCCAGAAGAGCCTCATTTCCCTCCCCCGTGGGCGGATCCAGATTGTAGCCGTAGACCAGGAGTGTCCGGACAGTTTCCGAAGCTGTATCCCTGTTGGCCTTCTTGATGGCCTCGTCCACTTTGACGTAGGGCACCAAGTGGGGACTTCTGTGGTTCTCCGAGTCCTCATTCAGTCCGTACGTCCAGCCCTGTTGGATTCTCTCCTTGGCCCACAGATTGTGCGTGTTCTCCGCCAGCTGATCCACGAGCTCTTCCAGCTTCGGCGTCAGAGTCACAGCGCTGAGATCCAGTGGCGCCGGCTTGTAGCCGTTGGCCTGCATGAAGGGCTCGTTGGGCAGGCGAATGGGCCGAATGCGCGCCGGCGGCTTGTCCAGCGTGATGTAGTAGCCGAGGGCGATGATTGTCTTGAGCGTCTGCACGGCCAGTTGGCAGTCGTAGCGCTTCTCGGCGGCGGGCAGGCGCTCGAATTGCGTGAGACACGGATGAATCTTGTGCAGATCATCCCGATACTCACCCCAACACCAGCCGGCCTCGATCTTGTTGAGCGCCCACATCTCGTGGATGTTCTCCGCCAGTTTGTCCTTGATTGTGTCCACAAAGGACGGCAGACCGACATTGACTGTGTCCACGGGCTGAGGCACAAACGGTGTGTCGTCTTCGACTAGCCACGGTCCGGCCAAGACGTTCTTGTGCAAATTGCCGAAGTAGAAGCACGGATCCAGACTCAGCACTTGGTGTGGCATAAGGCACTGCACGAGTGGCGAGAAGCCGAGCGGCGGCGCATACTTCAGCCGTCCATGATCGCCGCCCAGCAAGAAGCGACAACTCAATTTGGACGAGCAACTGAGAACGGGGAAAAACATGCCGTCGAGATTGAAATTCCGGAAGCTTCCGCGCACTTTGGCCCCATTGAATGTGAACGTGATGATCGGCACTGTCAAGTCCAGGGCACATCCAATCACGTCGCCCTTCCTGATGAACGGCTCCTGCACGTCGCCGGGCACAATGGGAATCCGCCGGCCGCCGGTCCACAGTTGGGCGCCATCGAAGCCGAAGGAGTACAAGTCATCGCCGACGCCGTTGCCGCCCCACTTCTCGCCGCCGCCCGGATAAGGCACGTAGCCGGACGTGTTGGCCCAGCCGATGCGCAGATGAGGCATCATGTGAGTGGTCTGCTCGATGTGGTCCATCGTGATCTCGAAGTACCACTTCTGGTACATGGCGGATCCCTCGACGCGACCGACGAAGATGTTCGGCCGAATGCTCGCCACGTGATCCACCAATTGCGTCTGCAGCAGGAGATTCTTGCCGGGCAGGAGGAAGTCGCAAATGTTGTTTTGCGACGAGCGCACGGCGACGCCATTTCCCACGCACAGCGAACACAACACATCCAGGACTTTGGGATCCCTGCCGTGCTTCTCCAACAGCGAAATGATCACTTTGATGTGTTCGTCCTGGAAGAAACAGAGCAATTCTCAATTAGTTGCAGAGTTTTGCAGAAGCTGAATGAAACCAAAGTTACAGTGTTTTAAAGTTCTAAACCTTAAACGCTTAGGCGCTAGAAGATCGTTTTTTCGCGACAAACGGATCATGTTTAGTCATATTTAGCCTCCCCGAATCCATTTTAATCTAAAACTCACCCTCATCATGTTCAGCGCTTCTGGTGAGTCGATGAGCACGCAGTGGAGCACATCGAGCATGCCAGATCCTTCGCTGGAGGCTTGAGAGCCAAGACGCGAGAAGAGCCAATTCAATCTGTTGGTGTTTGCAAATTGGGCGCAATTTGTGTGATTTCCCTTGATGATGGCCGCCAAAAGTTGGTACAAATATCCCGAGATGAGTTCCCAGCTCTGCCCACTCTCGTCACTGGCCAGGAAGCTGGCCAGGAAGCCTTGGGACGTGATCACGTTGATCTTGTCAATTGCCTCGAGGATCAAATTCAGAACTCCCTCCTCTTGGAACAGATCCTGACGATTTCTCAGCGCACGGAAGCGATTCTGCTTCTCTTCGTGCTCTGCAAAAGACAACCAGAGAATTGGTGGATTTAGTGGACAAGTGGAGTTTGGTTGAAACAGTTGTGCTCTACTCACCCATATCGTCCTCCGGTTGGGCAAAGTAGTTGATCAAGTCCTCAAGACACATCACCATCTCAGAGAGATTCACTGTTTGGAAGAAGATTGAGTGGCGTCGATTTTCCTGAAGTCTCTCCAAACCACTAAAAGAAGTCGAAGAAAGTGTCAAATTTATGGAAAGTCCTTTGATGAGTTTTTTCTGAGGAACTCACTTAATGAATTTCGTAAACAAACTACTGCACTTCCTGATCACTCGTGCCGTCTTGGACTCTTCCTCTTGAGAGCGCGAGAAGTCCAGTCCATCGTCCATCTTGCCTTCCTCGTGCAGCACAGCTTGCTTCTCCTCCACTTTTCCCACGCCTTTCTTCTTCGTCTCGAAGCTCTTGTAGCTCAACCAGAGGCCCGACTCTGAGTGCTGCACAATCACAGTTGAGTCACCGTACTTGATTATTGGCGCCCCAATTATCTCCAAATCCTTGTCCTCCAGCACGATCTTCTGGTCGTCCTTTTCTTGGCGCAGGCAAAATGTCGAGCAAGAAATTGTGGCATCATCTTTCGGCACGAGCATGAGTTCGTTGTTCTCATTGACGGCCAAATATCGCCCAGTTGTCAAGTGGCGAATCCTCATCGGATGATACCAATTGATAAAGCCTCCTGACCACTTCGTCCTCGCCAACTCCAGTCGCCACAGAGATCTGGCTTGAGACATCACCGAACCGCCTTCGTAAATCACCATGCTGAGCAAGACACACACACATTAGGCTCCGCATGATTGTGAAGGTATTTGCCAAAAGGGAGAGACAATGTGGCTAAAATGTGTACACCACTTCCTAAAACTTTCTTAGCCTCTTCCGTTGCGCTGTACAACACTCTTGACCATATTGTCTCCCCCTTGGGCGTTTGCATACTTTTGACCCGGTTCGTTGGCCCACGTGCTCGGGATCGTGAGACACTCGTCGCCGCCGTGGAAGAATCTCAGCACGTCTCCGCCAAAGACGTAGCCGACGTACTTCATGCGCGAGATGCCCGTGCCGTAGGGCTGCACGGACCAATGCGTGACGTGAAAGCTGGCGTTCACGATGGACTGGTCGTTCTCCTTGGTGGTGTGCAGATAGCGCTCTGTGGCGACAGACACGAGAATCAGGTCGTCGCCGACACGCACCTTCTCGCCCTCGGATCGCTGCTTGCTGGCAGGATGTACTGTCCACCAGCACGCTTCGCCTTGGCTGTGCTCCTGAAGGCCCACGTCGAAGGACAGCTTGTCATTGGAGGAGGACGTGGACAGGCAGGCCAAGTACTGCAAAGTGGAATTTTCACGGTCAGTGCAAATCAGCGCGGTGAGGAAGTGACAGGGGAAGTAATTTACCATGTCACTGTTCTGATGGCGCAGAAGAATGGCATTGCCATAGAGGAGTGTTCTGTGCCCAGATCCTGTTCCCTTTCCCTGCAAATCACATTCAGGACAATTATGTTAGATCGATTTTGCTTTCGCACATTCGAATCACACGACATTCAAATTTGTAAATAACTTTAGAGGCTTGACGAACTACAGAGAAAACTTAGAAAAAATAAATAGGAAGTCTTATTGCAAAACCTACAATATTAAAAAATTTGTTAAAAGTCTTCAAAGTCTTTTACTCTCAAAATAGCCATAATCAGATTTGAATAACAAGTTATTCTTCGTCACAAGAGCGTAAACATTCCAGCAACATTCATATAAAAAAAATCATTTTTTTCTATTGGGGGAGGGAAAAACTTATTGCCTGGCAAAAGAAACCGAGAATGACCTCGAAATCCACCCAAAACATCATCAAAACTACACGATTTGCTTCCCAAACTTATTGTTTAGTTGTGCAGGAAACAGACAAGATAGCTGAATGGCCAGTAAAATTTATTGATAATCTATACTGTCACACAAACATAGATATTGTCCTGAAGCAGTGACGTAGTCAACACAAAGTGAGATGCTAAGAATTGTTTTAGCTATTTCAGACCGCTAACATTGTAATTATTACAATTTTCAATAAATGTTTGATTATTTTCTCTACATTTAGTCACCAGAGGGCAACAATTGCAACTGTAAAGACATGTAGAAGTTCCGATTGTACTTTTTTTCAATGGTAAATTTGGCCCAGCGATCAAAGAACAGAAGAACATATAAATGTCAAAAAAAGGAAAAATTTTATTCAAACAAATTGGATGAAATCAATTTTTATTACTTTTCAATATTTTCTTATGATTTGTATTTAAGAAATTGAAAAATACGCTTTATTTTCCCTTTTAAAGTCTCTTGGGAATAAAAATTTTAGGAAAATTCTGAAAATCTGAAATAAGGATTGTTTATGAAAGTTTTCGACTCACGAAATCAAGATTACGTCACTGCTTCTCAGCAATATGATCAGTAAATAGTGGATAATACTCGTGAAAGGAGTGACTGAATGCTTATGGCAAAAGAGGTTCTGTTAAGAAAGAACAATCGTAAGAGAGAAAATGTCTCAATTGGTTGCATAAAAACGTACAAATTCTGATAATAAATGAAAATTCTTAGCTTCAGAAACATTAGAAAAAGCAGTTTGATAGTGATTTATGTTATGATATTCTTGCTGACAATATGACTGAAGGAATTGATGAATGTTTTTTCGAGACATTCTTTGATTTCCCATGGGAAAATGGGCATCTTAGATAATGAATACGCTCTGTTTCAAAAGAAAATATCACATGAAACACGAATATTTGAGACGAAGCACTTTTTTGCCAAGGAAATGATTTGTTTTTATAAGCTTTTAAACAAAATTAAACAAATCATGACGATCACAGTTGATTTCAAACATAGTGTTAAAGTGTTACTGTGGCGTGTTTGATGACCAAAAAAAATGTCTTTTGAATGAGCTTTTGGCACAGATAATTTGCATTTTCTGATTTCTGTTAATTTTGTAAATAGAGCTTAAGCTCAATTATTAACTTTTACGCCTCGTTGCAACTTTATTGATTTCGTATTTCTGTTGATAAAAGTTACTAATTTGGTGTTGCAACTTTACGTTTTCATAGCTTATATACCGCCCGGCGGCGCTAGTGTATAGTACGAATGGAATACGAACGAGAAGACGTGGCAAGGCAAAGTTGAGAGTTTATTTAATACGTGCGTGTCACGGTATGTACGAGTGAGCAATAAATGGAATAAAAAGGGTCAAAGGATGAAATGATTGAAATGTGCCCAAATGGCCGGAAAAATCCAATTAATCTGTGTTAATTTACATAAAAACATAATGATTGTGTATTTCCTTGGTTTTCACGTGAATTTTCCGGCTTTTTTTTGTCTTCACGCAACAAAAAATATGAATTTACCTCAGACGGCAACGTTTGAAACGTTTCAGGCTTCGCAGTAGATAAATTCACCACATTCGTATAAAATACTAATCGTAATCTTGCAACACCTTTTTGTAAAATCCTATTTATGACACCTTTCTAAAAATGGTGTGAACTTAAAGTTGCAACGAGGCGTTAGTCTGCCAATTAGACAATTTTTACAATTCTTTTTTTTTTGAGAAAAATGAAAAACACAAAATATATTGATTGTTCAGGAAGTTTGTTTGTGTACCAAAAAGAAGAAGAAAAAAATACTTTGTCAAAGCTCTTCAACTCCCTGAAAATCCTCTTCTCTCTCTTTCTCTTCCTCTCTCTTTCTCTACGATACTTACTAACGAATCTTTCTCCTGTAAACCAAATTAGAAAATTATATGATAATTTTCTTTTTGCGCTAATGTCCCTAATCATGTTTGCAGCGTAATAATAATTATATTTAGTCTTGATGGAATGCATGAAGGCTTTCAATTGCATTGATAGAAAATTAACAGTTTATATTGGTCTGAGAAAATTTGTACAAATGTACGGAAAAGCAACTGAAGAATCTCTTAAAGATGCGCGTTCTTGAGCAAAAATATATATTAGAGAAATCACGGAATGTTGAGGGAAAACTCACGGTTTCAGATCCAGCGGCTGTGACAAGTTCCTGCAAGGCTCGCACTGACAGAGCCTGCTCGATGACGAAGACACACTGTGACAAGTCAGGAGGAATATTCTTGTCGGCGATATTCTCAAGAAAACAATGTCGATTGCCGAATCCTTCAGCTGCTAAGCAAACGCGTTCGCCAGTTGCTGTGCACGAGAGACAAACCATGTCTTCCTGCAGGATGAAAAGCAAGTTTATTACCTCATCTTGCAAGCATAAAAGATAAATTGCGTAAAGCAAATTCTTATTAGGAAAGGCATTAAAGCCAGTTATTATATGCTAAAATTTGGATTCCATCCATGGAATACGGCGTGAGCAAGAGAGGAAAAGGTCTTTTATAAGTGTTCAAAATGGCGGACGAAACGGGTTAGATCTAACAGCATTTTGATTAATTTGAGGAAATTGAGATTTTGAGTGATTACGAGTAGTCTAAAATGTTCTGACAATTGCCAATGCAGATGGAAATAACGTGAATTCTTACCGTGCGCAAGAATGAAACATCATCTTGCTCAGATCCTCCTTCCGCTTCGGCCATCTTGTGGAAAGATCCACACTTTCGCGCACTAACAAATCACCAAATTTATTTTCTTATGTCTCAGTATGAAGAAGTGCACATGATGTTATCTACGAAACGCCTAGCAAGAAGCCAAAAGAAAAAAAATGAGCAACAGTGTAAAAAGACACGGAAAATTAATTGCGGAAGAAAATCGTTAATGGCAAAATTACTCAAATTGCGGGAACGAAAGAAAAGTGGAAAAATCTCTGGTCGTTTTGCATAGTCGCGAAGTTGGGGTGGAAGATTTATTAATAGAACTTCACGAATCTCAATCCCACATTGCGTGTCTCTTTCACACAAACACGCGCTTTGACTGAAAAGTCCAACGACAATTTTCCGAACATGAGAAATTCAAAAATGATCGCGCAACTCTATTTTCGTGTTGAAAGAAAAAGGTGTCAACTAAAGTGGATTTTATGGCGTCTCATTTGAACACATTCTCAACGAGGAAGTGAGATTTGAAAGGTGTTTTAGGTTGAAAAATTGATATTACATTCGCTCTTTGCTTTAATTATGCAAAGGAAAAACTAAATGCAAGGATTTATGCAAATCAACCCTTATCTCGTTCCTTCGCTTCCCTTCTCACTTCAACATCGTGGCATTTACGACAACCACTGCAGTGGAGGGAATAATTCTTCTTTATGTGTTTTCTCACATTGAAAAATCCCTCAAGGGGGAGATAATATGCCTTAAATCTGTACACAACTTCTGAACACTTCAAAATTTGCCTGACACTTCTAGAATCTGAAGTCTTTAGACTGTTTGCAACATTGCTTCCCAAATTATAATGAATTTCTTAGGTTTCCATTTGATATTTATGCAAGAATTTAATTAAAAACACATTTTTGGACATGCTTTTCAGCCATAACCTCAAAAATATCACTAAGCGATCTTCAAAAACTCCGTTTGGAAGCTTTCTAGATCATAAAATCATCTCTTGTGATTCATCAATGAACTCAAAATTACTGAATCAGAGTCAAAATTTCCTAAAATTGCTGCAGAAAGTAGTCTAAATAAATATTTTCCAAGTCTTTAATACACTTTTTGCGGTTATGTTCAATCATCAATATAACCTAGAAAAAAGGGATTTTTATGATTGATTCTGCGTGAAAATTTAAGGAGATCCGAAGAATTGGCATACTTTGCCAGTAAAAGAAGCGCTCAGGATAGGAATATTGTGAGCTTTTGAACACTTCCACTTCTTAAGTACTTCTGCTGAACTGTACACCACTTCTGACTGTATTATCTCCCCCTTGATATCACTCTTAGGGCAACTTCAACAGGGGTTAAACTATCAACAAATTCTTAAAAGGCTGATGCACTGAATTTATTATTATTCGTTTGAATCACAATTTCAAATTGCTCTGCGATGCTGTAATCCTGGCCCAGCGAATCGCAAAATTACACTTCTTGGCTCAAAGATATTTTAAGCCTTCGCACACATTTTAGGCGCACCGAACCGAAAATAACACCGGGAGCCCCAGAAAAATGTTCTTTTTTCAGCTCTGCGGAATTTTTGCCATTTTATCCACTAAAATCTGATTTTTCTGCACACATTTTGCATGTAAATTGGTGAAAAATGTATAAATTTTCGGTTAAACTGGAGAATTTTCAGTGGAATCAATATTAATTAGGTGAAAAAGTGGATTGAATTGACCGAAGGAGCAAACGTACCGTCACCCCTTGAATCTCAAACTGAACTAAATTTAGGTGAGCCGACAATCCCGAATTACCATCGAAACCTGCCTTCGGACACGTACACTGTTAGGAAATCCCACTTGAGCACCTGACAAGTGGGAAAATGTCGGGAAATTCCGGTCCGAAAGTCATGTTTTCATGTTATTCTTAGGATTTCTGTTTGAAAACCCTTTTTCTTCGCAACAGAAAAGAATGTTTAAACACTGAATGACAAATATCAGTTATAATTTCACGCGTGTTAAATGCAAATCATTGAATTTAGAGCAAAAAAATTGTATTTTTCATCTCAAACATTACTTATTTTCTGTGCTTAACAGTGAAATATGACTTTGAAAATTATTTGAGATGTTTGTTTTTTGGAAAATATTTGAATCTGACCAATTTTTCCGTAACGTGTATGAAAATGTCACGGAAAAATAAATTTCCCACAACAATTTGGGACATTTTTCCGCAATTGATCCGCGACAAACGCACCTAAAATGGCGACAACTATATAAGCACAGGGAAAAGACAAACGTTTTTCCAGAATGTTTTGGCGCAAAACTCCCAAATTAACCACTCCAAGGCGCTCTAAATCAATCATGAAGTTGAAATATTGTGCAAAGCATGGAAAACCCCAAAAATTTCCCCCAAAAACCCCACCAAGTGCCCCAAAATTGCAATTGAAGCGCCGCGTGGGTGTGAAAGAGACATAAGCGGCGGACTTGCGCAGTTGTTGGTGGGGAAAAGAGGGGAAATGTTGGAGTTCAAGGTGAATCATGTTTTTTGCCATGTTTTCAGTCATGTTTTCTGATGTTTATCAACAAAATTCTCTGGCACGATTCAATGTTTTGATGCACACGACGGTCAATCACCGTGTTTATCTTTCACACTTCAAAGACATTCCTTCTCGCGAGCGTCTATTTAATCTCAACAGCCAATCTCACGAGGCGACGCCAAAGCTCTCCACGTGCTTTTCTCACCAATATGTGTATATATATATGTAAACCATGCGGTTTTCCCACGGCTTCTCACTCCACCAGTGACGTTTTTAAACGCGCCACGCGTCTTCGGCTGTTCTTTGCCAATTTTATTCATGAGACTCGAAGATTTCAGCGCCACACAGAATCAGTCATAAATCTCGTATTTTCACGTTTTCTTAACAAAGCGAAACACATGAAATTGATATGAAAGAAAGAATCGTTTGCTTTGAAAATTATGGAAAGTCAAAAACCCAATTTTTCAGGGGGGAAAATTGAAATTTATCGTCAATATCGCATCAAAATTTGTCAAATTCACCCCAAAACACCTTCTAATTGTTCATTAAAATGTTAATATAGCTTATTGATTTCATTGGTAGTTAGTTAGTGAAATTTTAACAAAAATATTACTAATTAATAGAAAAATTGAGTATATTATTTTCCTAAAGTCGATTTTAAAAAGTCTGCGATTGCACTTTTAAAGTGATCACGTTTTGCGCGCTGCGTTTTCGGCTGCGTATATATTGACACTGGCTGATGTTTTGAATATGATGGGAAAGCGTTAACATTTTTTCTCTCCATGCCACAAAACACGTTTTTTCATCTGTTGTTGTGAAATTTTCAATTTTCTCATTTCAAACATGCATCATTCGCACACAGTTATTCTGATGTTTCTAGCTTGTATAAAACATAAAATTTGAACGTAACGATTTTTAGGCTAGCCGAGACACAAACCGCATTTCGGCCACGTTTCGGCTACGTTCAGAGTGGTGTGACATTTCACTATTTCACAAGTTTACTCAACGATAAACATTGCATTTCCTCGCGATTTTCCTCGGGAATTTCACAGACTTCTGAGAAAGATCACACTTAACAAGAGAGTTTAGGAGTTAAGGAAGCAAGTTTGAGTGTGGATTCACAGAATTAAACCATGTCAGGACAGTATTTTCAAGCGAATCTGGACAGTGTTCAGGAAGGTTTGTTTTCCTCCCAAACAAGTCGCGGAATCGTCTCTGAAACCACCGTTTTTTGCTCGAATTTTCCACAGATGAGGACACTCAGGTGACTTTCGGCGGCAAGGAGGGCATCCTCTTTGTGATAGACGCCGCATCGTCAATGCTGGACGAGCACGAGGGCAAAGAAGCCAACCTCCGGCTGGCTTTGCGCGCCATCGAGGCCTCCATGAAGAATCTGGTCGTGGGAAACCAGAGAGATCTCGTGGGCATTGTCTTCTACAACACACAGCACAGTCCCAAGCCCAGGTTCGAGGAGGGCGCCGCGGAGATCGTCGTGCCGCAGCACACGTGCATTCTCCTGCCCATGGACGTGCCGTCAGTGGAGAGCATCTCTTACGTGACCAGCTTCCACTCCTCTGACGACTCATTCGACTTCCACAACAGATACGGATGCGACGGAGCGGCGAGCTTCGCCGATGTCATCTGGCTGTGCACGAAGATGTTCCAGAAGTGCGGCTACAAGCTCCAGTCGTCGGTGATTGTCCTCTTCACGGACAATCACCTGCCGCACGCTGCGAACATTCACGAGCACCAGCAAGCCTTCGTGAAGGCCAAGGATCTCAACCAGCTCAACGTGGAGTTCACACTGATCCCCATGCGCGAGGACTTTGACGGCGATCTCTTCTACAAGGAGTTTATCTGCACGGTGATGGACATGGAGATGGAGAACTTCGAGCTGGACGTCGCCGTGAAGGACGTGGAGACGATCTCGAGTAGGATTTACAGGCGAAACTACCGCAAGCGCTGCAACAACTACCTGAAATTCAGCCTCGGCGAAGGCCTGGAGCTGAGCGTCGGGCTGTACAGCTCGGTGAGACACGTGAAGTATCCGAAATCCTTCATGGTGGATAGGAACACGAACGAGGTGATCACCAGGAAGCGTGTGCAAGAGGTGTACGATGACGTGGAGCAGACTATGGTGGCTCTGATGCCGCACCAGCAGAAGAAGTTCCAGGAAATCGGCGGCCGAAGGATCATTTTCACCACTCAGGAGCTCGCCACCATGAAGACCTTCCTTCCGGCCGGTCTGCGCTTGCTGGGCTTCAAACCCCGCTCAGCAATCAACGTGAGTTACTATATCAGGCACGGATCCTTCATCTACCCGGACGAGACGTCGATTTCTGGCTCCACGAAGCTGTTCAGAGCACTCTGGCAGCGCTGTCTGGACAGGAATGTCGTTGCCATCTGTGTCCTCACGCTGCGCTACAAATCCCCGCCCGGCTACGTCGCTCTGCTGCCCCAGGAGAACGTCGTCAGTGGCCAGGATCAGGTTGAGTACAACGGCTTCCACCTGATGCACCTCCCAATCTTGGACGACGTGCGCGACTTCAGCTCATTCAGTCCACAAGTGACGACGGTGTCTGAGGAGCAAGTGCTGGCACTAAAGGGAGTGGTGAAGAAGCTCAAGTTCAGATACAATCCCAAACACTTCAGCGATCCCGTGCTGAAGAATCTCTACAGCAACATCGAAGCCTTCGCCTTCAAGACGGACGGCGAGGAAGCCGAAGACACCACGCTTCCCAACGCCAGTGAACAGGATGAGCAGATTGCCGAGCATATGCCGAACATTATCCGGGAATTCGGCGAAATTGTAGTCATCAATGAAGGTGGTTCGGAGTCGGGCAAGAGGAAGAACACAGAACCCGGAGAGAACGCTCGGAAAGCCGCCAGATCCCAGGCGCCAGTGGACAAAGACCACATCGTCCGGGAGTTCAGTCTGCATCGCGAGGGGAAGCTCACCGTGGCCATCCTGAAGGCTTACGCCCAACAAGTCGGCCTGAGCACGCAGGGCGCGAAAAAAGCCGACCTGATCGAGCTGATAAGACAACACCACAACTTGTAATTCATTCTGTATTCTCTGCGTCAATTGCAAATCCCATCATTTTGCTTTTCTCCTAAATACACAACTTCAGCATTCAACATACAATTGACATTGTCTCTCGCGCGCTAAAAAGTATGTACACACTTCCTGGCAAATTCACTAAACATGTGTGTGTGTGTGTGAGTGTGAACGGTGAAATAAAGAGAAAGTGGAAAGTATTTCTTGCACATTTCAATTTGTAACAAATGGAAAAACTAACGCTCATTTTCTCTATCTTCGTTAATGGATTTTTACCCACAAAAGTATTGTTTATATAAAAGAAGAAATCTCAACGTCTCTCACTCTCTCCTCTGGCCTAGAAACTTATCAGGCGCGCATCCTGAGGACTCTGTTCCATCGGGCAGTACGGGCATTTCAGTCTGCAAGAAGACAGAGATTATTAGCTTAAGCGCCAGCGCGGCAACTTCACAGCAACTCACATTGGTCCTGAACTCAGCTTGTTCAGGGCATCACGGGAGATAACATGACCACAAATCAGCTTCATAGGCGGATTATCATCGGAGCTCTGCTGCCTCAAGATGGGACACGCGAATATTGAATGGTATCGATTGTCCGGATCCAAATCGATTTCAATCTGCAGAGAAAATGATCACGTTAAGCCACACTTCCTCAGCACACAAACACACATTTGGCCTTCATCCTCACCGGGAGCTCATCTCGTCCATTCCAGATGCCCATCACCTGTCTGGACAGCATCACTTGCTTCAGATTCAGCAACGCCGGCAGCGCCGTGCAGCCGGCGTTCACCACCACGGACAGCGGCGAGTCCTTGTTGATGCCCAGCACGCTGCACGCGTCCTTGATGAACGAGTCCGCCGCCTCGATCCACATCTCGGACGCCATGAGGTGGCGATAGGGTGAGTTCTGGATGCCGATCGGCAGGTACATCAGCGTCCCCATCAGGCTCTGGATGTCCTTCTGGAACCTGTGCACAAACTTGGAGAAGTACGTGCGCGCGTACGCGATCGCCTCCTTCTGCGCCTCGATGCCCCTGCTCAGGATCTGCATGAACGCCAGTCGGTGCAGCTTGAACTCCAGCGCGCTATGCTTCGCCTCCAGCTTGTCCGAATAGTGCGTGGCCCACTGAAGGGCGGGCGCCAGGTCGCGATTGTGGATGGCCTCCCAGGTCCTGTGCAGCTCCGCGTACGGCTCTATCGAGATCTCATCGTGCTGCAGCGAGGATTCCTGCGCAAATTGAAAAATAGAAGTCTTTCAACTCTTCTTTCTGAGGCAAGACTAAATGTTATTCTGCTAAGATTATTATTTTCCTTTAAACTGCAATCTTAAATAACCTTCAATGGACATCACTGAACACTTCTTCATCTAAAAAGCCTTTCAAATTCCGCAACTTTCATTGCATTGCTTCAATTTCGACCTCAATTTGATGTTTCAACATAATTTCTTAAAATAGTTTAACCTACTAATTATGTTAGTGGCTTAAACGACATCGAAACCTTACTTTAAAAGCACTTTTAGCTGAGATTGGACAAATTTATAAGCCTAATTTTGGTTCCTTACTATAGAATAGATCTCAAAAGACCTGCAATAGTGAGAAGAAATGAATTTTGAATACAAAACCGGACAGAATTAATTGCCACACGGTTTTCTCTAAATGATTTCCTCCCAATTCAACAGGTAATTCGCAGTCAGAAAGCGTAGGAGTGGCTCTGGACAGACGACAGCGTCAAAAGAGAATCATCTTCTGCGTCACTCAAGGTGAATGGACAGTTAATTCCTCTGGAAAGAGTGGATTCTCGAAGGATTGATGCTCACCTTTATCAGCATGTCCGCCACGTCTTCCATGCCTTGTCTGTAGAAGTGCTGAGCAATCACTGTGTTGAGCAGCTGGATGTTGCGCTCGGAGGTGAACACATCCGTCCGGGAAGTGGCCGTGAAGTCAGACACGAAGTTCCTGTCGATCGCCTTGCCCACTTTGCTCACCGTGCCGTGCAAGTCCCGATGATCCGCCGTAAGGCGCTGCAGTTTCTCCTTCGTCTTGGACAGCGCATCCTTCAGTATCACCACTTGTCCGGCCGTCAGCTCGGCGTTCGCCTCTGTGCCTATAAATAACGCCAGAGTGTTATTTTGTAAATAAATGACTCTCCTTTCCGCGCAATTCGTCGCTTTGTTTATTATTAGCACTGTCGCGCGCTCCACTGACAACTTGGCCCCCCGTCTGTCCCGAGAACCACCTTTCCCCTAGCGCCAGCGCCACACTCAGCGTCCAGACAATGCTCCCCGCACACAAAGAGCCACATGACGCGGCGCTCCTGCCGCTCTCCCCGCGAGGCGCCCCGCAAAATCCGGGTGAAAATTGGCAAAAGTCTCCCCATTTACCCTCCGCGATGTGTTGCTGCAGCTCAGTGAAATGTGACAGGACATCGCCAATGATTTTCGTCGAATGCTCATTTATCGCCGCGAATTTCGACAGCACGCGTTCCAATTCCTTCTCCACCGCCGAGCACGAGTCCATTTTGCACGCAATATCAGCTATTGCACGGATTTTCACGCCACAAATTGATGAAAAATACGCACGAATTTCTTTGTCTCGGCCACTTTCTTTCTGCGAAAAAAACACTGTTCTCACTCTGAAGTTGGCTGCGAGACGGCGCGCGACGGAAAAAGTGTCAGAGTGAAGTTGGGTTATGTTGTTGTTTGCATGCGAAGGAAAACAACCCATGAAAAATTCCGTTTTTCCCAGTTTTTCGCGAAAAAGAACGCAATTCCGTGGTGCAAATCGACACACTGCGATCTCTATCATCATACTCAGTGATTTTGAGAGTGGCAAGAGGTGAATTTGCAGGGAAAATAGACTTCGACAATGGACATTATCGATCCACTCCGCCCCAAAACAGTGCCCCTTTCCGCAGAGACTATTCTCTGGTTTGAATTCCTCCTCGATCCCGAGCTCCTGACGTCTCATCTCAATAAGTGCTCACCAAATCCCCCACCTATTGAATTGATAGAGAAATTCCTCACAATCTTCCCGGACAATCCGGGGGAAAGTGCAGTGACGCCCCAAGGAAGTGACAAGGAGACGCCTAAATCAATTGAGGAGATTCTAGGCAGGAAGCAGATCGCACTGAAGATTCTCACTCTGAAGGTGGCTTCGCATCTCAAGTGGAATCTCGATGTGATCGAAACGCTGAATCTGCAGAAGCAAATCCAATTGCTCGATGATCTCTGCACGGTGACGTCAGGGACTCTGGTCAGTCTGCCGCTGACGAGTGATGAGGTGAAGATTGGACCACAGGGAAGCCGTGGCGCCTTTGAGTTCGCCCTTCTTGTCTACCATCGCTGGACGCTGCGCGTGTACAAGATCTTCAAGGAAGCGTTGCTGAAGAACAAAGCCAATTTCGGCCTAAATCCAGCTGGAACGACCACAGATCCCATTTCGCTGCGCGACGAGATGTTTGCCACAGCAATGGATCCCATTCCGCAGGACAGCATCAACTACTTGCTCAACATTTGCCAGAATCCGGAAGCAATCGCCGTGCTGACGTACGATTCCCTGATTCCACTCAACGCCACGTCGGAATACACGAGTCAGAACTTCAGATTCATCAAATTCATCTCCAAGTGCGAGATCAAGACGCAGATTCACTTTGACCTGTGCAAGTTCTTCCTGTACGTCAACTCAAACGCCCTGGCCAGACAGCACGCCATCGATTGCCGCGACAATCTGCGCGTGCTGAAGTTGGAATATGAGTCGAGAGGTGAGAAGCCGGCGGACTTCCTCCTCTGCCATGTGCCCGAGGAGGAGCTGGAGGGATGCTTGCTAGCCTGCGGCGTGAGCGATGTCAAGCACGGCCTTCTGCAGAGGATGAACGAGGAGATTGTCCACCAGCGCTACTCCAACATCCTGGAAATCCTCGAGAGGGACAATATTGAGCTGGAGATTCCATTCGTCCACCGTAAGATCCTCGAACTAGACATTGAGGAGGCGCTGAAGACTGGCGAAGCCAACGTGACAAAAGACATTGAGATCAGCATAATTGCCCTGAACACAATTCGGTGTCTTGTGGACGAAGAGAATTGCTTCCAGACCACGGACTTCATGCAGAAGTACAACGGCTCAGCGGAGAATCTGAGCGTTCTCCTGCAAGCCACCGCCAAATTTCTGGCCAGCGAATGTCCGCAGAGGAGCAGAGATCGCATGGCGCAGTACTATAGGAGTCTGCTCGTGAAGGTGGACATCGTGAAGGAGGTGAGAAGCCTGAATCTCCTCACTGAGGACGAGCTGGCCTTCCAGGCGGGCAGTCGATTCGTCTTCCCGCAGATCAGCACTCAGGCCGACTGGAGAGTGCCCGATCTGAGCCACCATCGGTTGGAAGTGGGTCAACTCAAGCGACAGCTCATCAACAGCAACGCCTCGGATGTGCGGAAGCTGTGCCGGAAGCTGGGCAGCATGAAGGAGTACGACGAGGGCAGACGGCGTCCGCGCGAGCTGTGGGAGATCAACGCGAGTTGGTCCATCCCCATTCCGCTGCAGTCTGTCCTCAAGTCTCTGCAGAGGGGCTTCCTGAAGGATTTCGCCTACATCGCACTGGGCAAGGCGCGCGAACTGACCAATCGCAAGGACTTCACGGGCGCCGTGGCGATGCTGACCGTGCTGAAGACGGAGACGCAACGATCGGAGATTGCCAACACGGCGGCCGTGACGAAGATGGGAAAGCTGATCGCCTGGGAGATTCTGCTGGTGCAAATCTGTCAGTGTCTCAATGACTGGCCGAAGAAGCATCCTGACTCCGCGTCCATCGGCGCCAAGTGCAAGCAGTGCATCCTGTCGCTGCAGAACGGCGACGCGGCTATTCCCCGGACGGAGATCCTGGAGTACAGCATCGCCATGCTGCTCAATCTGTCGGACTGGGCCAGCCTCATCCTGCCCGACAAGCGATCGCCCATCCTCGAAGTGAGCTCTGCACTCGCCGGCGCAGCGCTGGACATCGAGAAGGGCAAACCGAGCAAGATCTGCCGGGAGGCATGGGACCTCGTGCTGCCCATGTTCCTGACCAGCGGCGGTAAGAGGAGTGTGTCCAGGGACTCTCCGACGCTGGCGGCGAACAACTTCTCCGCCTTCTTTGGCAAACTGCGCGAGCCGTTCATCGTGTCAATTATATTGTCGCTCTTGGCCAAGGTGGTGAATATCATCAAGGACGACACGAATGTGGAGATCTCCTGCGACTACATGTTCCTCTGGCCAGCGACGATCTCCAAGTAAGCACGGTTTGTCAAAATGTAATTGCTAAAGTGTCGCTAAAATATGCTTTTCCCTCTTTCAGCTCCAATTCCTACAACTTGAGGGCAGTTTCTGAGGCTCTTTCCCATCTCCTGGATCAGAATCTCAAGTTCTATCCGCAGAACATCTCGTGGCTGAAGCTGAGAGCCGATCTGGACTATCTGAACGGCGACAACGAGGCGGCGATCAAGGGATATGTGAACGCCTTGATTTCTGGCACGGAGTACTGCACTCTTCACCTGCAGAAGCCCCTGATAGACGACGCAGTGGTCAGGCGGATGATCAAGTGCAGCACAAACCTGGGATGTCACATGCAAGCCACGGTTCTCTGCCAATTCCTGGACGACGTGGATTACGGGTTGGCCTTCAAGTGCATCTCTGAGAAGAGCGCCAGCTTCACGGACGCCATCGACACGTATTACTCGTGCATCTGGGACGTGACTATCCTGGAGTTCATCATAAATCTGCACGCGAAGAAGAACGAGCACACGAGGAAGCTGCAGGTGATCTCGTACATGAGCCAGCTGGAGTTGAATGCCAACAATAACGAGGAGATCAAGAGAGAGGCGGCCAACAATCGCAAGATGAAGTTCCTGCGAGCGCTGGCCAAGCAGTACATGCTGCAGGAGATGTGAAGGTGGTCAGGAATAACACTAGGGACTTTGATAACACGACAATTTACTTCTTCTTGCCAGCCTTTGCGGCGGGCTTCTTGCTTTTCTTGGCGGAATCGCCCTTCTTGGGCTCCTCAGCCTTGCGCTTGGCCGCATACGTTGTGGGCAGAACCTTGAAGAAGCTGTCCAGACGTCCCTGAGTGCCCATCGCCTTGGACTTCTTCATCTTCTGGATGCCCGATCGGATGCGCTCCTCGTTGAACTGCCGATGGCCGCAGAGGAACTGCACGATGCCCTCCTCATCGGGATCTGTCCACTTCATCTCGACGGTCTGCGGATCCTGCACTTCGGGCTCCTTGAACAGCTGACGCGCTTGAGCGTAGTTCCACTCCTCTGGCACTGAGTACTTCTTCTTGTCGATCTTCTCCAGGATGCCTTCGATGCTCTTGTGCTCCTTGATCAGCTCAATGGCCCTCTTGGGCCCGACGCCCTTGATGCTCTCGCAGTAATCGCATCCCAGGAGAATGCAGAGATCTATGAACTGATCCACACTAAACTCCAGACCGTGCAGCATCCTCTGGTAGCTGATCTCCTGCACGGGTAGCTTCCTGGCCTCGCTGGACGTCAAGTGGCGCAGCAAAATGCTGGAGCCAAAGGTCAAAGCGTCCATATCTTCAGTGGCAGTGGCGAAGACCTTTCCTGACTTCACCATAGCGGCGCACTGGGCTTCCGCTTCGCACGGGGCATCAATAAAGGGCACCCCCATGAGCTTCAGGAGCTCTTTAGCCTCATTCGAGTGCTCCTTCGTGACCTTCACCAGGCGTCGGTTGAACTTCTCCACTGCCTCCTGATCGCCAGCTTCTGTCGCCTTATCCAGTTGCTTCTGTGCCTCTTCCCTGCGCTCAGCGCGCTTCTGCAGCTCGCCTCCCTTAAGCTGGGGCGGCTTTCCGTCGAAAACATACACCGGCTTGATGCCATTGTCCAGAAGACGGATTGTTCGGTAAAAGATTCCCATCAAGTGCGATGTCGTTTCACCATCAACGGTGGTCAGCTGAACTCCATCACTGCGGACGGCAATAAGGAATTGGTAGAGACACATGGAAGCATCAATAGCGACTTTCCTGCCTGCGAAGTGAAAGGAAATCGAGGAAATGCCGGAAAACCAGAAAGAAAACAATGAGAAATTGAGGTTAGGTGAGAATGCTCAGCTTACCAAAGTAGTTCTTGATCTCATTCTCCTTGATGGCAGTCGGCACAAGGTCCGCAATGAGCTTTGACAGTCCGAGAATACCCATGATTGAGGACTTGTTCAGGAATTTCAGTGAATCACGAGACACGCAAACGCCGCACAACCATATCAGTCCACAAAAGCGACCCAACAATGGCGGTTGGCGGGAAAGGGGAGTTTCTGGGCTCGGTCGCCGCGTGGCGCTCACGACGCTGTGCCGAAGAATCACACCCAAAAAGTACCCAAAAATAAACTCAAAAATGGACGCCGTAAGTAGAAATCCCTCTGAATTTATCGCATTTTGCCCCCATTGTACATCATCACTGTACATAAGATATATGTAAAAGTGTGACAACACGTGTGAGTGAGGATCTGCAAAGGAATTGATGGGTGGAATGATGTATTTTGCGTGAAAAGTGGATCAACATTTTTTGACACATTGCCATATACTCAAAAGTTGTCCTGTGTATTTGTATCGCTGTTTACACTACAATCACTACTTTTTCACGCTTGTCCCCTCTTTCTCCTCCACGCCATGCAGAACAGTGAAAACTCAAAAGACGCGGCAAACCAGAAGACCGATGTGGAGTCCAAGGAGAAGAGTTTAGGTGTGTATTTTTTCCCCCGTGGATGATTATGAGAAATTTCTGGACGTTCTGACCGCGCGCGCGTCTGTTTTGCCTTTTTGTAGATGAGAAACAGGAAGCGGATGGAAAATCAGAGGCCGGCACCACGGAGGACGACGAGGGTGAGAGTGCTGAGAAGGAGAACGACGAGAAGCCTGAGAAGAACAGTGACAAGAAGAAGCAGGACAGCAAAGGAAACGCAAAGAAGGCGAAGCAGGAAGTCAGTGCCATACCGCTGGGGCAGATCGCCAAGATTGACCAGAACATCACAAATACAAAGGCTGATGGACTGCAGACGCTGCATTCGGTAAGAAATCCACAGAAATGCGTGAGCGCTTCCTGGCTAAGCGACCTGTGTGTGTTTCCCATGGGCAGATCTGCTTCGAGAGCGCCGGCAAGGTGACGATGGTGAAGAAGAATCTGCGCAAGTTCTCAGGGTTTGCCTTCGACGGTGATTCAGATGAGTACAAGGGGAAGCTCGAGGCGGCACAGAAGCATGACGTGAAGCTGCTGCGGAACGTGTGCGACGTGCTGACGTTGGACAAGAAGGGTGGCAAGGAGGACCTGGCGGAGCGTATCTGCAGCTTCCTACTGGCGCCCGAAGGTGATGAGGAGCTGCCCGAGGAGGAGGAAGAGGCGGAAGAGGAGGAGGCGGAGAGCGAAGAGGAACCAGAGACGCGGCGGCCGCGGAAAGTCACAACTACCACAACTTCCGGCCGGCCGCGGCGCGCCACCGCCGGTCGAGGTTTCAATCCGGACTATTCCAGCTCGGAGGAGAGTGATGAGCGCTTCACCAAGACCAAGGGCAAGCGCAAAAAGGAGGACAGCGACAGCGGCTCAGACTACAATCCGTCCGGCGGTGGCTCGGACTCGGATGTGGGCAAGCGGCGGGCGTCAACGCGCGGCCAGAAGGGGGCCCGGCCGAGCCGGGGCAAGAAGCGTCAGCGGTCGGAGAGCGAGGACGAGACCATGAGCTCGGAGGATGAGAGCGACGAGCCGAAGCGGGGCGCGCGAGCGGCGGCCGGCCGCCGTCGTCCGGCGGCGCGCGGGGCGACACGGAAGAAGAGGGCACAGAGTGACACGGAGGAGTCCGAGGTGGAGAGCGAAGAGAGCGAGAAGAAGGCGAAGAAAGGTCGCGTGAGCAAAAATAACAAAAGTCCCGTAAATGCAAAGGCCAAGTCAGCGCCATCGCCGGCTAAGGGTGAGTCCGTCACTCCTGGGAAGCTGCCACCGAGAGTCACTGACCGAAGCGGTTTAATTGCAGGCAAGGCGCGCCCCAAGCGTTCTGCCACGAAGAAGGTGACAAAAGATCAAACGACCAGCGAAGAGGAGGAAGAAGAGCCTGAGTTGGATGACAAGGAGGACGCTTCTGAGGACGAACCGCTGGCGAAGAAGTCTAAAACAACGTTTCCAACTGTAAGTGATCCCAAATCAGACAATTAATCCTCCAAACAGTGTTTCTCAACACACTCATTGCGTCTTTGCAGGATGACGAAATCAAAGGGTATGTTAAGGAGATCCTGGATGATGCTAATCTGGAGGAGATCACGATGAAAACTGTTTGCAAGCAGGTTTATGCAAAGTTTCCCCAATTTGATTTATCACACAAGAAGGATTTCATAAAGGCAACCGTTAAATCTGTGAGTTTTACCTTGAATTTCAACCTCAAAATTCACTGCAATTTTTAACGTAAATTGAACACTTTCATTTCAGCTAATTGCAACATAAAAGCACTTTCTCCTATTTGAAAACAGAAAAAGAGAGAGAACAAACAATTAAGAACGGAAAGATTTACTTTGTCATTCAAGATAAATACTTTAGTATAAAAGGAATAAATATTGTGGATAAGTGATTTCCGTTTTGTCTTAACTTTTTAGTAATTTGCAAAAGAAAAAAAAGTTTTAATTGGTTTTTGGGCAGCATTTCAACGTACTGAATCGATTCCATTGAATGTTTACATAAATTTATCTAGTATTGTAATTTAATGCAAAGAAAAAATCATTAACTGAATGCGCGGTTTTTTCTTTTATTCTATCGGAATTTGATAATAATTTTTCTGATATCAAAATGATTTGATATTCAAAAAGAACCGCCCAAATGTTCACCGCCAGGTGGCGAATAACGCCCAAAAACGACCGTGAGTGCGTCGCGAAGAAGAAGAAGAAGGCGACTGGCGAAAAAGACTCCGCAAAAATTGCATTTTCCATCAGCAATTCCACAGTGAAGACCGTGAAATATCGCTGAAAACCATCAATTTACAGTCAATCGGTGATGCTCAGTGCGACATTGGCGTGGCAGCTTGAGCGTGGGCGGCGCGCTTAGGGTGAAAAAGGCAGCAAACACAGAAGCGCCATTGCTCAGTAGTGAGAAAGTTGATTGGAATTTAATAAACAGAGCCGCCCTTATCAAAACATGCTCCTCACCTTGAGGCTCCTGATAAGATTCACCCGCCAATCAGATACCCAATGGAGGAGCGCTGAATAAGGTGGAATGCAGGAAATGATTCCAGTGCTCTGAGTGATATTGCGAGTAAACTTCCGGTGAGTTTCCTTTTGGCAAATTTCATCCTTTTTCCTTCCTCACTGAAAGTGTTTCTGTTGTTGTTTTTTTTCTGGCCAGGAAGACAACAAGCAGAGGATCCAGGATGTCCAGTAGCGGCGGCAAGGACCGCAAGTCGCGCTCCAGCAAGACGCAGGGATGGGAGGAGGCCGGAGGCGAGTTCTACCAGGAAAGCTATCCTGTGGGCGCGGATTGGGACGGAATGCAGCGCGACCCGGCCGCGATTGCCACTCTGCTGCCCTCCAAGCAGAACAGATACGGTGAGACAGCGTGATTCAGAGCCGAGAAGAGGCTCTAATTGGCGGAGTCAAGTGAATTATCATGTGCTCAATTGCTGCTCTTTCCCAATCACGCCCAAAGTGCGCTGGAAAACCGATCATTTGCAGGGCATTTTGACTCGCAACAGTGCCGAGAGAGCGAATCTGTTCATTTAAAGGGACTTTGTCTGCGGTCATTGACCTCACTGACCTTCTCAATATTTCCAATGACCTTTGCAAGCGAGACGAAGTTATGTCAATACACAAATCCTCTATTTCTAATCCCTATCAAAGCTCTTAAATCCATTTTGAATCGCATTAAATGCAGGCTCTGCCCGTCCTGTGTTTTAAGAGCGAAATAGAGCAGATTATTGGCATTTCCGTGTGCCAAAGGCAATTTGAGAATATGAAATGAGATGAAATTCAATTTTCCGGAATATTGTGTGCTTTTTCCTAGTTATTGCTGTGATTTACCGAATAAATTAGCATAGCTAAACGATAGCTTGTGGGAAAACTACGTGCAAATCACGAGAAGCTTGTTCAAAGTGAATTTTTGCGCAGCAATTTCCGGAATCCTAATGGAATCTTTGTGCTCTTCCTCTTGCAGCCACCACAAGGCGCGTACGGCCGGGGCAGAATGACAATCGCACGAGCCGCCGGCGCCAGAGCGTGACGGGGCCGCGCCGGACTTCGACATTCCGCGGTGCACAGATTCAGGAGGTGCAAGTGGCAATGCTGCCCGACCTGTCGGAGAATCTCACGGACGAGGAGCGCATCTGGGAGGAGATCCACGAGATCAAGGCGATGCCCGTGACGATGGGGCAGAAGAAGGAGATGAAGGCACAGCTGCAGAACGCCACGAAGCTGCGCCTGCAGGGCTTCGATCAGATCAAGTGGCAGCGGCGAAAAGCGTGGCAGCAGCTGTGCGCCAAGTGGACAGAGTGCCTGGCCAAGGTGGAGCTGTGGAAGGGCAGTCTGAAGCGGATTGAGGGCCACTTCGGCACGGGCGTCGTGGCGTACTTCCTCTTTCTGCGCTGGCTCATGTTTCTCAACTTGGCCATCTTCGGCATTGTGCTGGTGTTCGTGGTGCTGCCGCAGGTCTTCCTGGTGGCGCCTGACGAGGCGGCGTGCGTGGTGGCGAACTCGACTGAGTGCTGCGCCGAGGACTACTTCAACGCCACGAGCACGTTCTCAGTGCTGGACATCATCCAGGGCACGGGCATCATGGAGAAGACGCTCATGTTCTACGGTATGTACTCGAACAGGATCTATGGCTATCACGCCAATGTGAATACTAGTCTCATAGGCTTTACCAAGTCGCTGTACTACGACCTGCCGCTGGCCTTTGTCTGCACCACTCTCGCGTGCTTCCTTCTGTCGCTGGTGGCGATCGTGAGGGCGGCATCGCGAGAGTTCAAGGACAGGCTGGTGGAGGGCGAGGGACAGTTCTATCAGTATTGCAATCTGATCTTCGGCGGGTGGGACTTCTGCATACACAATGAGAAGTCGGCGGAGATCAAGCACAAGGCGCTGTTCAATGAGATCAAAGGCCTGCTGCTGGCGAAGAAGATGGAATTCGAGAGATTCAATCGAACAAGTGATATTATGGCTAAACTGATCGTGATGCGATTCCTCATCAATTGCCTCGTGCTGATGATTCTGGCCGCGTCGGCGGTCATTATTTACTATTTGCTGAACATCTCGCTGGCGTACTTGGATCCCAATTTCACGCCCGAGAGCATCCTGTCGCCCTTCGGGGCGGCGGAGAGTGGTCTAGTCACGCCGTCCCTTCGTGACATCTTCACGGACGATGACGGGCAGGTGAGCAGGACGCTGAGCGATCAGCTGATCGTGCTGTTCTACGAATTCCTGCCCTACATCGCGATAGTCTTGCTGAACTTCCTCGTGCCCATTCTCTTCAACTATCTCGTGCAATTCGAGCAGTACTCGCCGGTGTTTGTCATCAAGATGGCACTGCTGCGGACGATTCTGTTGCGCCTGTCCTCGCTGGCGGTGCTCCTGAGTCGCTTCTATCTGCTGGTGAGTCCGCAGCTGGACGATCAGGTGTGCTACAATGCCAGCCGCGGCACGCCGCAGTGCTGGGAGACATTCGTGGGGCAGCAGTTGTATAAATTGTTCATTATTGATTTCGTTACGCACATCTTTGTCACGTTCTTCATCAACTTCCCACGTGCGCTCATTGCGCGCCACGTGAACACGCGTCTGGCGCGATTCGTGGGCGAGCAGGAGTTTGAATTGTCCAAGCATGTCCTCGACATTGTCTACTCACAGACACTCTGCTGGCTGGGCAGCTTCTATGCCCCTTTTCTCGCCGGCATCGCCTTCCTCCTCAACTTCCTCATGTTCTACATCAAGAAGTTCGCGTGTCTGGTGAACTCCAAGCCCTCGGAGATACACTATCGCGCCTCCCGATCGAAATCCCTCTTCATGTTCATCCTCCTGCTGTCCTTTGCCATCGCCGTGGCGCCGGTCGTGTACGCCGTGGCGGAGATTCTGCCGTCGCGCTCGTGCGGTCCATTCCGCGGCCTCACGTCTGTGTGGGCGGCCGCGATAGCGGCATTCATGAAGATGCCGTCATTCATCCAGAATGCCATCTTCTTCTTCGGCACAGCGGCTTTCGCTGTGCCAGCATTCATCGTGCTCATCCTCCTGCTCTACTACTATTACGCCGTGTCAGCGGCCAACAAGCACATGGTGAATGTGCTGAAGAATCAATTGGTTCTCGAGGGGCGCGATAAGCAATTTCTGCTCAATCGACTGAGCTCGTTCATCAAGCAGCATCAAGACTATCAGAAGAAGATGCGCCAGGCCGAGAGGAATCGCGAGAGTCGCAATAGTCGAAATGCGGGAGAACGAGAGGCTGAATAGAGAGAGAGAGAGAGAACGAGACACTTTTCCATTCCCCCCAAATCTCTCCACATATGGAATAATAAAGCTAAACACAGTAAATTATTATTACACACATTATTTTAGTCCCTCAAAAAAAATGAAAAGAAAAGAAAGGATCATGTGACAAAATAATCGACAGACTGTACTATTTAATTTTTTTGCAATCATCAATTTTATAAGGAATATAAACAAAATATACAAGAGAACAAGTGGAGAAATCCGCAGTTCGCACTAATCATGATAAGAAGTAATTAAATATAGAATATGCCGGAAGAAACACAAACAAAATACCCTCACAATATCATATGTAATTCTTTATACAACATGAAAAGTAAAGTCCGCAAATTTTTACATGTAAATTAAGAGGTTTCCGAGAAACAGCCAAATATTTGAAATAACTGCTCAATGGGAAAAAATATGCAGCAGTTTTTATGGTCATAAAATTTGCCCGCCAAACTGCATCATTCTGGCTAAGTTGCGTACAAATAATCTCAATTGATTCTCTGCACTGAATATATGACTGAAAAGTTATCAAAAAAGAATGCCCAAAAGGCAGTTTTCGATTTAATGCTTTGGGCAGGAAGTACTGAATAAAATTTGACTTATTGTTTATCGATGTTTATCAATTGAGACTCATTCAAAGACTTCTTATAGATCTAAATGAATGGCGAGAGTTTTCTGTCAGATATCAAATGCTGCATAATTTTCCCATTCAGTCATAGAAGAAGTAAAAAAAAACAAATACTGCCACTGAAACACTTTTGCAGAAGTATATATTCTTTTAGTGAGTAATATTTAAAGATTTTTTAAACATAAAAGTCACACCAAATATTATATCTTCCTCACTTTATTATACCGTACGTTTTTTGTGATGTTTTTTTTTTTGACGCGAAGAAGGAGTAAAAGAAAAAAAGATGAGAAAGGGAAGAAAATTACTATCTCTACATGTATAATGAAAGTACGATGTAATCATAATAAAAACAGTCTAAAGCATGAGATTGAGAGTGTGTAATGGCAAAAACGAGCCCCGAAAGTTGGTGAATATTTTAACGTTTATTTACTTAAACAGTACAATTAGAAAAAAATATGGCAGTAGAATTGCTCCTTTAACACAGCATTGCGTGGGCGAGAGTCACGATTGCGGGCAGCAGGAGTGAGTAGGCGACGGTGTGCGCCGAGGAGAAGGCGACCAGGGCATCTCGTCTCTTCGGCGGGATGACTTCGTTGGATGTGCGCGGGCAGCGCATCCACACGGGCGCCGAGGGCTGCTTAGCGTGCTCCAGCTCCATTTTGCGATCGTTGAACTTCCAGAAGCCCTTCCCCTTGAAGAAGTACGTGCGATGGTCCGTCCACTGGAACGCGGCGTCGATGTGACTGATGCCGCCCCACATGTTCGACATGTTGCGAGGATAGTCCAGCTCGACTCGCTTCACGTCCTCGTCAAAGCTGCAAAGCGGCGGAAAATGGCAATGATTGAACATTTTTTGCTGAAGCGGTGGAAACTCACCCCCAATATTGGTCGCCGCTGTAGAAGTAGGTCTTCTTGTTGTGTCCCCAAATCATGGCGGCGTCGATCTTCTCCAAGGACGCAGGCAATCCAAGGTCGGTTAGTGGGCGCGGAGAGTTGCCGTCGAGGCGATTCGAATTGAAGACGTAGTATTTATTGCCTAGGAAATTGTCAGGCAGAGGTTAGAAAGTGTGATAGGCTGGCTAGATCTCTAGACTCACCTATAAAGAATACAATTTGCAGGTCTTTGTTCTCATAGACGGCATCAACGTGAGTGAAATCTTCAGGAATATCTTTCCACAGGAGTCGAATTTGGTGCGGATAGCCAGCGTGAAGACCCTTCTCGCCAATGCGCCAAAAGTACTGCGCAGAAAGGTAGGATTAGGATTAGAATCATTAGATTGCAGATGACTTTTGACACTCCTTAGCTCAATAGTCAAATTCAGAGTGAGAAAATAGTTCTTCAATGGCAACTGAAAGGTTGCTGTTGAATATTAACAACTAGCATATACTTCAGTGGAATTGTTTTCCCCTTTTTCAAGAGTGTGAATCTAAACTTACGCGATCCTTGAAGATGAACAGCTCCCCTCGAATGACTGATACTGCATCATAGCTAGTATTGCAAGTCGCTGGCTTGTCCGATTTCGCGGGCTTGTGCTTCCTAGGCGTGTCGTAGGTCGGCCGCGTGGGGTGGGTTCTCTCCACTCTCTCGGTGGTGGATGTGGTGGTTCTGGTGTGGTCGGGGAGCCACGGCCAGTGCGGCCTGCGCGTGGGATGCCGCCTCTCGGGATAGTACACTCTGTGGCGCGTGGGGCGCTCGGTGGTTGTAGTCGTGGTTGTAGTTGTCGTTGTCGTGGGTTGGGTTTGGTAGTGATGCCGATGCGGATTGTGGCCCCATTGCTTGCGGCCGCTGCCGTAGATCTGCTCTATGGCCAGCCGGTCGTCCTCGGGCAGCTGTTCCTCCTCCTTGTACGCGTTGTACCACGGCCCCATGATGGAGTCTCGCACCGACGAGTGTCCCAGGCCGAGCGAGTGCCCGAACTCGTGCACAGCCACGCTCATGAGACTCGTGCCGCTGCTTCCGTCCTCGCTCTGGTGAATCAGCCACTTCTCGTCGTCATCGAAATGGGCATCGCCGCCGCGCCCGGCGCCAGGATAGAACGCGTGAGCCAGAATCCCGCCGATGCCGTCGAAATTGTACCCATCGCCGTGATTTCCCTTCGCGAACATCACCTGTATGTCGGCCTTATCACTGTTCACTTCTCGGAATGTTAATCTTGAGTTTCGCTCCCACACATTCAGTGCATCGCGAAGGACTCGACGCACATGACCGACGTCGAGTGCTGGCATGGAATGATTAACCAAACTGCAAAGAGAGAGGGAGAGAGAGAGAGAGAGAGATTGAAGGAGAGACAAGAAAAATTGCGCTGTTTTCGATTGAAGTGAAATCGGGGAGGATTTTGTTGAAATCAAATACTCTCTTCGCCAGTTCAATCGACTATTATCATATCAATGCACAGTGTCGACCAAAGAAATAGGACATTGTCAAAAAACTAATATTTAGATAAAGGAATTAACAGATTTCGCGTAAAATGTATGAAAAGATAATAAAATGATCCAATTTAATAGTGATTAGCTATGAAATGATCTCCGATATCGAATGAAACTCTTCAAGAAGAAGAATTAAAACTTAAAGGAAAACCTCTCCTTGAGGAAGCTTCATAAATCAGCAAGAATTACACTTATTCTTCGCTTAAATTGCGAATATTCTATTTATTCTGCTCATTCTGCTGTGTAATTCAAAATGCAGAGACATTTTGTGCTATTATTGTGGTGGATTGTGTAGTTAGAATAGTTGCTGATGAAGTCTGTGCTCTTTACCTATGATTAGTTATGTTCAGTCGCTGATCGTTCGTCCTGAATTCGCTCACTCAAGGAGGTTGTGATGGATTTTAATGGAAAACATCACACCCAGGTTGAGTGAGTGAACCAAGACGTTCTCTTCTTCGCAGCACAAAGTAGGCGATGCCATTGGGCGCCGTCATAACTCAGAGTGACACGAAGAATTTATATTAAACGCTGAGAATGGAGAGCATTTCAAGTGAGGAGACATTTTGCTATGCTTCAACCCTCACATATGCTACAAGATTATGTCTAATAAATATTTATAAAAGTGCTGCCTTTTCGGCTGTCCCGCGTGAAGAGCGGGGACTATGCTAATTGTTAAATTTTCCATGATGGTTCCTCAACTATAAAGTGCGATCCCTTTTCGCCACATCACAGAGAGAGAGGCCAGTATCTTGCCAGCCCATATGAAGCAGTGGTGGCTTCATTTAATTATCACTGTAGCTGAACTGGGTAGTGGCATCAATTATAGAGCGGGCATGAATTCATAATGCCAAGCGAGCCCACGAGAGAGTTTTTCACATTGACATTCAATTGACTCTCGTTAAAATCGTAAATTGATAACAATTTATTTGCCTGGGGCGGGAGATGCTATTGGACGGTGAATTTCTGTTGTTTTTTTTATTTGTATGAAAGGGAGAGAGTGCGAGGATGTCTTGAGGGGAGTTTTGCCTAATTGGACTCGTCTGGATTTTCTCTGGATTTTCCTCTTTCTCTCTCTGGTATTTTCACTGTGTATGAAATATTAAGTGTGTGCGAGGGAAAAACTTCACCTTTGACATTTCCTTTCTTGTAAATGCTTGTGACATAACTCGCTAAGACACTGTACTTTGTCTCCCTTTGAGCACCAGAAACACCATGGAAAATCTGGAAAAGGCGCGCGCGGGCGGGGAAAAAGTTATGAAACAGACCAACTAAATAATTCCCGGCGTGTGTGAGAAAACTTTAAGGATGGACACACTTTTGGTCGTTTTTTTTTTTAGAAAAGTGTCGTGACATTTTACGGGTCAATCAATTTTTTAAACAACCACTCTCGAAACAACTCTGTCCCTCATCCCATCGGAGCGCAAGAGTATTGATTGTGCTGCGATAGTTGTGTGGGAATGAAAAAGTGTGGAGCAGAGCGCTGTAATTCCCAATAAGTGGTCAATTGTGAGTGAAGGATTTTCCTCCTGTTTTTCCACCAACTCCCAGGCACACTTCTCCCACCAGGCTCAGCACTCGCCATGTCCGTCCGGAGGCACTGCTTAACACTGACTGACTTCGGTGTGTAATGTACGCCTCTATTTGAAATTGTGCGGCCGGGAAAGGAAGGGCAGAGATATCGAAGAAGTGCGACGGAGCAGCACTGCTGCTTCTCCTTAAAATCGCGAGACAACCGTATAGGGCGCAGTGTCTGAGCAGCTGATGACCAGCATGAGAAGCACCATCACACTCCCACTCGTGCTGGCATCAGAAGGAGACGAACATAGCGCGCACCCAGATATACTCCAGTTAAATTACAGGGTACTCCCCATGTCGAGTGCACGAGTGAAGAGCGCCTCTTATAGCCTTCGATCCTCAACCCCCTCGACATTCCTAATCAGGCGCAATTGAGTGCATTTTTCCTCCGTGTCCGAAAGGGCGAGAGAAAAACCACAAATTCACTCGATAGTGACAAAATTCCAGACGTCGTTTCTTGATTATACACGATAAGTAATCACTCTCTAAAACGCCCACTTTTCACTGTGGAAATGCGGGAAAGCAGACTAAAACAATTTGTCGACTGGCAATTATTATTAATAAATCAGTTAGAGGGCTTCTGGCACGCACAGTGGCTTGATTATTTCTTTAGAAGATCATACAAAATGCAAGGAAGATTAACAGTCGTGTGCAGCCAATAGTGACGCACAGGAATTTCAACGTGCACATCTCATATCCAGTCAGAATGAAATGTAATATAAGAACTGTGAGATAGAAAACGACAGTCTCTGCACAAAATACAGATAAGAGCGCAAATTTGAGATTGTTTAATGTTGGGAAAAGTGATGACAAGAGTTTAGGGCGTGATTGATTGGCATCTAAAACTGTGTGTGGAAGAAACGAGAGTTGTTTTGTGTTAATGAAACCTGAGAGGTCAATTCAATCACTCTGTACCAATTGAAATTATCTACAAAATTAACTAAATTTTGCATTCTTACATCCTTTTACAGAGTGTTTCTGTTAATGGGCTTTTGAAAAGACACAAAATTATAGATTTCCTTATTTTCTTTTGAACAAGTTAAATAAATTCTTGATGAATATATCCTAAATTTGGGAACATTCAATCAACAATCCTAAATAATGTTCTAAATTTCTGTGATTGTGAAAATACTTTAGTTAGAAAAGTAGAGCAAACAACAATATTTCCAATTGAGCATATGCTTCATGTTTGTAAATGTATTCAATATATGCAAGCGGGATGGCATAAATTCAATAAACTTATCTCCTATTTCAAGGATATTTCTTTCGTCAGCTTATTCCTTCGACTCTATAAGAGTTTCCACTATTTCAGAGTCGATTTTTACCGTGTCTGGGGATAAAATGCGAGGCAATTGTGTAATCTGATTAAGTTTCCAGTAAGCTTTTGGACCGTCAAAACCATCTCAACCCTCGTGAAATTCACACACATGAATTGGAGAGTGTTAATCATTGTTCCTCCATCAAATTTGCCTGCTCGCAATTAACTTTTACACTTTGCTAATAGCTTAGTCGAATTTTATGGGATGAATTGGACAAATTCGTCCGCACGGAAATTAGTCATGAACATCCAAATGGTGTGACTCTTCCAATTCCTTTCGTGGTGCAGAGCGCACACAATAAGCCACATATTCCCATGAGACTCTCGGGGCGTTGCGGCGCTCCCTGTCGCCACCCCGCCGAATTCATGGCTGGTGGAATGCAACAAGTATCAATGCGAGTGTGTCTCCTCGCTAAAAGGGATAATAAATGGCGAGATGTACAATTTAGATAATTTAGAGACACATCGTGTGCGGGCGAATGTGTGCACAGAGTGTGTATTTATTGGCATTTCTTTTATGGCGCTCAGAGACTGAGCGAATACCTGGGGTTGGAACTACCCTCACAGAGTGCCGCCGACCCCACCCAGAGAGCTCCTCCATGACGTCACTGTGTCGCAAAATAGACATTTGAGTGATTGCGACAGGCGCCAGTGAGACGATAATGTTGTTTGGCGTCTTTCCATGCTTAATTCTACATCTATGGGGGTTGAATAACGAGGCGTTATCATTTTAGCCTAATGCTCTCGCTACACCCCGCCCAGGGGGCCTCCACTGTGCGGACATGGGTGCTGAGACAGAATTAACGTGTCTCATTTTATGCCTCAATTACTGATGGCGGAGCAATATAATTCCTCTTCGCCTTCGCACGATATTGATTCACATGCTGATTCACTATCAAATTTCCTGTTGATTCGCGCCAGCCGGAGCCACTCACCTCCATGTGAGGTCGGTGTGATCCCATTTGGGTCCTAAGATAACGAAGCGTCTGTGCCGCCTCGAGGGCGAATTGCCGGCATGGAAGTCCGCGGTGTCCTGATCATCAGGGACGCCACAGCGTGGCTTCTTGAGTAAATCCGCCGTCTGCTCGTCTATGACGCCAGTTTCTGGGATATTTGCGAAGCTCTGGAACAGAGATAAGGCGAAATTAGAGGGGCTCTTGTTCAAATAGAGGAACGGCAGGGCTGCATTGAGCAGGTGTTTGACAGAGACAATTCGCATAATGTTCAAATTTGATTTAAAGGCTGAGGAAGATTCCTCAGATAAATTATTCTCCAAATTCCATTACGATTTCAATGGGTTTTGGGAATTGAATGAGTGTAATCAAATCATGGACAAATGCGATTCGTTTCTGTTTGAAATAAACGCTTTTCTCTGCACTTTTCATTACGCAGAAACATTGTGGAAAAGTGTTAAAGAATGTCTGTTAATTTTCTATAGGAATTTTGTAGGAATTTCTTAGAAATTCACAGGTTCTTAATCGCTGAACATTAAAAATGTAGTTCAACATTATTGACCATTATTGCATGTAAAAAGGTTGTTAACTTCTCCATAATAGAACAATTAGACATTGTCTTATGACATTCCGATGGATTATCACAAGACAGTCGTATTTCAGAACCTTTCCGCTTAACTCTATCTAATTTTTTGCTCTCTATCAACACTGAAACCTTGTTAACAGTGCCCCAGCCTGCAAAATCCGCCAAAAAAGCAGAATTTCTGTGCACAATCGCCCCAATCTTCCTTACATCTACATCAGCATTTATATGCACAAAAGACCGTCTCACTTACCTGAAGATTCCTTATGGCATCACGAAGTTGCGACTCTGTCCTCAAGTTTCCCGTCTCGGTATCCGATTTGGGGAGGTATCCATAGTTCATCAAGTAGTTTTGCTGCAAAGGCAGAGAAAGAAAATGTGTCTCAGCAAAGTGTCTCATCCTTTGTCAGCCACTTCCTCACTCAAGTGCGCTGCAGCGCGGAAAAATCACGGGCATTGAGTTGAGGAGTGGCTCAATGGCAAATACTTGAGATGATGGTCTAAAGATGAGGATGTGGAAAACGTGTCATGCTAGGGAAAAAGTGCTGATGCATTTCACTTTAGAAAGCGCGGTTGCCTCATAAAGCCCGAGTGCATGGCGCTGGGATATTATGTTATTAAAAGGCATTATATTTGGCGCGGGGTTTCATTTCTCTCTCACACCCTTCGCTCAAGCTCACTCTCTCTCTCTCTGTCTCTCCACCCAGCGACACTCCAAACTATCCCATTAAGCTTGGATGAGGAGGAAAAGGAGAATTCGCCATTTCCCTTTCTGATAGACATATGGCACGTTCTTGTGGGAGACAGTGTGTGCCTCCTAGAGTTGTTTGTACTCCGTCAGGCTAGCATATCGATTTCGCTTTGTCGAGCATACAAATGTGTATATAAAAAGTATATCTGTCGAGGATGTGACTCATACACATAGTCTTTCTTCCCATGGCATCCACAATTGAGACGCAGAGACCGCACAAATTCACTCTTCCCCAAGCTATGAGACAGCAGAAAACCGTATGCAAAGCCATAGGAAATGTCTTTCCCCCCCCGAAAATCATCCAATCATTTATGCTTGTGCGCTGGCAATCATATTTTTCGCGCCACACAAAAGGCGCTCACCGTTAGCCTTTCGCGGAATTCGTGCAACAAAAGCGACACCATCACATCAAAGAGGCCCACAATTAATAGAAAAAAAAATTAATGTTATAAATTACTCTTGGACAGGATGCAAAATAATGGGGTCCGGTAAGAAGGCGAATAAAAGGTGATTTATGATGTTGTGACTTGCTGAAATTACATGCATTTCCAATAGCCATGAGGATTTATTGTGATTTTTCCTTTAATTGTGCGATCAATGCAATTTCCACACTCACGCAGACGTGCCTTAATTCACTTCGATCAGGTCGAACGTGATTGTTTGCCAGTTGAAAAGAAGCTGATATTTTTAAAAGAAGGCAAGAAATGACTAAGATTGTGATGATTTCCGGAAGGTTTTTTCCTACAATCTGCCGCATTTTTAGCGCAGGAAAATGTGCATGAGTCAGAATTGCAAGGCAAACACTGGGAAAAATAGTCAAAAATTAATTCTTACTACTATAGCAATGATTGCAATAAGTAAAGGAATTTAGTTTAGAAATGTGAAGGTTACTTAATTAGCAATATGACAATATTTACAACAATTATGATAAAATTATTAAGAGACATAGTAAAATTTGGAATCTTCAAAAGGCATCATTCCTATCTTATATGAGAATTTCTCCATTACGACTTTGAGCTTTCTTACCATGCATTTTTCTCAGTGCACAGAAAGTAACATTTTAGAGTGAATGGAAATGCGTGCGGAATTTTAAGCCAGATGAATCTTTATTTATGCACTGTCAAAAAGCGGTCCAATGGCGAGGCGGTGTTTTGACAGTCGGCCAAACAAAGACGATCATTGAGAGTAATTTTTAGAGCATAATGAAAGGAAAAACTTCACTAACCACTTCGTCGCTGTACTGCAAATACTTCTTGTCCACACTCGTCTCAATCGAATTGTGCAGACCGTGTGAATATTGCAAAATATTTGTGATGAGCACAAATGCATTGAAGATGTACTTACAACTATCACAACACATATTGATATTGGTTACTTGAGACAGTTTTTTGTGCGATTAGCTGTTATCTCGCGCCTTAGCGCTTTAATAATTTATTATATAATGCGACTACGTCGAGTTATAAATAAACTCACTGATGTATTAACGCGAAAAATTGCGTGTGTAAAATATGATATTCAAAAAAACAAACAACACTTTCAGAGAGACGGAATCCTTACGTCCAAAAGTCTTACGCATGCGTTCGATATCACAATTCTAAGCACACCGAAGAATCTCATTGCACTTTAAGCGTGTGTATTTCACAGTCCCTTTATGTCATTTTGCTCTTAGTATTGAACATAAAAGTCTCTCACTCTCTCTCTCTCTCTCTCTCCACCTCTGTCTGCTCACACAACACATGCACTAATTTAATGTTCGTGGAAGCATAATCAGGGCTCGCGAGTGGACGAATTGATGTGGGATCGATCCGGAGTTTGGGAAAATATTTATATTGGAGAACGGCGCGCGTTAATGGGATAGAAATCTGTCTGTGGGTGAATGTAATTAAATCGACGCGGGGAAGCGATGCGTGCGCACTGATCAGCACGGACGAGTACAAACTAAACGCCGAGAACTTCCTCCAGTCACAAAGCCATGGCTGCGTTCTTACACTGCCAGCTGACCGTCTCTAAGCGCACTCCCAGCGCGGAGCCGCGCGTCCTCTTGGCTGTGTTGGAGAAGCCGTACAACAGTGTTGGCGGAGGGAAGTGACAATGGGGTCGTTGTGTATACAGACGCGAACATTATACTTATGAGAAATCCAACACGCCTCGAGAAATTCTCATCAACAATAAGTCATAAGAGAGTCCAAAATGAGAAGCAAAAGAACAATATTGCTTTGGTGAAAAACTAAATATACAGCAGGACTATGTACACTCCATCACACATAGTGCCTTTCCTCCGTATCTCATCATATTTCTTCGGGGGCTTCGCCTGTATTTATTACAAATGCTCGCGAGCCCTTTGCCACCTCCGCCCTCGCCCTGGCTTTCTGCGGCAACACGAGAAGACGAGAGAATTCTTCATGTAGTCTGACGGGCTTCCTTCGCAATCAAATGCGAATTCCTGACATGCAATTCAACAGTTTTTTTTCGATGTGCCCTTCTGAAAATTCTCTTCCACAGCACAGAAACTTATATCAAACTTTAGTCAATGATAAAGGGGCATATCAGTTGGAGAAATTGGGTGAAAGCTAAGAGACTTTTGAGAACTTTAATTCTCAAAAGTGAAGTTAGAAGTATAGCAAATACTGTAAAAATGGTAGAAACAAAGAACATACAAAAGAAGTGTTTTTGGAAAAATTCAAGGACGAAACAAGAGGAAGAATGGTTGAATAAATGCAGAGAGAAAAGGCGAAGACAGAAAAAAGCTCGTAGAGGATTTACAAAAGGAATTTCCAATGAAATTCCAATAATTTCTAATAAGAACAACTCCCTGAAACTGTGAGAAAATCAGACAAGAAGACTCAAGATGAAGTAATGTATTTCTGTGCGCAAATTTGAGCGCAATTCTAAGTGCAAAGTGCAATTCTGGCTTATTGACAACTTCAAGTTCCCTTTAATATTCCGGCTCTAGAACCGGTGTATGTAACGTCTTTTCTCGATACGAAAACCCCTCATGAATATGCTTCTTATAGGAATTTTGCCTGATATTTAAATACGCTTTTTTGTGAAGAACTTTCTTCATTGAAACACACCCATCAACATACCTGAAAAGAAACATAAAGCTGTTGAATTTTCTTAAAGATAGCTTTGCTGACTCGCGTGACAAAAATCAATAGAACCATGAGTGTGACCGCGGTTTTCCCAACAAACAGAAAATCGATAGAAGAGTAACTTCCACTTTTCTACGAAATGATGTTTCACGGTGGAAATCAAATCACTGCTTTTGAGTCTTTTGAGTCCATCTATTGCTGATTAATCATAGACTTTCTTCGTCAACGCACCACAAAGTGTCCGGAAGCCTGTGGTTTCACACTGTCCAATGAGTACCTCTTAATTCCGCAGATAAACACACATTTTTAGCACATGTTGCGGGAAGTCCCGAATCTCGACAGGCTGAATCACACAATTTTTGGAGCAAAAAAAAGAGTGGGAATTCCGAGGTTATGCGCAATGCACATTTAAATTTTCTCGCTTGATTTATTTCCTATTTTACCTGATTTCCTTCCGCGCAGCGGAACTTCTTATTGGGATGGGATTCACGTGTTTTCTGCTGCATTTTCCCATGCAAATTGGCGAAGAAATTCTCCCATTGCGCACCATCTGTGGGAATGTGTGGAAAGGGCGGAAGCAGCGCCACACCGTGTGCAACACGGTCGGCATTGCTATGGAATCCACACTGGACGATTTCAGATGTATGGGAGATTTTGATAAACAGTGACGTATTGCTTCGAAAGTGGCTGGCAAAATTAAGTGAGAATCGCGATTCCAGTTGGTTTTTCCGCCCCAAAATCATCGTCAGACATTGCAGGGGAGTGTCCTGTTCGAGTTGGAGCACGTGATGTGGTGAAGTGGTGTGGAAAAAGTGCCTTTTTCGCCCTGGATTTCCCTCCCGTGATCAAAGTGAGAGAGAGTGAGTCCAGAGCTAAGTGAACTGCGCATCTTACATGTAAAATGTACATATATGTTGGTGGAAATTTCACTCGCTGTTTTTGTCCATAACGCGACAACATTTTGCTGGCGTCGCCTGAAAAAGCGCTCCAGGGACACTGAAGACCAGTCGAGTGAGATTTTCAGTGTGAGAAAAGGTGATACTGGCATTTTTCACATATGAATCAGCAGATAATCACTTGTTGAATGCCCGTGTCCGTCCAATGGTGGTAAAATGACGTCGTATTGACTGCACCAACACAACCGCGCGCTTTCCATCATCTCGTTGATCTTGCACTTCCCTTGTGAGCACGGGACAGACTGAAATCCCGCCCAGAGATTTGTGTGCAATCCAGAGACAGACAATCGTTGGACAGAGGGTGAAGTTTTCTTCAGTGTGGTGTTGTGGAAAAGGGGCGCCAAAATCTCCTCTTTCCCTCCCCGAATTTCCGCGCGAGTGTGCTGCGATAGAGGAAAATTTTGGCGAACACACGCGCATTCAAGGTGTGTTTGTGGCCAAATAACGCAAAACAATACCTCCACCAACACATTCCAGCCGTGGTGAAATCCAAAGAGGCCAAAAAATGGTGATCGGACTGCAAGCGCTAGAATTCACGGACTGTTTGCTGGATAGCCCTGAATTTCGCGAGAATCTCAGCAGGCACGAGAAGGAGCTGGACAAGACCAGCCAGCAGATCAAGCGGATCATCAAGGAGATCAAGGATCTCCTCACAGCGGCACGCAGTAAGTTTGTCATCCCACTTCTGATCGCTGTGTGTCATTCTTGAAAGTTCGTGGAATTGTTTTTCGCATTAACTTAACGTTGCTGAAAAGCAATTAAAATGTGGCTAAATTGCTGATTAGATTATTCTGAACACCTTTCGAGCGTTTGTTTCTCTAAATCTGCTCCACTTTATGACAATTTTACATTCCATTTTGAGTTTATTCCATTTATTCTGAAAATTCTTTAAATTAAATTAAGGTGTCGCGCTCCCAAAGTGTATTTATCGAAAGAAAATTGCTTTAAACTCGTCTCTATCAGGCGTTATGAGTGTCAAAATGATACCGAATTATTGCTATTTCAGTACCTTTATCTAAATTGTGTAATAAGCCTTGAGATTTCAACCTCAAAGTGTTATCATGAGAAGTTTTAGTCTCTATCTGTGCGAATGCAGCTTGTGTCTTATCTTCGAACAGAGTGAGATTCTTGAATTGAACATCAGAGTTCTATTTGTGTTTTTTTCTTTTTGGTTGTTTTGATTCCCCGTCTCGCAATTTATGGTCTTTTTTTCTATGCTGGGTTTTTGTATGTGATTTTTCATTCAACACGTCCGCATTAACCTAATTTTGATGCGAGAGCGCAAAGGAGGAATGAATGGAGAATATATTCTCTCGTGCTTATTGCATATTCAACAGTGTGATCTGCGAGAGAATGCTCGCTGAATGATAAATCTTAATTATTAATTTAACAGTCCAGCACGGCTTAGCCGTTGAGATTCCGACCATTCAAGTGACATTTCAGAGTTCGCGCAAAAGGTTCCTTGAAACATTATATGAGAATTGTGTATTGGAAAGAATGTGTGGCGCGCATTCTTGGGTCTTAGAGTGCTCCCAAGTTCTCCTTGCGAAACCTTTGACAGCGAGACAATGTGGGCTTCTTACTTTACTATTATTATTATTATTATTAATTTAAAGGCGCACTTCCCAGGGAGAGAGGAAAAAAAATGCGCGAAGAATGAATGAATGTGTATTTGAAGAGAAAGTGGCACAGATTATTCATTGGAATAGAATAAAAATGTCAGTAAACATATACAGACGTGAAGCAGCGACTGAAGAGGAGCGAGAGAAAGAGACAATGGAGATGGAAAAAAATAAAATATGAATTGCTGCTTGATAATTATTTAATGATTCACCGCTCTTTTGTAGACTTATCGCGGGCTCAGCGCGCCCTCAGCAAGAGTCTCGGCGAGTTCAACTTCGAATTCATCGGCTCAAATCAGACGGAAGATGAGCAGACGATCGTGGAGAGTCTGGATCACTTCAGTCGCCTCATTGCGACCATTGAGGAGGAGCGCGGAAGAATGGTATATGTGCGAAAGATTTGCCTTGACACTTCAATTGACTGACGCAATTATGTCCTCTTGCAGCTGGAGCAGACGCAGGACAATATCGTGAGTGCACTGGAGCACTTCCGGAAGGAGCACATTGGCGGCGTGAAGGAGAACAAGAAGCTCTTCGGCAAGAAGACGGCGAAATTTTGTCAAGCGCAAGAGAGATTTCTCAGTATGTCAACAAAAAAGTCCGACAACATCATTCAAGAGGTAATTGCTTGAGCAAACGACAACAGTTGAGGGCACAATTGTTGGGTCAAGTGGGCGTAAATACGATTATCACAGTGACCAATTCAAAGGTTCGCTAATCTCAACTCGATTAACTGCTCTGAATGCACAATGAGAGAGATAAGAATTCTTTATTAATGAATGAATAATGCATTCGTCTAGCCTTCTGTTAACTGAGCGTTATGATGAAATGTGATGATTTTCATTACCACACTCGTTTTGAGATATCAAAGAAGTTCTTCCAGTGCGTCCAGTGTTTTAGTAAAGCTAACATTGTTATAAAATATATAAAAACATGGATTTAAGACATAAATTTCCTGAAGTTGTGATGTTAATGTGGTGATTTGATCTTATATTAATCGTCGGAAAAAAGGAAAGCATTAAATTTCATGTTTTTCTTCATTTACACGAAAACAAACATTTTACAAGAAATTGTTAGCATGAAAACTCGCTTGTTTTAATTGATTTTTACCTGATAAAAAAATCAGAAATGTGTGGACGAATTTAAAGAAACACAAACAAGATCTATTTAAGTGGTGACAATTGTATTTATGATTAATTTTCTATAATTTCGGGGTTCGTAAATCGAATTTCACCATTTCAAGTTCAATTGATGAGAAAATTAATTGTCTAAAAGCCTCCAAAATTCGCCAGAATCATATGATTAGCGCAAATGACTAATAAAGTCCGTGTTTTCCTTTCTCCGCAAATTGTGCGCAAGTGAGTTTATTGCAACTCTCACCACTGTATTTGGCAGATGGAGAATATTTGCTGACATCCCACCTGAGATTGTCTCTCCATCCGCAATTCTCTCACATCGCCCAACAAGCGTGTCGTCCAAAATGATTCATGGCTGTGTTTGGCTGAGTAATAAAATGTTTAATGCTAAATATCTGTTTGGAAAAATGCTCAGAAATTCCACACATGAAGTGAAAATCGATTTCGGACACATCTTCGCGCGGTGCGGCGCGAAGTGGTGGGAAAAGGGGGCGAAGGAGGTCGACATTGCGCATGCTTTCGCCATATTAGGAATATTTGTGGCGTAGGTGGTCATCATGTGCAGATCTATTGGGAATTGAAACACTTTGGAGTTGTTGTTCGAGCGAAAAAAAGACAATTTTGGCACAATACATCAATAGGAGAATTGTGTGTTTCTTTGGCACTGTACTGTGTGTGGTGAGAATTTGGCGGTCAATTGCATTTGTGACGCGCGCGAGAAGGAGAAAATTATTATCAAGTGTAATTTGTTGTTGGCGCTGCGATAGCACGATGGATACATTTTATCAATTTCCGCAAATAAGATATCAAATATTCGCTTAAGAGGCAAGTCACCTGTCACACCAGCGAACGCACACTCCACCTTCCGTGGCTATTTATAGACTTTATATGGGGCTTTAATTGTCGCGAAGATGTGTGATTTTTCGGCCCTGGATCATTCTGTAATGTCTTTGGCACATCTTGCAGGCGGACGCGAGTCTTGGAATGCTCGAGAGAGAATATCTGCAGGAGAGCCTCAGCTATGTTCTACGCATTCAGGAAGTGCAGGAGCGCATCAAGTTCGAATTTGTGGAGACAATTCTAAGATTTATGTCCGGCTGGCTGGTCTTCTATCACTTTGGACATGAGATATCTGAGGAATACAAGACTTACATCAGCGATCTTCAATTGAAAGTACAAAAGACGAGGGAGAACTTTCTCGAGACTCGCAATAAAGCGGAAGAATTGAAAGCCAAATACACGGACAGTAAAATGGTGAGGATGAAAATGTCTTTTTTTTTATCATCGTTTTGGGCTGTCAATTAATTTGTCATTAATATTGCAGAAACCCGAATCGGAATATACCAAGCAAGGATATCTATTTCTGCTGGAGAAGAGTAAGAATGATTGTCAATGAAGTTTTCCACAACACTCTTAATAAATTCTGTGACTTCCTTGCAGAAGCGTTCACGGCGACGTGGTCCAAATTCTACTGCACGTACAAGAAGGACAAGAAGCAGTTCTCAATGGTGGTGTACAACCAGATTTCCGGGCGAACGGAGGCTCAGACGGAGTATTACAGCCTCTCGTCGTGCACGCGGCGGGCGTCTGACTTCGAGAAGCGCTTCTGCTTTGATCTCACGTTTGAGCAGAAGCCGGGAATTGTCTACACATTCCAGGGATTGAGTGAAGAGGACAGGAAATCGTGGCTGAATGCAATGGATGGCAAGGAACCGGTGAGATTTTGTATTTTTCTTTACTTTCTCTGTGTGTCTGTCGCCATCTTAGTGACGATTCTAGCCTTCGAAACCATCTAAACACAGTAATTCAATTAAATTCAATGATTTATTTGTTGTCAATAAGAGAAAGTTTGAGTGCTGAGAGTGCTTAAACTGTTAAATTAAGCGGCATTAAATAAAAATACTTTCACACTTGCCTATACTAGAAATCAAGTTTCTCATTGTCTCACTGAAATGTTAAAGAGACACTTTGTTTCGAAATGCTGCTGAGCTTTTCGATTGAATTTTTCTGCTGTCTAATCAATTTACAATTCAACTTTTCTGCACGGATTCACAGGTGCTCAAGAATATAGTTTTCCCCTTTCGCAGACTTACTTGACGCCGGGAAAGTCGCAGCAAAGCGATGAATACCACCTGGACAGCGTGGGCTTTGCCTTTGTTCGCAAGTGCATCGAAGTGCTGGAGACCAGAGGCCTCGAGGAGGAGGGACTGTATCGCATTGGTGGCATCGGGACTAAGATCAGCAAGATTCTGGTGCTGGGCATGGACAGGAAGAAGGGCGAGAAGGAGCGCTTTCAGTTCGTCACCGATGATCAGCACAGTGACTTGATGGAGAGCAAAACCATCGCCAGTGCGCTGAAGCATTATCTGAGGAATCTGAATGAGCCTCTGATGACTTTCAGGCATCACAGTGGATTCATTGCGGCTGCTAGTGAGTGTCTAAAGTCTGGGTGGATTGGGAGAAATTGTGGATGCTAAGATGGCTTTACTTTGCAGAACTGGATACTCGCATTCAGCGACTGAGTGAGGTTCACACTTTGGTCTACAGATTGCCTAAGCCTAATTTCGAGATGCTAGAAATCGTAATTCGTCACCTGAAAGCGTGAGTTTGACTTCTTAAGTTGTGTTTTGGGGGGGGGGAAGATTGAAAGGAGTTTTATTTTTGGTGTCTTTTGCAGAGTTTCGATGAAATGCCACAAGAATAAAATGTCAGTATTCAACTTGGGGGTGGTTTTTGGGCCGACACTGTTGAGGGCAGTGGAAGAGACCGTGGCCTCCATTCTGGACATCAAGTTCAACAATGTCGTGATAGAGATTCTAATTGAGAACTACGATTTGATCTTTAAGAGCGCCCCAGGGCGTGCCACAGACTACCTGATACACTCTGGGCCGCCCGAGAGCATTCCGCGGAGTCAGTATCACGGCAAGAGTGTGTATTCGCAGCAGCCGCTCGTGCGCGTGGTGGCCAAGTCCAATTACACCGATCCAGTGATGTCGTCCAGCCTGCAGAATATCCCCAATGGGATGATGTTGTACCAGAACAACAGTCCCATGAGCATTCCGGGCTCGTCGTATCACCAGAAGTACGAACTGAAGTCGTCGGGAAGCCAATCGACACACTCACTGCCGCACAGCGAAGTCAAGTTGTCGCCGCGCGAAATGGCCATTAAGCGTGACTACGCGGTGAGGAATTCCGGGCGCAGCCAGGACATCCAGCCCAACCATCACAACTACAGCAATTTGCTGAAAGTGAGGGATCTCAGTCGCGAAGCCAAGCGAGCGCAGCACAGCAATGGCGATGAGATGTACGAGACGACGAAGCGCCTCAACGCAATGACATATAGCGAATCAAATCTGATCCAGCCGCGAGAGATTACCATTGTCGATCGCATGAACTCCACCAGCAGCTCCAATGAGTCCGTCTGCTCCACGTCCAGCCGTGATCTGATGCACTACACGTGCAAGGGCGTCCCGAAGCCCAGCGTAGCGCCGGCCGATTGGGCGTATTCACATCACGCCGCGCAGAACAACACTAATCATACTGTACCAAAGAAGAGCTACGCGAGGAACAGATACGGCAGTGAGCAGAAGGACATTCTCACCAATGAGCAAGTGTGAGTTGAAGATGCAAAAATGCATGAAATCCAATCCTTCCAATAGAAGATGCTTCCATTTCAGTAAATCAGTTATTGAATGAGTGGCAAAGAAGTTCCTTTGGCGTGTTAAAAAGGTTGAACGCCGTTCACTGGAGAAATCCAATTGATTTCACAGCTTTTTCAACGTCATTCTGACTCATAAATGTCTCTTTATCACTGAAGATTTCCCTGGTAATTGATTCTTGAACGTTTGTTCGTCTCTCAAGGGTTTCTGCTTGTATATCGTTAAGCAGTTTAGCCAAAGGTCAAAGTTCTTAGAATATACGCAAAAAGAACAATTTCTCCATAGGGTTTCACCAAGTCAAGTTGTTTGCTGTTTGTGACTATTTCATCAGCTTCTAAATGTCTTTAAAATGATTATAAATTTCTCTTATTCTCCAGGCGCGTCCGAACTTTGTATGCATGCATGGCGGAAAATGATGGCGAGCTGTCTTTTGAACCAAATCAAATCATTACCAATGGTGAGTGACGCTTCGGCACTCCTTCAACATCTTACAAAATTAATCATCGGGCTGGATGTAATTCTGCATGATAAGAGCTTAATTTTCTAATCTAACCCTTCTAATATACTTCCTTTTCTCCTACTGTATCTTTTCTAGATGTATCTTTAATGTTTGTTGGATGCCCGAAAGACGTAGCAAAGCAAAGCTGAAGTTGTAGGAAGAAAAGTTTTTCATTTTGTTCGCTTGTATGCTTTTCTTTCTCTCTTTTCCTACGTAGTTTCACAGCTTTTGAATGCTTTTGGCGTTTCTAGTTGGGCTTGGAGGTGCTGATGAGTGTGCAATTCCTATTAATCCTTGATTTGTCCTTGCAGTGAAACCGTCAAGCGAGGCTGGCTGGTGGGAAGGAACGCTGAACGGCAAGTCTGGCCTTATTCCGCAGAACTACGTGGAGATCATTCCGTGAGATTGAGCCAAACTCCGGCGCGTCTTCTTGAGCGACTCGAGGCGCGAGGAGTGATGTCAACTCTGCCCAAATATATCCTTCACACTCTGCATTTCTGCGGGCCAACAATGCATTATCTACAACACAGATATCAATGTCGTAATCTCTGACAAAAAGGGGATGATTTATGATTATTTAACATATCACAGGACATTCTTAGGCCCAAATCTATACTGTTGCGTCTACTTTTTTTCTAATTCAATCTATTTCTTTGTAATCTGCATTTTATCCTTGATTTTTATCCTCTTCTACTTTACATTTTCCTACGTACTAATATTATTGTAATATTGTTTTGTTTTGTTTTTTGAACACTCTTTTGCCATACGAGGAAAAAAAAAACACCAGCCATTAAAAATGCATTAACAGATTTTGATTAGAATGCTAATCTTTAATTTAGATAAAAAAAAATTAAAGATGAAAAATAAAAAAAACTATTAATAAAACTGTGATAATTGTCATGAAATACATTGACTAAATTTTTCTGCGTTACATATTTTGTAATGTTTTATAAAATGAAGATGAGGAAAAATTCCAAATTTAATTTGTATTATTTTATCAACATTATCAAGTTAAGATGCACACATTAGATATTTCACTGCGTGTAACATTATTTGTAATTTGTGGGGGGCGAATAGAAAAGGGACCATTGCATGGAGAATGAACCCGAATATGTCTCTTTATTTCTTTTGATGAGGAGAAGAGGGGAAGAAGAAGAAACAACACTAACTATTTAGGATGAATTACTACCGTGAATAATAATTTTATTATGTGTATTTCCACTTTACAAGTTTGTACAATATATTTGTATTTTGTAAAATGAAGCATTGTAAATTTGAGAGAATATCCATTTTGTTGAAGTGTAGGTTTAGTAAGATATCAATGGGAATATACAAAGACGGAAGAAACTATTATATTGATGAAGCAGATAAAATGCTATGAAGTAAGTCAAGATGATGAGCAAATACATAGGAAGAAAAAGTGTCTTTATTGTTGATGAGGATGCAAGTCGCGCCCCTTTGATTTGAGGGGGAGGCTGAAAAAAAAACTGTATGTATTTGTATACTAAATGACATTAAATAAAATGCTAACGCATCACACTGAACATGGCTCTCTTTGCATCAGTGAGCCTCCGAGTATTGATCCGTTCTGCCTCTGCTCCTGACGTCACCTCGCCACCTACGCGGTGTGACGTCACTCCTCCAGAGCGCATGAGTTCAATACACCGACCACTTCATTCAAATTCGCCGGGGTTTCGGTATATTGTGACGCACTTGAGCCTTATGTGCCACATAAGGCAATGCTAGTTGGTTGAGAGCTACAGCTACAGTGGGTGGCAGAAGTTTGACCTTTAGCCTCGGCACTCGCTGTTGTGCAGCTGGGGATTTTCACATTTTCCAGGGTGAACTGAGAGACTTCTCAGAAATGAGCAAATTCACAAAAAACTGTGCAGAATTGTGCTGGAAAATTTATAAAGTCATCTCACATTGCGTCGATATCAGACGATGAAATTGCGAAAAAGAATTGCTAATTCTTTGCATTTAATGCCTTGAGCTTTGAGAGGACAAATCTATACTTCTCTATTGAGAATTTTCTTAAATTGTTTCATGAAAAACTTGATTATTAAATATTATTGACGTGAATTTGCGTGATGAGTAAGACTTATCCAGCCAAAGCTATTAGCTAATATTTATTAACCGTTTAGCGAAGCCCAAAGAAAACAAATATTTTCCTTTTGAATCCCTTGAGATTTAAGAGCTTCAGGCTGAATTTCAGAATCGCTCATTCAGGAATATCATTTATTTCCAATCAATTTTGAACGACACTGTAAGTGTGAAGCCAATTTAGCTGCGCCACATGAGAAATATTCAGCGATAAGGACGATAAGGACTCTCGATTCTCTGCATCCAGAAATACTCTGTTCATTTTCAATAGACTTTTCAACCTGTGCGAAGTGGTGCATTTTTAACCCATCCGGGGGTGCAGCGATAGTGATTTTTCGCCCACCCACTCGCGCCCTATGTTCACATAATGCCCAGATACATAATGTAGTGCTGCTCTGGAAATACGACTCGCTGTGTGGACGAAATAAGGTGGGAGGCAATTTTTATTGATCCAGTCTTGCGCTGCACGTCATCGTTGCCGAAGCACTTCTCACTATCCCCTTTTCAGTCCTGGCAGCTCTCCATACTGCTCGCGAGGTGCTGTGCAACCCGAAAAAATCAGTGTAGTGCTTCTGTGTGTGCCCGTGGAGCGATGGAGACCCCCAAAGTGCACCACCCCAAGACGAAGTCGCGACGGTCTAGGCACAAAAACGACAGTCCCGTGGCGGAGGCGCAGCAAAATGGTGCGAAGGAGGCGGAGGAGGAGCCGCAGCAGGAGTCGGACCACATCCAGAAGGGCATCCTCGGGTATATCGACAGGCAGATCGGGACGCAGCAGCGGAAGATCCAGTCGCTGTCGGATCCGCAGGGAAGTCCAGCGCAGCGTAGCGCGCGGAGCAGGAATAGCATGGAGCGCAGTCCGCGGATGAAGAGAAGCAAGTCTGAGTCGCGGCGACGGAAAGAGCGCAAGCTGATCGCCGCTGGCGAGATGGAGGTCAGGCAGGCCAATGAGACGCTGATGAAGTATCTGAAGCAGTGCTCGGACGTGAACGACGCCTCACTGTCCGGGGATCTGGAGATTGACAAGACGGCCGACGTGCAGCGGCACGTGCTGCGGAAGTCGCGCTCGCAGAAGCTGGCGCCCAGCTTCCGGACTGTGCCCGCGGGCTGCCAGTCGCGCTATGACATCACGGCGGTGCTGGACGAGCTGGGTAACGACGTGATCAGGCAGCGCAGCGCAGACATCTACAATCCCTTCACGCCCGTCGTGTCGCCCACCGACGGTCCGCCCACGCGCATCGACAAGATGTTCATCCAGACGACGAGCGGCTACAGATCCGTAGACTCGAACTTCTATAAGAGCGCCCTGGACACCGATCCGGAGGCCGGCGCCTGGACTCCGCTGACGAACGGCCTGTACCTGGCTTGCGCGCTGCAGCACTTGTGGCACCTGGTCAGCAACATATGCCACGGCCTCCTGGGCGGCCTGGCGATGGGCCATCTCATCTTCGTGTTCAGCACGGCGCCGCACGACTGGAGCAAGGCGTCGCTGAGCCAGTACGAGACCTTCGCCGAGGTGTTCTTCAGCATCTTCTACTTCCTGGCCATTTTGTGCGTGGTGTCGGTGTTCGACCGCATGGATCTGGCCCAGATCAGCCTGTCCAATGCTTCCAAGACCATCTCCTTTCGCTGGATGGTGGTCATCCTGCCCATCTACTTAGTCACGGTCATCCTCAGCCTCTCCGCCGACTCGCTGAACGACAGATTTTACTTCATCAACTACAACCTCACCACAATCCAAGTGAACAACCCAGTGAGTATTCCACATCGGCCCCCTCCCAAGTGCACCCCTAAAGCCCGCCACTCTTTTCAGGAGAGCAGGATCATCAGTATCTGGAACACGCTATCCGTGGCCAAGAGCGTGGGCGCGATAGTGGGATGGATTCTCGTGGCTCTGTCTCCGGTGGACTTGCTGTACAGTCGCCTGGCCGAAATGGAGAAGTACTTGGCGAACTAAATGCCCGCATATCCCCAAAATAGGCATCGCCCTCCCTGCAGGAAAAGTAGATGTGAGCAATTTGCAACACACCTTTAGTTCGTGGAACTTTCAATTATATTTTCAACAAATTCAGTGAAATGAATGCTGTAGAGACGACAATGCTTAGTGCTATGTATTGTGCACATGTATATCTTGTAAATAATATATATTACTTCAGACTCATTAAAATTTTCTGGCCTTTCCTGAGATTTTATCCAGTGCCGAAGAAAAGTACACTTTCCGCCAACGGTTGCGTTTTGGTGGGAATTTCAAGTTGCTTCCACAGCTCACCACCAGTCTTCGCTGCTGTTCACTGCCATTTTTCTTGTTTTGATCAACAAACTGCCACGTTTTTCCCTGTTAACAGCCCCAAAAAGCCCCCTCATAGTGTTTCTGGTAGCTTGAAGTAAGAGTTAAGGACTCGTTCTGGGTGAAGATTCAGAAAAGTGTGCAGGATTTGTGAAACATCGTTGAGAAATGGCTCTCAATCTTTACTTCTCAAAGAACGTCTTCCAGGTGAGTGATTTCAAGGAGAATCTCTATTTCCTGGCCTCCTTGGCTAATAACGCATATTTCCAGCGCCTCCGGGTGATGAAGACATCCTTCAAGGGTTGTCTGTACGGCGTCCGGACACACGAATGTCTCCTGGTGCTGGGATTCACCGTCAGTCAGACTCTTGACGACGGCACGTTTGCCAAAGTGGATGACGGCTTCAATGTGATCAGGGACAACTTGCCGGCTGGCGTGGATTTCCTGGGATACGTTACCGTGACGTCTGACGAATTACCAACCGCTGGGAAGACGAAGGAAGGCAATACAGACTCGATTGTGCTGATTTGCAATATTCAGGAGGAGTTCAAAGTCACCGTCGTCCGGATGGGCAAAGGGGGCTTCAAGGAGATTCCCTACGAGACGCTGGAGCACACTGAAGTGCTGGAGAAATTGTACCTGGTCAGGATTCAGTACAGAACCAATGTGCTGGTGGAAGCCACTGCGCAGGCTGTCAAGGACTGCTTCGCGAGGCTGACGGCGGATTTTGCGTCCGGAAAGCTATGTTTTCACGTGAAGGAAGCCGAGGTGTTCATTGGGCGAGACAAGAAGGGGCGGAAATCCACCTTTGCCGATATTCTTAGCCACGAGAGTCAGGGAGGAAAGGGGAAAGGCAAGAAAGAGCTGTCAGACTTCCGGACAGTGAATGTGAGGACTTTGATGGCGAAAACGGAGGAGATGAGTATATCCGTGAAGAAATCCTCATTCAGGATTGCGTTCAGCGACACTGAGAAGCTCTCCATTCCAGTTATGCTCGAAGGAGTCGCTCTGGCGGCTCCTGGACAGGCGACAAGCAGTCTCTATGAGCTCTTTGTGGAGAGTTTGTTGAGGAATCTGGCGCTTGTCGAGGATGCAATCGTCAGGGGACTAGATCAGAAGCTGGACTTTCTCTCCCTGCGTCCCTACAATGCCAGGATGCTGAACTTTCCTCACACATTCCTCTGCGTCTGGCCACAGAAGGTCGACGAGGGCAATGCACTGCTGAAGGACAGACGCAGGATCTTCCACAAAGTCCTGGGCTTGCCAGTCACCAGACCCTTCTTCCGTCGCTCGAATGCTGTGCCCCAGGCGGACGGCGGAGTGTTGCTGAACACCCACGTGGGCCTGAAGGCCGCTCAGCCGGGCTGGCAGCAGCATCTGGTGCAGGGAAGTTACGGATACTATCATTACATGCAGCAGAACTACAATGACTCGGGCTGGGGTTGCGCCTACCGCTCGCTGCAAACCATCTTCTCCTGGTTCAAGTACCAGGGCTACACGGAGCAGCCCATTCCCAGCCACTACGACATCCAGGAGGCTCTGGTGAGCGTGGGCGACAAGCCCAGGGCCTTCCTTGGCTCCAGTCAGTGGATTGGCTCGACGGAGGTGTCGCTGTGCCTTGAGAAATTCCTTAACATCTCCTCGAGGATCATGTACGTGCAGTCTGGCAAGGACTTGGCTGATAAGGGCGCCGAGCTGGCTATGCACTTTGAGTCTCAGGGCTCTCCCATCATGATTGGTGGCGGCGTCTTGGCGCACACCATCATCGGCGTGGACAATAACCGCGAAACCGGCGAGACGAAATTCCTCATCCTCGATCCACACTACACGGGCGCCGAGGACTTGCAGGTGATCCAGCAGAAGGGCTTCTGCAACTGGAAAACCGGCAACTTCTGGGATAAGAAGACCTTCTACAACCTCTGCATGCCAATCAGACCCATCGAGTTCTAAGCTTCGCTCAAAAAATACATTTATTCCACAAGCTATCTTACACTCGCCCTCCAAGAGGGCTCTTCGGGGGGCGGACGAGGGCGCGTGGGCGGGAGAGCTTAGGCGTTTTGTGTGACTATTCGTCTGTGTGTGTGTGTGTTGTTTGTTCGAAAAGAGTATTTCTGGATTGTGACACTGGCAATATTGCAAATAGCACGCTTTCAAGTTGTTTAAAAGAGTATTAAATCTTCATCGAGTATGTCAGAAACTGCGTAAACCGCATTATTTACTGCATAGAAAATAAAAAGAGCCAACAAGTGGATTAACACTTTATCGAACTCCATTTCACAGAGAAAATAACGTACTGGAGAAGAAAAAAATTGATAATTTGCCATTAAAAATGTCCAAAAGTGGGGCAGATCAATTCAGTAGAATTTCTTGTTTGTCTATTTCTAAAAGGAAAATGTCAGGAAAAGCTGAGGAATTTTTGGTAACAAAATTCACATTGAATTTTCCGGAAAACCTAATCCTAATTTCAGTTGTTTGCGTTGAATTTCGTCTACAAATTGTTCTAATACTAGAAAGAATCTTGCCTAATCATAAGACTAAATCGAAATTCAACATCCCGAATGTTATTGTCATCGTAGACGTGCTATTTGTATTTTGTCAAGTGTGAATCCTTGGTCGCTTTCGTATCTCAAAATTTGATTCCATAAAAGTTCTCAAATGCCGCCACGAACTCCTCGTCAGTCCCGCTTTTGGGTGTTTTGTACAATAAATAACGATTTCTACAAGTATACATTCTTCTGCCAATTAGCAAATTGTCTATAAATAAATTTCTTTAGCGTTTCTGTATCACCTTTGGACTGATGCTTCACACCATCATGTCGAGCTTGCCCTGCGAGAACAGCACGGCGTCGTGGACGGTGGGGAATGTCTGAAAGGGCCCGTCGCCCAGCGCATCGGCGTGCATGATTGTGTCAAAGACTCTGTCCGAGGGCGCGGCCAGGAAGAAGGCAATGCCGACCTTGTCCAGCTCACTAGCCATCTCCTTGAACAGCTTGCACGCCGAGTAGTCGATATGCGGGATGCACGACAGGTCAATGACCACGGTGTGGATGTCGTGATAGTCTGGCGCCTTGCTGGGCTTGCGTGAGTTCACGCCAATGGTTTCGTAGAGTTTGCGCTTGAAGCTCGCCTTGGAGGCGAAGTTGATGCATCCCGCGTGGCGGAATATCTTGATGCTGGGCACCTCTTCTGCCGTCTTGTGCTTCTCAATGTCCACGTAGATGCCCGTGCCGGGAATGAGGCCCAGGATGCAGCTGTAGCTCTTCCAGCCCTTCAGATACAGCGCTATGATGGACATGATGATGCCCACCAGCAGTCCAATATCGATGTCGATCAGCACCACGCTGAGGAAGGTGCAGATCCACGTCAGTGCCTCCAGACGGTCCTCCTTGAAGAAGCGCTTGAGGTCGCGCACCTGCATCAGCATGCCCTTGAGTGCCACCACGATGATGCCGGCCAGGACACAGCGCGGTAGAGCCTCGAAGAACGGCCCGATCCACAGCAGTACCACGGCGATCAGCGCCGCCGCGATCACGGACGCCAGCTGCGTGTTTCCGCCCGTCTGCTCCTGGATGAGCGAGCGCGACAGCGAACACGCCGTGGGAATGCAGGAGTACAGCGAGCCCACGGCATTGCTCACGCTCATGGCGATCAGCTCCTGATTGGCGCGCACCTCGTACGAATGCTTCTTGGCGAAGATCAGCGCCATGGACATGACGATGGAGTAGCTGACAATGGCGATGGCCACGGAGTCGACAGCCACGAGCTTAAGTAGGTCGAAGGATGGCAGCACGGGACTCGGCAGTCCCGTGGGAATCGGGCCGACGGGCTTCACGTGGAATGCCTCCTCGAGGTTCAGTAGCTGCGACGCCAGAGTGCCGCCGACGACGGCAATCAGCTCAGTGGGTGCCGGAATGCGGCATCTCTTGGCCAGCCAGGGCTGCAAGAACGAGAGAAAAATCACTGTAAGTTCTGTTGGGATTTTGGGCGCCAATTTGTAATCTTGTGAAGACACCAGAATTATAGGACTATCACACGAGACGCATTATTACACTGTGTCCCCGCCCATTCGTATGCCACGCCCACTCAAAGACTCTTCAACACTCTGCGAAATTGATGCAATTACGTTGATACATTGTTTGCAAATCTAGATAATGTCTCTCTATTGCTACCAAGAGCCAAATTGGCACTCTTATCTGTGCTTTTGATTATCTGGCGTCTTCTGAACAAGTAAATAAATTGTCTACCTTTAGCAATTCATTGGAGGCTATCATGAACAGAATGACGATGAGACTGATGGTCACGGCGGTGACATTGGCCGACGGTAGGAGCTGAAAGAGATCGATGGCGATGTAGACGATCTTGAAGGCGCCTTTGTGGTGCGGCAGCTTGATGCCGAACAGATCCTTCAGTTGGCTCGTCACCACGTGGATGGCCGAGGCGGTGGTGAAGCCGCTCACGAGCGGCTCGCTAAGTAGCGACGACAGCGCCCCCATGCGCAGGAGACTCATGATAAGTTGATAAATGGCGACCATGAGCGAAGTCGCGGCCACGATTTCCATCGCCGTCGGCCCCGCCACGCCGTCGGCGTCTGCTGCGCCGTCCGTGACGTTCGCGACGTGACCCATCTCCAGCTGTTCGGTGTTCACGTGCGTCTGCACCACCTTGCCCACCATCAGGCTGATCACGGCGAATGTACCCATGGAGATGTGCCGCGAGGTGCCAAAGATGACGTAGGCAAAGAGCGGGAAGAAAGCCATGTACAGGCCGATCTGCGGCGGCACGAAGGCCAGGATGGCGTACGCCATACCCTGCGGGATGTGCATCACGGCCACCGTGATGCCCGACGTGATGTCGCCCATGAGGTTCTGCCGGAACGAGTACTTCGGCAGCCAGTCCACGATGGGCACAAGGCTGTACAGCAGCGCCAGGAAGTCGATGCTGGCCAGCGACTGCCGGATCCTCTGGCCATAGCTCTCCCTCTCCTTCTCATACCCAGAGATCTTGTTGGCCTCCTCGGCGTGCAGCACCTGTCGCGAGATGAAGTACGACGGAATGGTGGTGTAGCCGAGATCATCTCTGTTTATTGAGCTGCAGGCGCGAAAAGAGAGCACAATGTGGCATGAGTAATTGGATAAAAATGAGGCGGACTGCGCTAGACGTCTACATAATCGCTGATAAGACAGACTTTCCTTATCTCAAGCGAGCTCTTGAGCAACAATTCATTCAACTTTTCCGTGCACAAGACTTGACTTGATCTAGAAAAATACACACTTTTATTGGCTTTTAATGGGGATAGAAGGCTTTAGCGATGACCCAATAAAAGGGAAACGTTTTATATTGTACGGAAAAAGAAGAACAATAGGAAAATGTATCATTCAAAAACCATCAAAAAAATACGAATCAAGTCAAGTTTTCTTGCCTTCCCTTAGATTAGAGTGCTAGAAACTTTAAGAAGCATCCAACTGCATTATTAATATAATTTCTTAAGTCTATTTAAATTAAATCTTGGGATGATTTTGCTCTTCTTTCATTCCCTCTTAATTTAATAGTTGAAAAATGGTTTGATTAACTTAACATAATCAATTTTACAATGAAGAAATAACTTTAATTCAGTTTTTAGATATTTTATGTCACTTCGTTCTGGATAATCTGTGGCAAAATCTAGTTCGTTCTATTGCGCATATGGCAACACCCAAACAAGCGTTCTAATGTATTATTAGTACTACCGAAACTTATTACATCTTTTTCTCGCATAAAGCACAATTTTAGGTAAAGGATTTCGGAATCTTCTAGACGTAGTTCTAAGCAAATCAATTTGAAGCATTTCCAAATGAAAGGAATAAGAATATCAAAATATTTAGAGGAATATTAGAAATGAAGGTCTTGATTCATGACTAACTTTTAAAGTTTTAAATAAGGCTGACATTAAAATGACTAAGAGCTCTACTTTTCATATCTTATCAAGCAATACTCTTGTAATTTTTGCAGAGGGCGCAATTTCGCAGTAAAATACATTACTTGAACGTCTCTATAAAAACCCATGAAACCTCTAATATTCCTTGTAAATTCCTTAACTGAGTAATGAATTACATAAGAATGTTGTCTTAATATTATTTCGCAATGAGCGCCTTCGGTTACTTAAGAAATGGCATGAGTAGAGTTGTCATATGTGATATGAGGTTTATCTCTCTCTCCACTTTGCCACAAGTCTTAACCAACTTGTCTGTGCGAGCTATAATACACCAAAAAGAAGCATTTCTTCTGAGCAAAAGCTGCTCTTCTCTCCAAATTGCTCTAGACATTCGCTAAGACAGTTTGATCGGAAAGTGAAACAATCTGGGGAAGTGTGCATCGTATGAATTTATAAATTGAAGGTTGAATTGTGCTTCCACAATCTATTGTTCTCACTTTCATTCACCTTGACTTGGCTGCAAATGTGAGCAATAGCAAACATAATGAGAGATATTTGCCAGATTTCTCAGTTGTGATTCAGTTTATGAAAGGAAGACTTCTATTCACCAAATATTTGACTAAACACGAGCATCTGTGTGTGGAAAAAAAGAGGCGGGTTTTCCACAGAACGCTCGCAAAATCATCATGCTAAACGATGTGGATGCCGAATGCTAATTTGTGCTTAGCGTTTTAATTACATGGTCGGTTATAAAAATTACACGCTAATGAAAATTGACAATAATGTTACCTGAGTTTTTCCTGGCTCTTGTCCACCATTGCCACGGTGAGAAAGGCTGGAGCTCCACTAATTGATTTATTTGCACACCAATCCTTAAATGTGTGAAAAATTGATCTTCTTTAGCACTCTGGCTTACAGTATTCGCGCCAAATGTTTGTCCAAACACTCTGAGTTTATCGTGACACGCAAAATATCCACCGAAATATGTCGATAATTTGATCGCTTAGTTGCGCCGAAGGCGAAAAAACCCCATTCAAAATCTATTGAGCTTCTTTTGTGGGTGAGCAAATTTTTCCCTGAATTCTTTAATGTCCTCACACGACTCACGATTTCAACTGGCCACCAAATATCAACTGCCTCCACTTTTATATAGTGGAGGGAATTTGTATTCCCAGCATTCTGCAGCCAGCAAAAAATTGTGTACAACTTTGGATGGTATCTTCATTAAACAGGGCAATATTGATAATTTTCTGCAACTGTGCGCAGAGTAGCGCGCGTGCTGTTCTTCTGCCACAAACTCCGTCTTAGTCTCTTGTTTCCATCCCGATCTTTCGCGCCACAATTTCCTGTTTCCATGTGCGAATTTATTTTATTGGATGCATAGAAAAAATTGTGGCTCTCAACAAATATTTGCCTCCTTAAATATATTCTTAACTCCTCCAATGAACTTTTATTTATAAACTCTCTCATTGAACTTGCAAGTACGCAGCCTTGTTTCCACGAGAAAGGGAGAGAGGAGGAGATGGCCAAATATTTATCAGTAAATTGCCTTTTCATTATGCTGCCTAATCCAAGAGATAATCTCAAGACACTCCAGCTAAAGTGTCTTGCTGAAAATCCAAAAAATTTCCATCGTTACTGGCAATCGGGAGAAACTGACCAGACCAAGAAATATATTCGCCGGCGATCAGAGAGAGAGTCACAAATTATGGGCACAATTTGTCACTAAATCTGTGCTTTTATTGGCATTTCAAGATGTTTTACTGCAACGCATTTCAAGAGATATTCTCTGGATTGATTTATAAATGTGATTGTCCACTCGTAGTTGATAAACTTTGTAATTATTATGAATGTCTTTTAAATTTCCTTTTTAGCAATGAAATAATCATAGGTAGCATTAATTGAATATGTCATATGACTGTCTTATAGAAGTCCTTTGGCCTGTCACAAATACTGTCCATATAAAAAGATAAAACTGTAAAAAGTTCGTGTTTTTTTTTTGTTATTTTCTCTTAAACGTCTTTGTCTTTTGACAAAATGTGATTTACTTCTGACATTCCGATGGATTTTCATAAGACATACAATTATGAAAAATTTAAAATCAATTTAAAGAGCAATATTAATAAAAAATTTCAAGGAAAACACTGAGTTTTCTATGCATATAATTGTGAATCTCATAAAGAATCACTCATGCAATCGAGTGTTAACAATCCACAAATTGTTTTTCTATGGAAAATCATAGTGAGATAAGCATCTGAATATTTCATTGGAAAAAGTATTAAAAATGTCCTTTCATTCTATTTATTTCCAGCGTTTCCAGCAAATTATAGAGGTAATTTTTTACGATTTCCCCACAATGATTGTAAAAAAAAAACCCCACCAAAAGCTAATTTCCCCAAAAGAAACGCAAATAAATCACACTGTTTTGGAATATTTTGAATGTCTTTTTGCGTACTGAAGAGTTAGCATATGAGAGCCTGAATGTGTGCCCATGATTTTCGACACTCACTCACGCGTCTATCGTGAGGACCAGAGTCCAGAGGCCTGGGTCAATATTAAACGCACTGCTCTGTACCTTGTCTACTTTTTCCTCAATTCATTGGCAGCCGCACGCTCACTGTGTTATTAGCAATTCACGCGAAATGATTGATTTATAGTGTATTATCGCTATTAAGTGAACATTAGCGGTATCACAGAAATGCAGAGACACCAGAACAAAAAACGTCCATTTTCCACCCAGAAAATCACACAACTTCCATGCACAGCCGCGCACAATTCAATGATGATAAACAATATCAATTATTTCTCCGTGAGATTTATAGAAGGGGATCAATGAAAAGTGTGTGAACTTATTTAAAATATAAGCCCATTTGGCGAGGTCGCGGTGATAAGATTAAGCACAACAAGCGCGCAGAGTTCACGCGAAAACATCATTTCAAGGGCCCCAGCGAAAGCGCCCCTTTTATTGCCACACACACTTTCTGATTTTATTGACTTGCGCTCACCCCACGATTTGTCCGGACTGTGGCGATTGCGGAGAAAAGTCCAGAGCACACCTTCAGTATCTTCTTGAGCGCTCGGACGCACGGCCAAAACAAGAAACGGCCTCTTTCGCAGACACAATTTATAGCACACAAGTGACATATTGACAACAAATCAGCTGATATCTGTATATAAGAGATCGATGGACGTTATGTGCGGCACTTTATATAGGCAGTCGCTCAGTCCCAACGGCTCGCGCGCAACTTCACGTCGCTCAAGTGGGACAGAAAAGGAGGGGAAGTGACAGCTGAACAGGTGAGCGTGCGAGCGACTGATAAAATAATTATTATACTCCCGAGGAATAACAATGCATCAAAGTGCAATATGGGTGTTGAATTGTGAATAAGCAGAGGATTATTTATGTGGACAAGGACAAGAGGTTTTTAGCAGATTGCACAGAGAGGAAATCCGCAGGATTTGTGGAGCTACAGGTGAGAATTTCAGGTGGAAAATGTCCTTTATTGCCTGAAATCACGTGAATTTCTAAATTTTCAAACCACGTGAAAATATTCAACAGATGGTTTTTTCAATGTTAATATTAGATACAACCTTGGACAAAAACTCCATTTATTATAATACTCTCACTTTTTTCAATGCACTGAGAGAAAAATCTGCGTGAGTTAACGCTTAGATGGAAGATATTATTTCAATTGTTAGTCTTTAGAATCATTCAAGAATATTCAACAATTCTAAAAATAAAGCGCGAAATATTATTCGATTTAAATACTAACTTGGAACAATAAAAAGAAATATAAAAATGAATATAAGAGATTTTTAAAGTAAATTCTGTCAGTTAAATCAAAAAGAAATATTTGGTGTAATCTTTTTACAAAGTTTACAGCAAATTTAAGCTTAGAATAACATCGTAACGTTTATTTTAATGGTATTTAAGAATACACGATACAAAAAAATACGAATAATTCATATTCAAATGAGATATAATGCATTTCCTGTGTTCAATCAAAGGCTTTTAAAAGCTGATTTTTCATCGTTGTGCTTCTGTTTTGTTTGCTAAATGTGTTAATGATAACAATAAGATAACTTATTTTATTATAAGAGATTCTTTTATCTTAAAAGTTTGTTAATATACTTCATCGGAAGTTTCAAATAATGAGTGTGCAGAGGATGTTTATTCGCTTGATTAAGCAATTGCGATGTGAAATTTCAAATGAATATGCAAAATACGTGTTTATTTCGAGGAAAATTAGATTACGTTAAACTTTTCCACACTTTCTATGATTCTGTGCTCCGGATTCTCAGTATCGAGTCAACAAAGATATGTTTTCTCGGGCAATAATATTGACAAAAAGCCGCTCTCGTCATGGTGAATTTTGTGCCCCGTGAAGTAAAAAAGCTGCATAAGAGACGGGAAAAGGAGAGCTTTTGCACTTGCATGTGAAACTGAGAGATGCACGGAATTTTCAAGTGTTCTCTCGATGGACAGACACTTATCATGCGCGATTATGTACTTGGCGACTGAGCTGTATCTCAGTCGTTCTATATACGTAAATATTTTTTCATGCTGATGTTTCCTATGTGGTGCACAATTGTGTGGTGTCGCGCTTCCGGCTGTGTGTGCGTGTCCGAAGTGCGGAGAATTGTGGGTAAAAAATCAAAATATTTGGGTTATTCACTGTGCGCGCGATGATGGTTGTCTTATTGTGTGTAGCCCGAAAATTGTGGGCATCTTCCGATAAGGAAGTATGACTTTCTGTGGCCTGAAACTGGCTCAAACCCGAAAGGAATGGCTGGATTGTCGCGCTGTGGCTTTTTGATGCTCTCTTGGCGCGATTGTGCGTTGCACAATTGTGTGTTGTGTGTGATTATTCGGGAGGGAATTGGAAAGCAGAGGCGAAGATGTGCACGTGCATCCATGGATGAGTTAACATGACGAAATTGCTTAGATGTGTTTACAGCAAAATCAGCTGGATTGTCTGTTTGGTTCTGTCGCTAGGAAAGCATCAATTGGTGATTGTACTTGGACAGCGATTTGCATCGCGTTGAGACCTTCTTATGTACACTTGTCGAGTGGCTGGCTTTGTATGGCGTGCACACACGCCTTATGTGGTCGCCAGGCCGTACAAAACATACGAGCTGCTGTGCCAGATCAACCAGTCCCCAGTCGAGTTCCATAGCGTCCAGAAGTGTGTCCAGACAAGTGCGCTCCTCCAATCTGTTTAACAAAGGATTCTCAAGCAAGTGCAGATAAGGCAGCTGAAGTCAAGTTTAAGCCGTTTAATTCCCAGCAAAGAAGCCACAATGAGTCGGTGAGTTAGAACCCCAGCAAAACAGCGCTTGTTTGTCTCATGGCTCGAGGAGTGATCATACGACCCGCGAGACAAGTGCATCAGTGGCTTGGCAACAACAAAATGCACACCACAACTCTTGTTTGTCGTCCTTCACTTTGTGTCGAGCCCCTCAATTGAAAGTCCACAACAACTAATCAAGTGCATCAGCGACTCAATCGGAAAAGCTAATGAAGGAGAAATTAGTTTATCTGGCACATTTTCGAGAATCTCCTTCACAATAATACTCTGTTGATTGCGCTCTTTCTGGAAAAGTGAGGAAGAAATGTTTGGGGTGTCTTCTCTGTAGGCAAGCGGAAATCGCCGGTTGTTGTTCACAACTTTGCTGTGTGATCTCATTTTCAATTGAGATTTTCAATGTCTGGCATTTTTTTTCTGTTTGGAATCGCACTCTCAAGAAGATAATCTCGCAGCTGAAAAGACTTGGCAGATTGTGGATTTAATCAATTTAAATTAGGGGAGGAAAGGACAAATTTGAACAGTGCAATTTGGACAGGTTCAATTTGAGAAATATGCATCAAAATCAAAGGTGAATAAATTGGTTGTGAGAAAAGAAATTCGGAGGAAATTTTTAAAGCTCAAACAAATATTGATTCTAGACTTAATCGAGAGAAAAATAAGCTAGTTTATAACGAATAAAGTTTTACACAGACCACAAACAGATAGTTTTATCACTAATAAAACTCCTCTTTGCCTTGATTTCACGCTATTATTTACAAGAAGACACTTTAGAATATCAATGCAGTTTGTGAATTATTGCACGTAAGTTCAAGATTTTGTGCTGGAATTTCAATGATCCCTATTCACTGGTCAATTACCTTTTCTCTGGTGTGGCGCAAAAAAGTGCTCAAGAACTTTTCCATTGACTGTGAAAAGTGCAACGATGGAAAAACAAGACATATTTACCCCGTCATCAATAAATTGATAGAATTCGCATGTTTTCCAGACTCGTGAACTCCCTGGTAAATCTGATAGCGATTTCGTCAGCCGAGAGCCCGTCAATTCGTCCGCGCGGCGTCAATTCCAGCTCAGATGCGTCAACATCCACCACACTGGCCACAATGACAAACGGCTTCTCCGGCGAGAAGGAGAAGAAGGTTGCCGAGGCGGCCGCCATCATCCGGCGCACGAACGTCGTGTGCTTCGACGTGGACAGCACGGTGATCCGCGAGGAGGGAATCGACGAGCTGGCGGCGTTCTGCGGCAAGCGTGCCGAAGTGTCGCGCCTCACGCGTGAAGCCATGCAGGGATCGATGACGTTCCAGGAGGCGCTCAGGAAGCGCCTTGAGATCATCAATCCCAGCCAAGAAGAGATCTGGGAGTTCCTCAAGACACATCCCAGCACGCTCTCCAGCGGCCTCAGGGAGTTCGTGAAGCAGCTGAAGGAGAGGAACGTCGAGGTGTTCCTCGTGTCCGGCGGCTTTGACTGCCTGATTGAACCCGTGGCTGAGCAGCTGGGCATCCCACCGGAGAATATCTACGCCAATAAGCTGTTCTTCACGTTCAAGGGTCAGTTTCAGCCACACTTTAGGCTCTAGATGCTCTAAAACCCTTGATATTAAGGATTGAATTTCATATTTTAACGATTTCTGATCACTCGAGACGCTTTTACATCTCGATCTCAAGGATATTTCGCTGTTTATTCAGTGTGTCTAATCGCGTTTGCTTACTCTCGACAGGAGATTATGCTGGATTTGACACCACGCAGCCTACGTCGAGATCCGGCGGCAAGGCTGAGGCAATCAATAAGATCAAGGCGAGAACTGGACAGAACGAAATCATCACGATGATCGGAGATGGAGCAACTGATCTCGAGGCTTCTCCACCCGCCAATTACTTCATTGGTTAGTCCGCTAAACCCTCCCCAAATTGAATACCATCTCTGACCTCTGGTCAATTCCTCTTGTCTTCCAGGCTACGGCGGCAATGTGGTGCGAGAAGAGGTGCGCAGCAGATCGACCTACTACGTCACGAGTTTCTCACAATTAATGCAGCACTTGTGATTGTGACCATCGCCATAATTCATCTTTATTTATCCCTTAGACGGTAAATGGAATACACAAGAATAATAATTTTAGAGCAACGACAAGAATACTAGCGTGTAAATAAATTCACTTCTGCTGCAAGCTAATGTGTTTTTCTTTCATAAACTTAACGACAATGTTCTTAGGGCCTAAAGTTGAAGTTCAATCGTCAGGGAGGCAGGCAAAGGAGTGCGCTTAGTTGGGGGCGGCCTGGAGCGTGTACAAATCATAGTACATGCCCTCCTTGGCTAGCAGCTCCTTGTGCGTGCCCTGCTCCACCACCTTGCCAGCGTTTATCACGAAGATCACGTCCGCGTCGATGATGGTGGTGAGGCGATGGGCAATGGTCACGCACGTGCGTCCCTCGCGCGCCTTGTCCAGCGCCTCCTGCACGATCTTCTCGCTCTCCATGTCCAGCGCCGATGTGGCCTCGTCCAGCAGCAAGATGCGCGGATTGCGGATGAGCGCCCTGGCAATGGCCACGCGCTGCTTCTGTCCGCCCGACAGCTGCGTGCCCTTGTCGCCCAGGCGCGTCTCGTAGCCCAGCGGCAGGGATGAGATGAAGTTGTGGATGTTGGCCTGCTTGGCCGCCTCGATAATATCATTCTGCGACACTTGGCGCGTGTTGTCGCCATATGCGATGTTCTCGGCGATGGTGCGATCGAAGAGCGACGGCTCCTGCGACACGATGCCCAGCTGAGCGCGCAGATTCTTCTGGCTCACGTCAGTCACGCGAGTCTCGTCAATGGCCACATATCCTGCTGTGGTGTCGTAGAATCTCTCCAGCAGCTGAATGCACGTGGACTTGCCGCACCCCGACGGCCCCACGAGAGCCACCGTCTGTCCCTGCAGCCCGCCGAGATTGAGGCCCTTCAGCACCTGACTGGACGGCCGCGATGGGTAGAAGAACTCCGTCTCGAAGAACGTGATGTTGCCATAAGCCTTCCACTCCTTCTTCGTCACCTCGTGATTGTCCCTGATCAGCGGCACCCTGTTCATCAGCGCGTCCACTTTGCCGGCCGCAATGATGCCCTTCTGGAAGTTGGGCGCATACGCAAAGGCGCCAGCGATGGACATCGTGCCCATGATGAGAGCCTGAGTGACCCTGAAAAGATCAGATGTGGGAGCATGAGAACACACGCTTCCTCAATTGCTGACTCAGGGCAGAAAAAAAGAGACTGATAAGAGAAGTATTCGGTGACGGAATCATTGCGCGATAAGAAACTTCTCAAATTGCTCTACCTTGACATCGGGAAGTCGAGAAAATGCCCGCGAATATTGAGACCCCAATAAAAGTGGATAATTACGCGATTTGCTGGTGACGGAATTTATGGATTAATTGCAATTCCCTAAATCATACTAAGCGAATTAAAAATCCGTTGATCCTCTTCGGAGATTCTTCAAGAAAAGTGTTTGAACAGGAATTTCTTATCCTGGAAGCTAATGAAGAATCAGTGTCTAGCAAAAGCCTCTGTAACGACACCCACGATTCCTCTCTAGGACCTGAAGAGGGTTAACAAACTTGAGAGATCTGTAATCCTAGCTTCACGCGAAAACCCCACGCCTTGCCATTGTGCGGACATGAGATTAGGCTCTCGTGGTCGAGTGCTGATGTCTGGTATTTCTTGCCGATAAAAATACTCACACAAAGACGCTGGTCAGATCCGTGATGCCCTGCACCATCAGCTGTCCTCCGTAGTACATGCACGCGGCGAAGGCGAAGAACATCACCGAGCGCGAGAGGCCGTAAACGGTGCCTCTGATGTGGGTGTTCCTCTTCGACTGCCTGGCCGCCGGCTCCAGCAGTTCCACGTACTTCTTGTGGAACATGCTCTCCCTGCCCAGCGACACGACTGTTCGGATGTTGGACACGACCTCCACGGCGAGCTTCGTGGACTTCTGCAGCGCCTTGGCGTTGCCCATGTTCTCCTGCTCCATGAACTTCATCTCCAGATAGCTGCCGATGACGAGGAGTGGCGCGAAGGCCAGCGCCACGAGTCCCAGGCGCCATTCGTAGAACATGGCGATGCCGATGGCGATCAGGAGGGTGCTGACGGAGGACAGCACAGTGCCTATCCTCTGGCCAGTCGCCCCCTGGACGGCGGTAGCGTCCGAGCTGAGCTTCGAGCAGAGTGCGCCCACGCCATTGGACTTGTTATCGAACCAGGCGATCTCCTGTCGCAGCATCGACCTGAACGACCAATCTCTCACCCTCTCCGTCAAGTATTCTCCGGCCACGCCGTACGTGTAGATCTGCAGGAACGTGGCCAGGCCCACGACGATGCCCACGATGACGAAGTACAGACTGAATCTGTTGGCGTCGGCGCGCACCTGGTCATTATCATCAGACGCCAGAGCGCCCACCACTTCGCCGAAGATCAGCGCGAACAGCGGCATGGCGGCGCCCATGATGACGCTAGAAATGGAGCCCACGAGGATGTACGGCCACTCTCTCCGATTCCACCGCATCACCTTCCACATGGAGATGCTGTGCGCCAAGTCGTCCAGATCGGAGTCATCGGTCTGCATGTCGATGATCTCCTCGTCGTCATCCACGCTGTCCATCGCGATGTTCTTCTTCACCAGCTTCCCGTCGCGCTCTGCGTCGCCCGTCTGAGCGGTCACCAGGGCGAAGTACTCCCCATTCTTGTCCATCAGCTCCCTATGCGTACCCGTCTCCACAATCTGTCCGTCCTTGAACACATAAATCCTGTCCGCGTGACGGATCGTCGAGAGCCTGTGAGCCACAATGATTGTCGTCCTGCCTTTGCTGGCATTCTCCAGCGCCGCCTGCACCTTCGCCTCGCTCTGCGTGTCCAGCGCCGAAGTGGCCTCGTCCAGGAGGAGAATGTCCGGATTCCTCACCAGTGCCCTGGCAATGGCGATCCTCTGCTTCTGCCCGCCAGACATCTGCGCCCCGCGCTCGCCCACAAGCGTGTGATAGCCTTCGGGCAGGGATTTGATAAAGTTGTGAGCATTCGCCGCCTTGGCAGCCGCCTCGATTTGCTCCTTCGTCGCGCTCTCCAATCCATACCGTATGTTCTCATAGATTGTTGTACCGAAGAGCACAGGCTCCTGACCGACCACACCAATCTGCGATCTCAGCCACGCCACATCGAGATCCTTGATGTCTCTGCCGTCCAGCCGAACGCTGCCCTCCAGCGGATCGTAGAAGCGCTGGATCAGCTGAATTGTCGTGGACTTTCCGCATCCAGAAGGTCCCACTAAGGCCACAGTCTCGCCTCGCTTGATGGAGATGTTGATCCCCTTCAGCACTTTGACAGTCTTGCGATTCGGGTAGTTAAAGTGGACGTCTTGGAAGCTGAGGTTTCCCTCCACCTTATTCGGGCGCTCACCGATGCTCGCCCAAGCATTGATCAGGGACTCCCTGTCGATAATACTGTACACCTTCGCTCCAGTGCCCATGGCCAGTGTGAAGGACTCAATGTAGGGCGACGACATGCCCAGATTCATCCCGGCCATCATCACGGAGAAGAACACAATGAACATCACGCCGGCATCGTACACCTGCTCATCTGGCGGCAGATGGTTGTACTGCAGAATCAGGCCTACGCCATACCAGAAGGCCAGCGCGTACGAGGCGTAGATGAAGAACCACAGCAGCCCGAATCCCAAGCCCATGAAGAAGTTCTTCTTGATATTGATGGATCGGGCATTGTGCAGGCGAGATTGGTAGCGCTCAGCCTCCAGCTCTTGTCCACCAAAGGCCACAACAGTTCTAATTGCACCGAAAACCTCCTCAGCAATGCCGCCGGCCTTCGCGTAAGACTCCACCTCCTTCTTCGACAGCCTGGACGTGAGAACGCCCACGATTCCCACTGAGATCATCGTCACGGGCAAGCTGGCTAGGCACACCAGCGCCAGTAGCCATCCGTACACAAAGGCCACGATGATTGAGGCAACGCACGCCACCATGAACATGGCGAACATCACCACTTTCTCGCCCAATCCCTCCTCCAGCTTCGTTAGATCCTCGTTGATTCTGCTGGCAAACTCGCCGCTCTTGTTGAGATCATACCAGCCAATCTCTTGGCTCAGTACAGACTTCACGAAGCGGCCGCGGATCGTGAAGATCTGATTGTGCGCGGCATAGTTGAAGGCCGTGGTGGAGACGTAGCTGCCCACCAGCATCACCACGCCGATGATGGTGTTGAAGATGGCGAAGAACTGGATCTCGTCGAGGAACCACTGCGTCATCTGCTCCATGGGATCTGTTTCCATGGCCTCGGGCTGCAGGGCGTCCGTGGCGTTGCCCGCCTTGCCCAGCATGGCATTGATCAGGCGTCCGAAGATGAGAGTATTGGCGGGAGTGCAGAGGCCACAAGCCGTGGCGGCCAGCAATCCGATGCATATCAGCAGGCGATCCTTGCCGGATGAGTAGCGATACTGCAAAGGAAATCAGGCGGATCAGGAAGCTCTCGAGCGGAGAACTGCGAGAGAGAGATTTACCAGGGAGAAGAAGTTCAGGGGCTTCACATCGTCTGGTTTCTCTTCCTCGACCTGCTGATCGATTGCCTTCTCGCCGGCGACAAAAGTCCTGCAGAAAGAAGAGGAAATTTAGTCAGCTTCTTTGGCTCCGCCCCTTCTGAAGTCCCGCCTTATTTAGGGAAAAATCTCCGGCGCATTCGTCACTTGGCATTGCTACAAGTCATCATTTGGAAATTCCACGCATTTTATCAGCTGTTAAAAATGAATAAGCCACGACTAAAGGTCAGCGGAGGAAAGCAAGATAGTCTTGTCTTTTGGGCATTTCGCCAGGCAATTCATTGATTCAAATTGCGAAATTCTGCTGCCATGTGCTTTTGGCGAGACACGGAAGAGTGTCTGTCCTCAAGTGGGTTTTATGCTCCGTGGCGCATGAATGCTTTTATCAGATCAATATGATGCTTGTTATCAATCATACCGCGCAAAAAGTCACACTCACGCCGATAACAGTAAGGTAAGTCATAAATGTAATCTCGAAAATGGTGTGACGATTGCGATGAGCGACAGAAAATTGGATATTCATGATGAAATTCCTTTTTTCACCACGCATTCCTTCCCGAATTAACCGTCTTATACGCATGTTTTATTGACACTCATATCGATTAATCAAGGTCCCACGCGTAAACAAACTCATTACCCTAATTTTTCCCTTTCTACTATTGAGAAGGAAGGAAAAAAAGGAGAAAAGTATGAATGATTTATTACGTTCCGTTGAGTGTCTTTCCGTCCTTCTCCTCATCCTTGCGATCACTTTCACTCTCCGGAATGTTATTCAGATTATAGTTCTTCTTCATCCTTTCGCGCCCTCAGGATTGATGGAGAATCAAGAGGGAAAAATACGAAGGGGAGAAAAAGGAATTGGAAAAACCAACTAAACTTCACACGCTATTTCACAAGAATTATCAATTTTCCTGAGCAATCGAGAGCGGCATGCGAAAAGCGTCTGTTTACTTTCACTGCTCTTGCGCGACTATTCGTCTTTTTTCCTCGAACCGCCAGCGATAAACATAGCGAATTCTCCCCATATCTGTGTCTATCGCTTGTTAATCTAACAATTTCGGGAAGGCCACGTCGATAATGCCTCACGCAGAACTGTAGTGTCTTGTGGACGCTTCCCACGGCGCCCCACAGCTCGGCGTCTCTACGCATACTCACGAATTCAGGCTATTTTTAGCCCCACACTAAACGCACTAAACACACTACAGCGAAAGTGAAAGGACTCTCTAGTTGTATTTCAGTGGGAAAACTCTTTCTCCACTTCGATTTCACCAGAACCACAGCCAAGAACTGCGCTCAGGAAGCGCGAAAGAGCGAGTGAAAGGAGGTCGTTGTGCTATTCAAACAATTTCTTATCGGCTCTTTTGGCGCGAAGTTGGCAGCAACGTTCCCGCCTTTTTGCCATTTTGCACACTTTCTGGCGCTCACAGTGCGCGCTGGAGTTTTTCTTCAAAAGGAAGATCGCGTGAATGCGCTCTTTCATTGCTTTCAATGAAAAGCGTCCAAATGTGACCAATCAACCATGAATTAGAATCAGAATGATCAAACTACTAATTAATGTCACATGCCGGCGCCACAGTTCAATTTTACTTCACTGAGTATTTTACTATGCAAAGGATGGGCTCTTATTTGCATAGGGGAGAGCAGGGTACTCTAATAGAAGTGAAAAAAAACGCTATTTCTCTGGCATATCACAATTGTAAGAGCAAATAAAACATAAACTTGAGAGAAAAAAAATCAATATTTTCGTGGATAAAACAAAAATAAATGCAAATAACGCTTAATCACATCTTGTATTGTAAATCTCGTCTTAATCAGAACTTAAAATCAGAGCCTAAAAACAGTAAATAATTTTAAAATTGTCCCCATAAGAGGTGTTCTTCCCCTACAAATTCGACCTTGACTTCGAGAACATTTTTTGCTTATTCCAATTCTTTCATTGAATTTTCACATGCCTCCACAAATTCTCAGAAGATTCCATATTTTATCCACCAAAAAAAATACTATGAGTGAATAAATCACGCAAAAGGTCAATATAACAATCTTCCATAAAATATTCATGCTTTTCCGGAAGTCCTTGAAAAGTGGTTCAGTTCTTTGAGAGTGTAATTGTTGATTTTTCAGAGTGTAGCTTTTATTTACATAGCCAAAAAATAACAAAATTTCACCCAGAAATATCTAATGAGGAGGCAAATAAAAACCTCTTTGAGGATTTTTATTGAATATTCCTCCCAATTTTACCACTGAATCGAAGAAATGCGTGGAAACATGCAGAGAAAATATTCTTTGTGTGTATCGAAATAGAACATTCCGTCTCCATGGGGTTTTTCAGCATTTTCACTCACCGGGAGTTCCTCTGGCTTCTCCTCAAGACACTGTACTTGTTCTTGTTACCCATCTTTGGGGTTTTTCACGCTATTTTCAAGCACAAAGTCGGAAAATGCCGGCCTCGCTGCACTCTGATTTGAATTTCACAATCGCACTACATTTTTAGTGCAGAGAATTTAGTACCGTGACACAACATAACCTCACACTTGACGTCTTGTCAGAAAGTTTGTGGCCTTTTGTGGCGTTCTGTGAAGCATGAATAAATACTCATTTTAATTATATTAATAAGGAATATTTTGCTAAAGAAATGGCAAAATGGATCCAAGTACAGTTTTTACGGTGTTTGGAATTTTTGTCATCTCTCTTTTAGTCTTCTTTGTGTGCAAACATTGTTGCTGCTCTTCAGAGGATTCTGAAGTGCCCATTCATCATTGTGCGTCTTGTATTTTTTATGTCCCTAGAATCTCCCATGCTTATGACATCACTTTGTTCTGCAGCCAATCTCGTTGTCACATCTTCCCAACACATCCCTCTCAGTGAGCCTGGCGCTGGGAATCCGCGACAGCCTGCTATGAGTCAAGGTCATCATATTGGTTTCACTGCTGATGTGCGTGGAGCAGCAAATATTTCCCGAGACGTTCAGAATCCCAGATCTATTCCGGCAGGCAATCCAACTGCACCTCCTGAATCTCCATCTTCACCAAGTGACATGAGTCCACCCTCTTATGATGCAGTTATGCAGAATGAAGCTCTTTACAAGTGTCCGGAAAAGCCGCCTAACCTGCCAAAGAGCAGTTGAATGCGGATCATTTCCAAGAATATTGGTGCCATTGGTGCTCTTATATGATTAAGGAGAAAGTTTACCTCATTTTAAATCCTAGTATCTCGATTTTAAGAAGTCTATTCTCGACAGTATTCAAATTCGACCAGGAAGTTTGGTGTGTTGTCAAGAAACACCCACATTTCTTCATTACCATCGAGATTATCCCAGTTTATTGACGATGTTCAGTTCACAAATTTTTTGCGACTTGCGTGGAGAATGAATTCTCAAGTAATATATTTTTTTATGCATTCTTGTTCATGATGAAAATATGAATGAATCGCATTAAGTTCTTAGATAAACTCTCATACGTCGATCATGTATTCAAATACAGGTGAACAAGGACAAATGTACAATTATAGCTTGCTTTTACTATTTATACAATAGTTGAATAAATTTTGGATGTTTATATTAAAAGAAAACTTTACTTACTGAAGCCAAAGGCGCTGAACAGGAAGAAGAATGCTTCGAATTGATTAAAATCTCCAAAATAGGATATAAAAGTAAAAGAACACGAAAATGTTTTTTCAATTCCATGTGAATTCATTCAACAACAATTCTGGAAGCAAAAATGCTGCAATTCGTCCAATTTACTAGGTCATTGACGTCATTGATGGAAAATGCGCGTTTCTGGCGCTTTTTTGAGTCTAACATTGATTTATTCCAGAGCAAACGAGTCGAAAATGGGGAAGAAAGTCAAGCCGATGCCTTGAGTTCATTCGTCATCGGTATTCGTGGAGCCGCGCAGTGTCTTCTCGAAGATCTTCTTCGAGTCACAGAATCCCTGCTTGGTTTTCCCAAAGGAGTTTGGTCCTGAGCTCGTGGGCGTGTCGCGTCCGATGTTGCGCATCTTCATGCGGCACTCGGGCGGCATCTCCTCCACCTCGTCGTCGCTGTCGGCGTTGAAGGCGCTCGCCACGGTCAGCTTGCCGCTCTCCGACCGCCCAGTCGGGTTCAGCTTCATCTGGATGGCCTTTGGCGCAGCGCCGGGCTTCCCGAAGGACATGGACACCTTCGATATCCGCGGCGGTGGCGGTGGAAGCACGGATTTCGACTCGTTCTCAGGTTCCGGACTGCGTTCTGACGGAGAAAAGACCACGATTAGAGTGAGTGCTCAGAGGGAAGAATTCCGGCGATACTCACCGCGTTTCCTGCGTCTTTCGCGCTCATCCTGGCGCCTCAGCTCGCTCCGGTAGCCGCTAGTGTGTCTGTGGTCCTCCTCCTCGTCCGACGAGTACCTGCGGCGCTCCGGCGACCGCGAGCGGCTCCTCCGCCTGCCGCCGCTCCCGCCTGAGCCTGGATAATGTGAACAACTGGCAAAATTGAGGGTCCATTTGAAAAAGTGTCTTAAACTCTACACGTAATTTTCCTCTGAGAATTTTCATCTTGAGATTAAAATCAAAGGCAAAAGAAGAAAGAGAAAAAAATGCCAGAAAAACCTCCAAAAAAATGTACAGAAACCTGTCGAATGTTGGCATGAAATTGAAAACATGTTGAATAAACTCTCTGCAAATCGTCTTTTTCCTCACCTCGTCGATCGTATCTATCAGAATATCGTCCACTCATGTGAGATAAATGCTTTTCAATGCGGTTTTTGCGGGAAAACAGGAGACTTTTCACTTTTCTCTGCAACGAGAACACCTTTTCATGCACAAATTGACATTTTGACTGACGCGGCGAAAAAACATAGAATGCATGGAAATGTAGAAAAACCCGACTGTAATTTCGCCGAAAAATGAAATTGTCTGAGCGAAGTGAACATGTTGAAGAAAATTGGATTGTTTATTGTTCTATAGAATTTATATTTGCGTAAGAAAATTCGTTTTCATGGTTTCCATGTATTTTCTGGGCACACCACGCGTTTATTCGTGTTCTACTTAGCTGAGACACGCAGTTCCAGTCGGGTAGGAATTCAGTTATGCGTTTGCCCTTGAATTTTGCCACCAGAGTGCACTGCGATGGACAAAGGCGTCGCGTTCGCACTTCCCCTCCATTGTTTTGACGTGCGAAGAAGTGGCTTGGTTCTGAGAAATCATTTCTTAACACTAATTCTGTGAAAAATATGGAAAACCACCGAAATAATCGTGACGCAGTGAACTCAAATGCCCACGTGGGAGAGCCAGGAGACGAGGGAGACGCCTGGGGTGTGAATGAGTGAGTATTTTGGGCTGCAAAGTCAAGGTTCTCGAGGCTCGCAATGGCGCTTTGTTTGCTGAGCTTTCGAGACAGGACCAAAAGGCGTCCTTCTGAAGCACCTCTTCATTGTCTCTTGCAGCAGGAACAACACAAAGAATGTGTCCGCATGGATGCCTGTGGATAGGTATGCTTCTGAGTACAACATGAAGCACAAGAAGCGCGGAATTGCTGTGATCTTCAACCACGAGACCTTCACGAATCACACGCTAAAGGCAAGGGCAGGCACAAATGTGGACGCAGAGAACCTCAGCAATTGCCTGAAGAAGCTCCACTTTAGCGTGGAAATGTGCAAGGACTTCATGTTCAAGGAGATCCATGAGAAAATCGAGAAGCTGGCCAAGATGGATCACAGTGACTCGGATTGCATCCTCGTGGCGATTCTGTCGCATGGCGAGTTCGGCAGCATTTACGCCCGCGACATTCCGTACAACCTCGACTCCATCTGGTCGTTCTTCACCGCCGACCGCTGCCCCAAGCTGGCCGGGAAGCCCAAGCTGTTCTTCATTCAGGCTTGCCAGGGAGATCGACTGGACGGCGGCGTGACTCTGATGCAGCGCACAGAAACGGACTCTGGGAGTGTGTCCAGCATGAGTTATCGCATCCCAACGCATGCGGACTTCCTCATTGCCTACTCCACCATTCCCGGCTTCTACTCGTGGCGCAACACCACGAAGGGCTCCTGGTTCATCCAGTCGCTGTGCACCGAACTGAGCGCCAACGGCACCAAGTACGATCTGCTCACGCTCCTCACGTTCGTCTGCCAGCGCGTGGCGCTGGACTTCGAGTCCAACACGCCAGACTGCGAGACGATGCACCAGCAGAAGCAGATCCCTTGCGTTACCACAATGCTGACGCGTCTCCTGCGCTTCCACGACAAGTGAATCTCTTGATGAGCCTCTTGATGACAAGGAGCCCCGGAGGCTCTGCAGCTAAATCAATTTTATCTGAAATCTCAAATAAAGTATAGTTTTATACGATGATAATAGCCAAGTCTTTGAAGGTCAGAGTCTGACTGAAGTGTGTCTCGGATAAATTAAAGCTCAGACGGTGAAAAGTCTGACGAAAAGTGGACTTTTTGGAGTGAATTCGACATTTTAATTAATGCACTTTTTCAAAAGAAATTAGTAAACACGACATGAAAAAGTATTTTCTTACCTACCAGCTTAGATAAGGAATTTTCACATTTTATCCATCTAGCGGGGAAATGAAAGAATGTGTCAATTTAAAATATTTACACATGATTTTCTTCAGTTTTATTAATACATTATTATTTCAAGAAAAGGGGAACAATTACAACAATGATGTAAGTAATATATATACTTTTTACTGCAATAATACATTTTCTCTTTTCAAAAGATATCTTCACTCTTCTTGACTCGCACAATCCTTCCAAAAAGTTCCTATTTAATGCTTAATCACCACTTCTTTCAAAGTAACATTCTCACATTCTTTACAAAAAAAATGCCTGACTATTCCTTGCTTTCTTTGTCCCTTTATTAAGTATTTTCACTTAGTTTTTTTTCTTTCTGATTAAATTAAAATATTCCCTCCGGCATATCCCAATTTCTAAATTCTATTCACTTTTATTAAATGTAATTCTCTTTTTTTAATTCCATATTAATTATGCACGTAAAATTAATCTGTTGTCCTTTAAAATTACCCTTTAATCACTAATTTACACATTTTTTTTTGCCTTTTCTTGGTTTTTTTTTCTTTATTTCTTCTTTCATGAAAATTGAGGTCTGCATTTTATTGGCTGATGGCATCAAATATATGTTTGTTGATTTGTTGACTGCAAATAAAAATGTGTGGAAAAACCGCACACAATGGACGCCGAAGGAAAATCAATTGTACTTATTTCTCTTGTCTATTGTTTCACTTATACGCTATTATTTAGAAAATAACATTTGAGATTTAAAAACAGAGAATAAACAAGAAAGAGTAGGAAAATACGTGATTATTATGGCTATTGTTGCAGTTGAAAAATTGTGGCACATTCTTGGTGTATTTTCTTTTCCTCCTCTAATGTTAAGAATATTTAACGTCTTATTCAACAGAAAAATTGTTTTATTTACAATATCATATCACTATTGTTTTATCGTATCTGCTTTCCACTTGCTATTTCTTAGGCATTCTTGAGAGTTGTACAAAAAATTAAGTCTATTGTTCACTGTAAGAATTATACTTTCTGTTTTTTCTCTTTCCATTCTGTCAGTTGTTAATGTTCGATTAACACAATTTCTTGTATTCTTTTAAGGCTGTCCATTGTGTGATGCTTTAGCCAATTTGTCTATTATTCTTAAACTATCCTCTTTTTTCATCTGTTTTTCTTCATTACTTTGTCAATAAAAAATGTACACATTTAAAAAATAACAGTTTCACATTATTTGGTTGAAAAAGGATTTAATAAAGATCCATTTCTATTGATATTTCTTATTTAAAAATCTGTTTTAAAGGTTTTCAACAAGTCATATTTCATTCATTTATATAAAAATTTGTCTTTGAAAAGAACACTTAAGAATTCTACTCGTCTATTGCGATGTTGGAGTTCATTTTATTTCCAATGATTCCATCTGTGATTCACACTTTTAATATCTGTTTGTATTCCATTTATTATATTTTTATTGCATGAGAAACTTAATCCAGTGGCAGTCTGTAGATTTTATTGATCCTTTTCTGACTATTTCAATAAATGCACTTAATGATGTTTATAGGTTTTAATGGAGTCTGTAAAAAATGACAAGTTTATTGTTTCATCCTTCGTTTGCTCTGTAGTTTAAACTAAAATATAGATTTTACTGTCTTTAAGATTTCCTTTTGCAGATTTAATGGACGTATTGGTTTACTTCTCAAAAGTTACATTTCACCTCAAATTGAATCCACAAGTTATGTTCTTTTCATTTCATATAAACTACAATTACCCGAATTTACACTAATTTACAACATATTCCTTCATTATCCTTAACACTATATCGAAATTACTATATGCAAAATGTGAGATTTTGGTATACATCTGGTTACTTTTATTATTTCATCATTCTCATCGACATTCTCTGCAATTTTTCAAATGTTTCTCATTACTTTCTTCTTATTTGTTTGTTATGAAGTAGATTCTTGATAGATCAATATTGATTTTCTTTCTGACAAATTTGTCTGTATTCTTTTGTACTTTCGAGTAAAGGAAAAACCAAAAAAGAATGGGAAGTTTTTTTTTTGTTGGACAATTAATATTTGATATTGTTTTTTTTTCATTATATTCATGTGATGACAAATGAGAAATTCTACAATTACTCTTCAATTGGTATATCTTTCTCCTTGTTTTCTTTTATTTTTCTTAGTGTGATATTCTAAAACTTATTTTTTTTATTAAATAGTATACACAATTATTGCTTCAAATCTGTCAAGATAATTTACAATAAAAAAGGAAAGACATTTTCTTCTCTATACCTTCTAGAAAAAAAATTGTGAGCATGACTCAAGACGTATTTTTTCAAAATTATTTACATGCTTTTTCAGGGTTGTTCATTAAGTAAATTCAAGATTTTTTTTTATATGGCACAAAAATCAACCAAAGATTTTTTTTTTCAAAGAAAAAATATTACACAAGTTAGTTCTAGACTCGAAAGAAGTCCAAAGCCACGCTTCGTCTTCTCTTCTGTCCCTCCATGTAAAGAGTGTACAATAGCTAAGAAGAAAGATCTTACTTAGTAAATAATAAAAATACACGATAAGTGCGAGCTCGGCCCCAATTAATTCTTATCACAGATTTTAGTCATTTCGTGGCCCTTTTTCACTTTTTCCTTCTATCCTTGTAATGTAAAATAACGTTTGCAATTTTTTCGCTTGTCCTGTTTCTTTTTGAAGTATACATTTTTTTTCTCTTTCTAAATTCTGCTTTAGACTATTCAAAGTAAATAATTTTCTTTTGCAAATTTTAAAGTATTTTCTGATAGCAAAAAAAATCATCTCATTTCAACAGTTAAGTTTTTCTGTCTGTCTTAGAAAAAAAAGCACGCAATTCTCAATTGAGGGACGACAAAATGCTAAACATAATGCAATGGATTGTCTCAATCTTTTTTCTCAAATTGTTTTTTTTTTTAATGTTAGTTTTGTCAACAAAAATGGAAAACAAAGAGTTGAAATGCACAATTTTGGTATCACGCATCAAGTCTTTTCCATTGTCAAATTCATTTTCTAAATAATATGCACTCATGCTTTGTTTTCAGACTTAAAGTATTCTTCGTCTCAGTTTACTTGTATTAATACCAAAATAATGGCACAAATTTCTAACTAATGTGTGCCTCTGTCTTCAATTTATTCATCACTCTGCGAAAGGAATCATACATGAAATGAATTTTGGCAAGAGAATTATAGGAAATTAAAAAATAGCTCATGGAACTGAAAAAGTGAATTATTTATTCTTTAGCTCGCTAGTAAAAGTCGCATTTTATACATTCATGTCCAATTTTGATGGTAAATTTTGATGTTGTTTGTCTTTCATTAAACATATTGACGATTAAGATAGTGAATGTCTCATTAGAAGATTAATATTGAGATGTTAAAGGTACCAGTTCTATTTTTTTTATTATCTGTTGTAAAAAATAAGTATTTCGGTTATTTTCACACTGGGGTTCTGCAATTGTGTTCTGTTTAAAAAACCTTTTTCATCAATTAATAACTGTCATATAAAAATAGCACCATTCTGTGTTATATTATGTAATATTTTCAACTATTTCACTTGTAAAATGTTTTAAATTGTAATGGAAGCTGTAGTTTTTTAAAAAGTGGGTATGAAATGGGTGGTTTCAACGGTCATATTCCATTCTTTACTCTGTTATATCATCATTTCATTAAAACTATTTCGTTTATTTTATGCTCAAGAAGAACTATTTCAGTTTTGTATTCCAGTTCTCAATCGTCAATTTTTTTCATAGACCAATTTATGTGTTTTTTTTCTGTTCCATAGCAATTGATTGCGGTAATTGCATGCATTTGTTGGCTGGGTTCTTGAATTTCGCGCACAACTCGAGGCACATTTATCAAATATCTTCTATCATATATCAATTCTACTGAATATTGACTTTATATTCATTGGGGCAACTTTCTCTGAAACACCTTCACATTGTTTCCCACTTCCGAACACATTTACTTTAGTCAAACCGTATGAAAAAGGAAAAATTCTTAGATGCCACGCCCTCTCAAGAGCTCCGCCCATTTCTATCTCCTTCTCGCTCTCGATTGGTCGTTTGACTAAAGCAATAAAGTTCAATTGAAATTCAATGTTTAGGTTAAGGTTAAGGGAATCAAACTATTGTATATTACATACAAAGAGATCACTAAATCACTAAAAATAATGGAAGTTACTTTTAGAGTCTTAAAAGTATTTCTAACATTTTAATTTTATATATTTGTATTTCATCTACAAATGATAAAAGGGGATGAAATACACATTTCCTATTGCAACTTAAGAGAATGATGTATTTTTTCTTCTTCTTCATCAAAACACTGGATTTCCACCAATTCATCTTTCTGAGTATTTCGTTGGTATTTCATTTAGTGATATTGCAAAAGGAAGGTGTCAGTGAATAAAAAATAAAACTAGGGATTCAATCCCACTAAGAAAGATGCTTGCTAAGCCCATGTTAAGTCACTGCTAGAACATTGCAAGTTCTATGAAAAAAATGTTTCATTTGTCTTTCTCTCTCTCATGATAAGATTTGTCCATTTGCACATCAAATGGACATCATTTTGCTCACAATTAAAGAAAAACTCACCGCCTCTCGTGGGGGCGGCGAAGAAATTCATGGAAGAAGTAAAAATATCGGATTATTCACATACTCAGTGCAGGAGGTGAGCTCCGACTAGCGGAAGCTGAACGCCGGCGGCACGTGTCACTGGGCCACGGCGGTCGCGGCGCCGTTCGCCGCCGGAACGGGTGTCGCTGCACCGTTCGGCGTGGCGGCGGGTGTGGCCGCATTGGCGGCCGCTGCACTCACAACTGCGGCCACGGACGTGGCCACGGAGCCGGCGTGCGCCTGCTGGCCGCCGAAGGCCTGGTTGAAGGGCGGCGCGTAGCACTGCGGGAAGTACAGCTCGTGCTTCACCACTGGCGTCATGCGTGGGATGAGGTTGGCCTGCTTGTCCATGGTGAGGAAGGGTGTGGCCTTAGTCTCGGCCGCCGCGGCTGCGGCCGCGGCCGCCATGGCGCTCAGGCCGCGCCGCGACTTCGACGAGTGCGGATTCATGTGGTTGTCGATGTGCTTCTTCACTTCGGGCTCCGTGGCGAAGCGACGACGGCAATTTGGCATCGGGCAGCAGAATGGACGATCGCCCTGGAAGAAGGAATCACCATTAAGAGAGGGATTTTCTAACCAGGGATACAATTTGATTAGCATTTAAGAGCAAAGCCAAATTGCAAATCATTTAATTAAGATGATTCCCAAATCACATTTCACATTTCGCGCCATTTCAAGACTCGCTAAAGAGAGTCTCTGAAAATAAAGAATAATTTCTGAATGCTGATTCCCAAGGAGTGGCATTCAAGTGAAGCGTCAACTGGAGATCGAATTAACAAAACACTTTTTGCAATGTCACTCATCAAATTTATCAGCACTGCATCTCCATCACAAAGAACAAGCAAACGTGGCGATGAAGGAGAGGTCGAGACCCTCGCTCGTATCTTTTGTGCGTTTCTCGAGAAGATTGATTTTAGGACGCTTATTTTGCTGCATTTTGAGGCAGTTTTCAGGTGAATGATCGCTCGTGAGTGATCTTCACGTGGGAGGAAATTGTGAATGAGTGACTGACACATGATTAATTCTCCCAAGATCGCGATTCTTCATTTCTACCATCATTCAAACTTTACAACTACCTGGTGGGTCCTCGTGTGCTGGTCCAGGATGGCTTTCTGCCGGAAGTCCTTGCCGCACTGCGTGCACTTGTAGGGCTTCTCGCCGGTGTGGATGCGAATGTGCTGCAAGGACATCGAGAGTCAAAGGGAAGTGTCGAGAAAGAAGAGGATCTCAAGACGCTTACCTGATTGAGAATGGTCCTCTGGCGGAAGAATCGCGGGCAGTAGATGCAGCCGTAGGGCTTCTCATTGGTGTGTATCCGCAGGTGCTGCGTCAGGTGGCTCTGCTGCCGGAAGCGCTTCCCGCACTCGGGACATGGGTACGGCCGGGACTCGATGTGGATGCAGCCGTGCTGCAGAAGAGTGCTCTTCTGCTTGAACTCCTTCTGGCAGATTGGGCAGCGCACGTACAGCGGCATTCCCGCCGACCGTCCGTGTTGGATCACATCGGGCAGCATGCCCTTCTGGCCCTGCTTCAGGTACTGCAGGGAGCTGATGTTGGCGCCAAACACCGAGTGATTGACACCTTTGGTGTCCTTGAAGTACGACGGATACTGGAGCGTGCCATTGGCAGCGTCCGGTGAGAAGCACGCCCTGGACTCTCCGCCCTGCGAGGCGTCATCGCCGAAGGCGCTCGCCTGCTCCTCCTTGGTGTGCCCCTCCTCCGGGCCCGGGTACGGCATGTCCTGCGGCCACAGCGTGGGCATGGGACCGTTCTTGAAGACCAAGTGCGGCGACACGTCTGTTAAAATAGAAGAAGAGACAAGGGTTAATCCAACATCTGCAGCCCTCGTCCAAAGCGAGCTCCTTCAGTGGCGAACAGCTATCATTTCATATTTATCATTTTATCATTTGCGAGAGGATGGCTTTTTGGAAGGAGCGTTTCGGGAAAGAAGCCAAAATAATACCCAGAGTGAGAGCATTGCGTTAAGCGATGATTGTGAAACAATAAATATGAAATGATCACGATCTGCGATCTCCTGATCTGAAGAACCTTGCGGATGTTGCTCATCGCATTCACAAGCGATTCCTGCTCGAAGCGATTGCCATTAAAGCCGCGAATGAGGAGTACAAGCTGATGGCAACATCCTCAGGTGATTCTCGGAGATCGCAGACACAACAGAACATTAAAGCGGTCAATAAGTGTCGCTCGCCTTGGTGGGTGCGCACATGTTGGTTGAGGATGGCCTTCTGGCGGAAGTGCTTGCCGCACTCTGGGCACGCGTAGGGCTTCTCACCCGAATGGATGCGAAGGTGCTGGTTGAGGATGGCGCGCTGTCGGAAGCTGCGCGGGCAATACGCACACGAGTAGGGCTTCTCGTTGGCGTGGATGCGCAGGTGCTGCGTCAAGTGGCTCTGCTGGCGGAAGCGCTTCCCGCACTCCGGACATCCGTACGGCCTCGAGTCCGTGTGGATGCGCTCGTGCTGCAGAAGCGTGCTCTTCTGCTTAAAGTCCTTGCCGCAGGTGAGACACTTGAACAGGCGGAGATCGTTGCCCTTGGACTTGCTCGTGCCTTGGGTGGTCTGGTGCATCTGATGGGCGCCGGGCAGGAGATCTGGCATTGCGTACGACTCCAGGGCATTTGTCGCTTGGTCCATTCCACCGGCGCCTCCCATGCCAGGCAACAGGCCGGGCTTGTTGAGGTAGTGCAGCGGCGGGAAGCCAGGCGGGGCCAGCATGGCGCCCTGAGGCGTTACCGGGTGTCGCGGCGCATAGTAACCTCCGAGTTCAGGCTGCGGTGGCTCGAAGCAGGGCGGCCCATTTTGCGAGCCCGTCGACTGTGTCTGCTGACTCTGGCCGTCATTCCCCAAATCGATCTGCTCCGGCGACGGTTGCTGAGCCTGATTCTGACCACCGCTCGCTTGCACAGAAGCTTGGGACGATTGCTGGTGTTGCATGTTCGGCACCTGCAGAGAGGCAACGTTCTTCAGGTTCAGAAACGCCGGATTTGGCTTCAAGCATCTCACCTGCGAGATCGTCACGTCGTCATCCATCTCCTGGGTCGCTTGCTGCTGCGGATAAGGACTGCTGGCGGGACTTGAGAGCGCTCCGTGGGTCTGATCTGCTCCTGCGTCCTCACCAGATGGACTCTGCGGTCCTGCGCTCTGCTGAGCCGCCGCTGCATTTGCCAGCTGAGCCCCATTTTGCGTGTGCTGGGACGCAATGTGAGCCTGCTGAGGACTCTGTTGCTGCATCGAGGCGTACATGTCAGGCGCCCACTGGCCGGCCAGAGCTCCCCGCTCGGCCGCCTCCTGAGAGTCTTTGTACAGGACATAAGGGGCTCCAGTGTCCTGGGATATGCAGTACATTATCTGACGGGGCACTTTGAGGCCCGCCGCCAGGCAGGCGGCGAAGGATGCTGAGAAATTGATGGCCATGCTTGCTTAATTGATTGTTACTCTTGGATCTCGGCTAGAGTCTCCGTCTTCTGGATCGGCAAAGACGGCTGGAAACGATGAGCGCTGCCCGGTGTTCACATTTTCCTCACGTGTAAGTCAGTCTTGGGATGCAATTGGGAAGTGTCCTGAAAAGATGGAGAGAATAATTGGTAAGATTCTCGCAGAGTGCATAATATTTTTTCTGCAGGAATGTCCAGAGATTATCCCCTCATTTGCAATGCAAGTGGTTTGCATGCATCTTCGCTGCTGCCAAATGCAGAGGTAAAGTTCCCATGGTTAATTCTAGGCTTTTCAAGGAATACACTCAGATGGTGTCTACATCAATTATGAGCAATTACACAGTACACACGCCACTCAATTACTCCATCTCGAGCGTCCAGCTCATGTTCACGCCATTGCGTCCTCTCTTTGTCGTCTCGCGTTTCCCGAGGAGAATGGAAATTGAGACAATTGAGAGACAAACGTCCGATGCAGAGAGACGAACAAGTCACTGGAGCGCAACACAGTAATCACATTCTTGGCAATTAGCAGCTCACTTTTGAGGCAATTTGCTGGCAGGAGGGCCAGGCCATCCCGGGAAACACTTTGTTGCTGAAATTATGCTTCTTGCACGCCAGACAAAATCCACTTTGTTGCACTGGCACTAAAACAATAATTACTCTATTTGGAGAGTTACTTTTTGTCTTCTTGAACCAAATAATTGTAATTGAATTAATGTACTGTCTCGTGCACTTTTTCTCCCCACAATTCTTCAGCTCCTCTCATGCTCAACTTGGCCGAGTCTTCTTTGTCTTGGGGGCCGCTTTTTGCCGTGTGTCTTCAGAAGTGCAATTTCACCCTTGGCGCTAAATTGAGTGGGTGTTCCGCACTTAATTGTCTTGCATGCCTCAAGATTCGATCCCATGAACTTCTTGTCTTGACAGATTGATCACCGTTCCCGATGACACGCCTGGTTTCTAAGCAATTTGCTTAACATTAAAAAGTGGAAAATAAATAGGAGGACGAAACGGAAAGTGGCTATTTGGGACAGAGAGAACAGTTGACGGAATCTCGGGCCTTTTGGGCGAATTTGCTGAAGCAACAGTTGCGAGGAAGAAACTTGTGATGAAATTAATGAACACCTCGCTTCACACTCCAGCTTTGGGGGTGACGCAAAACCACCCCCGCGGGTTGTGTGCCAGAGACACCTTCGTTGCACTCTCAAGAGAGAGGGGCAAAGTTGCAGAGGACTTGTGAAATTATTCTCTACCCTTTTTGTGCACACATTAAACTCCATAACAGAAAGTTTAAAGAGCAGAACTTGTGTGCTTTATGCATTTCTGTGTGCTTTTAGTTTGGGCGAATGAAGCGGAAGTGGGAAATTGTGTGAACAGAAAATGCCACCTTTGTCATTATAACGATTTTATCCTCAATAAATTGACAACAGGAAGGCAAAATTTTCTCACTTTGTGACAGTACTTTAGGCAGGAAAAGCTTATTAGGCCACAAATGGTGCTCTCAGATAAACTCAATTTCCATGGGTTTGGAAAACAAGCTTTTCAAAGGGTGAAATTGAATTTAGAAGAAGTGTCTGATGTGCATAAAATTGTGACAAATTGGCTCACTGCGTTTGTTGAGATTTTCCCAATCAATTTGGTAAAATTGCCTGCACAACAGGACAAACTTATCCACTTTCCCCATTTCAATGGGTTAACGAGGTGTAAAACCAGAGTTTCCGATTTTTAACGCATGCTTAGCTCTCTTATCTCTCACTGACCCTGATATGAAGCATTCCCCTCGATTCTCTGTGGAAACTTGTGAGATTTCCGCAAGAAATTCATGCTTACTTTGCTCCTTTTCGCTTTGTTTGCAATATTTATATCAACCACTTCAGCTTCTCAAACTCTAATACCATTTTCATCTGAAGCCGATGGAGCAATGTGGATTCATCGAGTCACAACTTTTTCGTGTTTACACACTCACATTTAATGTGTTGCTGTGTATATAGAAGTGGGGTATGAAGATATACAAAAGTATCGTAGGTCAAGAAAATTATTGATCGACTCTCTTTCTCTCTGTCTCTTTTCACATTTCTTCGTCTTTTTCTCATGTTCGTGCCTTGAATTTTTGTATTTATTATTACACTCCTTTTACACCAAAATTCACACATGCTCAATTGCGCACTCGCACCCCTTCGTCCCCCTTCTCAACTGTTATCACCCAGATTTCGACCCTTGCAGCCGGCGCCCGTCCAAGGCGCTCTTCGCGATAACAGCCTCAATTCCCGGAGAGATTCTGCCCGAAAGTCTCCAGGCGCGAGTGTGCGAGTTTTGCATGGAAAGGCACGAGACTGTGTGTGTGTTTTGCAAACTTTTAGCACTTAACAGAGTCCGCCACCATATAAATTGACTACCTTGAACTTATAGCCGCGACATTCTCTGGCGCGGCCACGAGACATGGTCAGAGTCGAAATTGGGTGTGCGAGAGAATCATATTCCTTTCTGTCTATCTTTGTTGGGTCTGCGCTCGTGGGGTTGGCGAGAAGAAAGAATTTTATTTCCTCCATCAATCTTCGGTATCCTTCAACTCGTTCATTTTCCCCATGGTGAAGCTCATCGCGCGCAACAAAGAGGAGCCGCGATAAGAACGTGCAAATAATGTCCGATTCATTGCATTTCACAAATAAAATATCGCCAGAGCGAGCGAGAGAGGGCAATAAAGTGCAGAAGAAATGCTGAAGGAGAGTGTGAAAAAAGTTTATGAGTTGTAAATTATGTCTGATTTTCGTGAGACCTACAAATCTTAGGGTTTTTCAGCAATACATTCTCCCATGAGACAGTTTGAAATTTGCGCAAACTTTTATCTCATCGGTTATTTATTTAAACTATATTGCTGTGAATTGGCAAGCGGAGAGCGGGGCTAATGTGGACAGGGTGCTTTTATGAGCTTTTGTGGAAGCCATTGAAGTCTCTTGCCATTTATTGACACTTGTTGCAATGCTCCTGCGGGTGTTAGAAGGATTCCTCTTAATTTCCGTCGAATTGATGTAGAGAAAATACTGAGCGTCAGAATGCAGAGTTTCACGAGGATGTTGGTTGGCTTTTATAATTAGCACGACCGCAGAAAGAGTGCAAAATAGTCGGTGAATGACACTTGAAAAGCCACCATCGTCAGTGCGAAAGAGAAAATCTGCAAAGTGCATCAAAGAGGCGAAATATGCAAATTTTGAAAAGGAGTGATATTCTCGACTTTCGTGGCACTGCGAGTCATTGTGTTTGGGAGGCAACACAAAGGGTGGGCATTGAAGATGGTGAAGTGCAATGCTGAAAGTCACACAAGCCATTTGTGTACATAGATTTTATTATGTAGAAAAGTCTATAAATATCAGGGCCTCTCGTCGTGTGGTTCACACACACACACGCAATAATTGGCAAACTATGAACGCAGAGTGCAATATGTGAACTCTTAACTGCGTGTGCATGACTAATAACGCATAATAAATGTTGGAGACGAGTCATAAAATGAAGTGTATTTTCTGCTGTATAAATAAAACATTTCGCGGGGAGAAATCGCGCTAGTCCAACACAATTCGCTCTGCCTCACGCCTCCTGATGGAGTCAGACTTTTACTGCCCTGCACATCAGCATCGGCGTCCCTGTTTTTCCCAGACTCTTCCCACAATTATCCACATGGTGGATCACGCTGGAGATCGTGTCGGAAAGCGCGAGCGCGCGCGCGGGAAACTAAAGCGACGGCGACACAATAAAGTGCAAAAACGATCATCACAGTCATTTAGGAGTTATTGTGTACTGATCGTACACAAACACGACCAACTATTTCAGTGTACATAAAACTCCATCGGTCATAGACATTTCCTCTCGCACTGACCTTGTGTCGATCGCGCAAAATTACACACCGACACTCCGTGAATATTCATTTTCTCTCATTTCGATTGTCTCGCTCTTTTTGTCCCATGAAACGCGCGCCGAGACTGTGTCCAGCAAACAAGGGAAAAATGTTTCAGGGGAAATGAAAATTGAGAACAACTTTTTCGATCATCCCGATAAATTCGCGATCTTCGCATTTTCCTCCACCCAAAGAGAGTCATTCAACTGGTCAAAGTATAAATAAAATTGAAATTCTTTATTCACCATCGAAACTCCACATGTGTTCGTGTGTGTTTGTGTGAGTTCGGGAAAATCCTGACATAGAGAATCACAGATATTCCATAAGCCTGATCGCGGCGCGAGCAACTTATCACGTGTTCCGAGTTGCTAAGTGCGCGAAGGGAATGCAAATGAATCTCATCTCTTCACCACATGTGAATATTGTTTGCAATTTTCTTGGCACATCGCCACAGAGGAATTCTTGACAATCTTCCTCGCTACGACTTTTCCATTCTGTCGCCTCGACAAAGTGCACAGAAATTAAATCACATTAACTATATATACATTTCGCGAAGAAAATCTAATAAGTTCAAGTTTTGACAAAATATTCACATAGTTTCCCAACTCTTTGCCATCATCCGATGCGGGGGAATAACATTTTCAAGGGTCCGCGCAGACAATTGAGCCACTGAGTCATGGAATGTTTGAGTGCGACTTCTTAGAATTCAGTCTGGTATCAATCTCTGTATTTGTTGGCTGCCGATGGAGGTGGCAACAATAATAATCGAGTAATTTACGGTTGAATGATATGAAAATGAGCGGGCGAAGTCTGTTGTCCTCTGCCGTGTGTCTGACGGAATTGCCAGACGGACAGAGCGGAGCATCAAGAAAATCCCCAACCGATATTAGAATGATTCCCACAAATCATCCGAGCGTGAAGCTATAAAATATTCCAGGAGTGAATCTTTTGTATCAATTTGAGTCTGTCTGTGAAGTGTTCCTCCACTCATCAGTGCTAATGAATGGTGAATATGAATTTACACTCAATTCCCCGTGTATTTCTCCCGAAGCACGCCTTCAAACAGGGCGGAATTCGGCTTCCTCCAATTCATATCGACCAGAAAGTTAATCCTGACTAAAGATTTCAACACTTTTCACTTCTCTATTTCATACTTTGCATCCTCCACGTGACTTCTACTGCTCCAAATGAGGTGAAATTATCTCTGGCACTTTCCTCAATCTTTTCCCCCTTCGGTGCT